ACGGTGAGGGCTTCAATTTGAGCCTGTTGGTTGGCCACAGTAGCTTGTAGTTCTGCGTTTCTGATGTTGAGATTGTCAATTGCGTGACCAGCCTTCTTGTAAACCTGATAGAGCGCTTGTCTCTGGTCTTGATTGTTCCGAATAAATTGAGTATTCAAATGAACTTGACGTGAGCTTTTAGGGGTAGTAAGATAGGTAGGAACTGGTTGTTGTAGTGGTGGTGTGATTGCCTTTTGTCTGGCCTTCTGAATTTGGGAAGAATTCAGCCCTTTTAAAGGGTTAAATAGATAGATACCAGCAGCTAGCCAACCCGCACGTAAATGGCGAGGTGTGAATGTCTCAAGGCGAGCTAAATGGTAGCAGGTAACAAAGCGTTGCTTCTTAATAGGTGATGCATCATCAAGTGCAGCTAAATCTGCAATTTGTTGACGGTATCGCGATTTGAGAGGTGAAAAAACCCCCAAATCTAGAGGTTGAAGTACATGAGATGAATGAGCGGGCAGGAATAGCAGAAAGATCTTATGTTGCTTACAAAACCAGAGAAATTCAATGGTTGTATGACTGCCATGGCCATCAAGAATAAGAAGCCTCCATTTGTCGCTATTAGGTTGAGTTTTAGGATGAAAGATTCGCTGTAACCAGTGGAGACCGTAGTTATTTGTTGTCTAGCCATTTTCAGAGGTTGTATAGATATAATCAGGTGTTTCAGTAGGAAACCAAGTGCTCTATAGATTACAACCCTTAAATATAATCAGAGGGCGCGTGAAGCCACCTATTAGGGATACAGTTTCAACAATTGAGACCCATTCGCGATCTTGTGGTGATTTGACATACGAGCGTTAACGAGAGGAGTCTCCAAGAACTCTCGAGTTAGCACAGATACCAAGGGCAATTCCGTGCTCGTCTATATTGTATGTATTTGAAGGCTCAATGTTAAGAAGGCGAACAGCGTCTTCGTAAGCTGTATAAAACTCTTGAATGAGGTCAGGATGCGTGCCGTTAATACGAGCAGCCTCAATAGGCCTTCCAATAACTGAGGCAATACGTGGATTATCTCGTATAAATTTTGTGATCCATCTCTTACCTAATGGTTTATCGTCGCCGTTGAGACGAAGAACGCGAATAGCCATTTCACGAGCGCGAGCGTGAGAGGGAGGAAACCCCTGTGCCTCCTGTTCAAGTATCCATTAAACAAGAAAATCCTCTTGTCGTGGAGACAGTCGTTGTTCGTGAGCGTGAGCAGTACGTCGATCCAGAATTCCATCGCGTCGGCGACGAAGGGTTCGTTCGGAGACGTTGTGCGCGCGACCGGCGGCTCGTAGGGATGTGAAAACACCTGTATTGAATTCGTGGAGGGCGGTTTGTATCGTGAGCTCGCGTTGATCCATTACGACGACGTGGTTGTGGTATAAGATTGATTGATTAAAGAAGGTGACGAGAATTGAGTGTTTACGCGTTGCGGCGCTTCGAGGGGTGCGGCGCTTCAGGGTACTTCAGCTTAATCAATAAACCATCGATGTGTATCTTTTCCTGGACTCGAAGACATTTGGGCATGTAGCAGGAAAAAGCTCGTATATCCCCATTACAACGACGAGATAGCACTTGCCCATCTCTGTTCATCCTTCCTATAACAGCACCTTATTAGCAAGGGTCACTCACAATAATAAAGACACACTCAGGAAAACTTACTTGTCAAAATGCAACAACATGCCCAAAACAGGCACCAACTGCAATTGATGCTTCCGATCTTTTTGCTCCAAGAACTGTAAGAGCACTGTTTTCAAATAAACCCAATTAACAGCTTCCCCTTTAGTTTCAGAGACACTGCCATTTCTGCTTCCCATGGGCGATCCTATACGTGAGCTTTCTAGTGAAGAACGAGCAGATGGTTTCTCAGCCCTTGTCTTAAGAGCTTTGATCTCGTCTGCCAGTGCCTTGCTTGATCTCTGCAATGAAGAAAGACGTGTCTCTGTTTCTTGCAACGTTTTTCCAATATCAGTCTTTTCCTTCTCGAGGGCTTGGGAGGTGCGTTCGTGAGTTTCCAGAGCGTCACGGAGTTGTGACATTGCCATTCTGACTTCTGCAACTTCTTCCTTGCTAGCTTCTGCTTTCCTCTCGAGTTCTGTACGATGTTTACGCCACTGCGACTCTTTGCGTTCAAAGTCTTCTTTTTCGTCGTTGATGGATGAGAGAGATGTCTCTGCATCCCGAAGTTTATGTTTGAGGTCTTCGAGTTCGCGGGCGCGGCGACGGCCAAGTGTGACGGATTCTTCCTCTGCTCGATCGCGTTCTTCGATTGCGATATCCATACGTTCACGCATCTCCTTGACGCGGGATTCGGCGCGGCCTTCGACATCGGCGAGGAGACGGCGCATGGTTTCTGCTTCTCTGCTGCGTTCGCTGAGGAGGCGGTGGGCGTCTGCGAGTTCTTCTTCGAGACTCTCGCAGCGTTCCTTGACTTCCTTCATCTGGGTGGCCAGTTCGCGGGTTTGGTCTTGCATGCTGTCCATGAGGGATTGGGAGGACGCCTGTTGTGCGGATTTGAGTTGGAGCTCTTCCTTTAGACGGGAAGACTCTTGAGTCAACGCCGTGACTTGCTTCTCGAGACTTTGCAACTTCTCGCGCTGCTTGGAAGACTCTTCTTGAGCTTTGCTGAGGTCTTTTTGGAGCTTCTCTCTTGACTCGACAGCTTCTTTCTGTGACTTCTCTGCCCGTTGAAGATCCTTGTGCGATTTTGTGTTTTGCTCCTCCAGTGTCGCAGTGCGCTCAGCATTCTGCTTGACTCTATCGTTAAGAGACTTGATCTCCGCATCCTTATCTTTCGACTGTGACTTGTAGGATGAGATTTCTGATTGCAAATCCTTCTCCTTGGCTTCCAACTTGCGAATAGTGCTGTTGGCTGCGGTCAGATCGTCCTTGATCTTCTTGAGATCAGTGGCCTCTTGACGAAGACTCGTGAGCTCGGGTTGGATCTTGTTGAGATGCTCCCTTAACGCGGTCAGATCCTTGTATCTGGTTTGTGCCAACTCATTGGCGGCAGAGAGATCAGTCTGCAACGACGAAGACTTGGATTTTAGGTCATCGAATTGAGCAGTCAAGCTCTTGTGCTTCTCGCTCGACTCTTCGTGACGTGACTTCAATATCTCGGACTCCTTCTCGAGTTTCTTGTGTGTGGCTTCCAAGGCGTCCTTCTCCTTTCTGATAGAGGAGAGTTTAGCCTCCAGCTCTTTGCTCGAGGCACCAGAGAATCGCTTGAGTTCGTCAAGTTCTTTCTGAACCTTGATATGCTCCTCCGTCTTCGAATTGATGTCGGATTGAAGATCCTCACATTGCTTCTGTAGGGACCTGCATCTGTCTTCGAGTTGCTTCATTTCCTCAGCACGTTCGCCAGAGGCCGAGTCTTTTTGCGTCTTCAAGGTCTTGATTTGATCTCTTGCGCCACATAGGTCGTTTCCGATGTCCTTCAGTTGCTCTCTAAGATCGTCAATCTCCTCTTTCAGATCGTCTTCACCCTTGAGCTTGGCATCTAGTCTGTCGATGGCAGCTTCCTTCTTCTCAATTTGAGCAGTCAGATCGTTGATCTCGACATCCTTCTGCTCAATTACGGTGTGTAACTCCTTGATCTTCTGATCACCGTTCTCTGTTGGAGTGGCTCTTGGTACCAGCTTACTGAGAGAGTTGGTGATGTGTGCTCTAGCAGCGGCCAATTGCTCAGGCGTTAATATCGAGTCTTCAGCGACGGGTACAGACGTCTCCTCAGGCTTTGGTGAAGGTGCAGATGACGGTGACGCGCTTTCTGACCTTTCTACAGCAGGCTTGGTAATTGCTGCAGCAGTAGCAGCAGCACCGCCCTTCTTCTTTTTCTTGTTCTTGCTCTTTTTCTTTGCCGCGCCATTTTCGGCTGCTTGCGCGGGCTCAGCTTCCGCGGGGGCGACAGTGGAGTTGGGCTCTGATGCGCTGACTTCAGGCTTCTCTTGTTCAGGAATCTTACAATGACCACACGCAAGTATCATCTGATAAGCGTCATCGCGCTCTCTTTCAGCGGTCTCCAGTTGGCCACGTAGCTCAGTCAGTGATGTGTCTTGAGTCGTCACTGCTGAGGCAGCCTCATTGGCAGCCTTTAGCCCAGTCTCGCTCTTCTTGAGTTCGTCACGCACGTCATCCATGTCTTTTTGTATCGACTTCTTGCTGGCCTCGGCCTCGGAAAGTTGTGACTTTAACGTCTTGACTAGACTGTCCAGAGTATCCAGACGCTTTTTGTCGTTATCACTGGACTTCTTGGAAGCGCTGTCTTGACTGACTCTGGTCTTGTTCTCCTTCTCCAGTTTCTCGAGAGCATCAGAGACAGAAGCAGATTTCGTCTTGTACTCCTCAATCTGGCTGTTTGCAGTCTTGAGGTCCGAATTCGCTTGGTTGAGGACTTGAGCGAGTGATTTGATGCGCGAATCGAGTGGTTCCTTGTCGGATGCGGGAATGTCTTTGATTTGGTCCAATTGAGACTTGATCTTGTTCATGGTGTCCTCTGAGTCGTGCAACTTGTTCTCCAGAAGTGTCTTTTGTCTTTCCAGCTCAGCAGCCTTTTCTTCAAACCCGCTCTTTTGCTTCTCCAGATCGGCCACCTTCTTCTCCGAGACAGTGTTTGATTCGGATTGAGACTCCTTTGCGCTTGACTGGTCCTTATTTGCCTTTTCAAGTTCTTCACGGGCCGTTTTGTCAGAATCTTGGGCAGTCTTGAGTTCGGTCTCGAGAGAAGTAATCTTGTCGTTCAATTCGTCCACTTGGCGGGTCTTTTGGTCCAACTCTTCCTGCAGGCGTGGAGCCTCTTCCTCGTAAGAAAAGAAATCCTCGCTCTTTCTAGTCGACTTTATATCCTTGTCGTCCACCGACAGAGTAGTTGCGCCGAGCGGATCAGTCTCGACAGCGGCCTTCTTTTCGTCCCTCTCTTTTCTCAGACCAGCAGCCTCGTCATGTGCCTCCTTGGCCCTCTTTTCTGCATCGTCGAGTTTGCGCTTGATGTCGTCTTTCTCGCCAGTAACCTTCTTGTACTCTTCCATGACCATGTCGCCCTTGAGATTGAGTTGCATGAGGTACTCGGTCAGGGCGGAGGGATCGGCGATAGATGTGAGAGGGGTGTTTTCGCGGAGTGCAGCCTCGAAAGGCTCGATTGCAGTAACCCTTGCATGAGCGATGCGGTAGGATCGGAGAAGCTCCGTGTAGCGCGATTCTAGCTTCTCGAGTTTACGCAGCTTCTGTCGGACGTCCTGAGGCAGCTCTTCGGCTTGCTTTGCGCCATCTAGAGGCTTCTCGGATACAGGAGCATCGGTCTGGGAGGGTTCCTTCTCGTTGGTCAGAGCGTCGGGCTGTTCTCCAGAAGCCTGTGGGGTGTCGGTCACAACAGGGTTGGGAGTAGCGGTACGAGTCGGAGTCTCATCGTCCTCAATGACAAATTCGCTCGGATCAGGACCCTTTGCAGGGATTCCACGATTTGAGTCGGCGCGAGCACGATTGCCAGGTCGGTTGGGCGATTCTGTCCGTGATACACCTCTCCTGGCGGCGGATGAGGGGGTTCGCTTGATTGGCGATGATGTTCCGGGTTGGCCTCGCTGGCGGGCTTGTTCCTCTGCAATCTTGGAGTCCAGAAAGGAGTCCAAGTTGCCTTTGAGGCGCTGATGGTGAGAGTCAGGAGAGTGTTTGATGTGTTGTAGGAGTTGTGGAGCTTACTTGAAACATGATGAAGTGTGTCTAGGAGGTAGCAAACACCATGCCTAGAAGAAGAATATCAAGGAGCAAGTGGAATGTTCTTGTTAGACGGAACACGTTGATGGGCCCGGGTAGCGGAAGCTCGGCGCTGTCCTGGCCCTGACTCTTGTCTGTTCGGCTTGTGATCGGGCTGCACTCTGCAGGGAAGGAGCGACGACGCGTGTGGGGTCGATCATCGTCATAGCTTGAGTGACACGTTCGCCCTGCTTCTTTCTTTCTCTCTAGCTTCCTGATATCCATGCATATCTCATAGCGATAATGGTTTCATTCTGGCCCTTCAAGGTGTGTCTTGACTCAGTCGTCTCACTTGTATACTGGAAGCCCAACTGACATTTCTCGTGCAGGGTCACGACTCTACTTCGGCAGCGTCATTCGAAAAGCTGCTGTCCAGCCTCTCGAGCAAAATCAACAAAGAGAGCGCTCGTAATGACCGTCTACGTCAGAGACAACGCCGTTACAAAGTCCTATGGACACTCTACACAACTTTCGCATACCTCCTTGCCGCGACCATCCTTGTCCTCGTGACCGGTCTCTCCAACTGCACCGCCATAGAATACACTGGACTGGCCGGCTCACCTGTTCTTATCTATGCTGTAAGAACAGCCCTCGATGCCTACTTCAACTACCGTCTCGCGTCTTCCCAAACCTACCTCAACGACCTGAACAAACAACGCGATGATGCAATCACGAAGCTCAAGGACGCGACAAAGTACAACTCAACTCAGCAACTGCTGGACAAGTACGGTGGTGGCACACCTACAAAGTCTCCGCAGCAAAAGATGGAGCAACAAGAGACGCCTACAAAGAACAAGCCTCAGTCTGCACCCGTCAAGCGAACTGGACTTCCCCCTCCACCTACAGCAAACATCCCAGGACGACAGCTGCCCCCTTCATTCCAGCCTATGACTCCTCCACAACAAGGCGCGCAATCTCGACCCGTTCCAACTCAACCACAACATCGCCAATCAGAACCCCAAGCCGAGTTTGCACCAAACGCTTTTACAGCACCAACTCCGCGCAACCAGAACCCATACGCATCGTCTGGCCCACGCTGGTACGACAGAATCCTCGACGTGGTCCTCGGCGACGATGAGACACTACCTAAGAATCGCATCGTGCTACTATGCGCAAAGTGTCGCTTAGTCAACGGCCAAGCCCCTCCTGGGACCAGGAGTCTAGAGGACTTGGGCGCTTGGAGATGCAAAGAGTGTCATGCATTGAACGGACAAGAATCAGAAGCCAAAGCAATGATTAGAGAGATTGCCGGGGAATCGAAAGTCAAGGAAATGCAAGAGGCTTCGGGTGCAGAGAAGTCTGTTGAGAAAGAGCAGACCGAAGATGAGGCTAATTCCGACATGGAACAAGATTCAGAAGTCATCTCTGCTCCTGCCGAGTCTACTAGAAGTAAAATCAGACAGCGTAAAAAGTAGAGCTCGCTCCAGGCGGAACAGAACAAAACATTGCTAGCAAGGACAAAAATGAATGAGAAGTATCAGTACATGGAATCCACATAACCCCAACCAGCTTGACATGACGCATTTTACAAATACCGCAGTCCATGCGAGTGGCTTGAAAGATGAAAACGAACACTACAGTACAAACATCCATCCTTTGATCAACACATGCTTTCCACATACCTACCACCAACAATTCTCTACCCATCGATGATCTCTAGCTAAAGTTCCCAAAACAGCAGATAATCAAACAAACAACGAGAAATGTCGAAAATAGGTAGGTAGAGGGAAAAATTGCAAAAAGGAGAGATGGACGACTAGGGGATCGAACCCTAGACCTTCAGCATGCAAAGCAGACGCGCTACCACTGCGCCAGACGCCCAATCATGATATTGAGCGTGATAAGAAATACTATATCGAGTGATCGTGGAAGTGGCAAAGCTCTCAAGTACGGAACTGCTAAATCAGCTTGACAGAATAAAGCACTTCACTTAACAAAGCAATCGACCTGACTGAGCATCTGATCTGATTTACCCAGGAACAATAAGTCGTCTCCTGTTCTATACGAAAGTGATATATCGAAAAGTTTAGAATCTAAATATCTACGTCTATATACTCTAAAACCTTTAGCTTTCTAGCGTTAGTAAGGCTACGATAGAGTATTTTAGGTCTGATCAAGTAGTATACGGCAGTTATAACAATACATCTGTATGATAATACTAGAACGTTTTAAAAGGGAGGTTTAGTAGAATCTTATTAGCAATAAAGAGGCCAGGAGCTTAAACATCTAGATCTGATTTTGCTTAATGTGGTAGCACCTGCTTCATAAACCGTACACCAAAAAACATTAGAAAAATTGCCTTGCAAGTCGAAAATGCAAAACTTCATAGTTTGAAGGGTCATGAAATCGTAGCTTCGATAATATACAAAAAAACCAAGCTCATGCAGTTTCTACCTGCATCTTATCCTGCTCTTTACCTTCTGACTCTGCTTGACGTGACATCTCTTGCGCCTCCATCTCTTTCCTGCCTCTCTCCAGTCCTTCTAGCTCCTTGAGTCTCTCTGCCGTCTTCTCTGCCTCTTCCTTTTCTCTCTTTTCCTTTTCCACTTTTTCCATGGCTGCGAATTCCTCATCCACAACTTCCTCGTCGACCTTGCTTGTATTGGCTTCATTGATAACACGACCAACTTCATCTACATTCTCCATCTCTTCGCGCAAACGATCAACCACTTCCTCGACACCCTCTGTACCGCCCACCTCTGCATGTAGACTCTTTAGTACATTGGTGGAAGCAGACATTGCAGATACTATAGCGACTTGATCTGCAGCTGTTTGGATAGCGGTATACGTCTGCTCCAATTGCGATAACGTGGCGCTGCGAGTGTATAGTGTTGTTTCAGCCAGCTTCTTGCTTCTCAGCGCTGATTTGGCCTGGATGGTGCGTTTTGCAGCTACGGCTTCGCGAGCGGAAATGTCGAGTGAGGTGATGCGATCGGCGAGTGCCGAGACTTGTGTTTCTAATGCTTTGATGAGGGTACGTAGATTCGCAATGTCGGTGTCTTGTTGGGTGATTGGTTGAGGAGTGGATTCAGAGGTTGACTTGAGCTTTATGGTCGTGGCGTTGAAGGCGAGGTACGGTTTATCGCGAGAAAGGTATTTGAGGAGGATGTTGAAGTCGGTGCTGCTTAGAGCTGCTTCGGGGTGGGACGTTGTGTCGAGGATGTGGGCGAATTCGGCTTCGAAGAGAGAGCGGCTGTAGATGAGTGAGGTTGTTGATTGATCGAGGTGTGAGGCTTTCGCTATGATTGCATTCGCCGCTTCCTATGTGATTGTGTCAGTGCATGCAAAGGAAGGGGAGTGCGGCAGAGGAACGGTACCTCGACATTCTGCATGACGACAAAGTTGGCGACTGACAACTTGTCGGATGTGCCAAACAGCGACGAGACTCCGACCTGCTTAAGGCCCCAGCTCACAAGCTGCCATGGTGAAGGGATCCAACTCTTTGCATAGACACTCTTTGTTGCATTCAAGAAGTCGTCCAAAGGGACAAAATCTCGCTTGTCGACAGCATCTTGGATGACGGCGCCCAAAGCCAGAGGGCGACCCCATATTGGGGAGTTCAAGGCGCGTGACAGGTCCTCACCGCTGCCAAAGACTACGTGACTCGATCTTCCAGACGTGGATGAAGGTGGTGGTAATCGTCCAGCGCGCGCAGCAGCAGTCAAGCCACGAAGCCACGCGCGAGAGTTTGCTTGGTATCCATCCGGGTTTGACGTCTTCTGTAGGCGAAAGTCCGAGTAGAGCGATTGGAGACGGTTGCGACTAGTGACGACGTCAGTGCTGCTTCAAGTCGACTGGACAGCATTGACGAGGCCATGTACCTGCGGAATGCCTCCTCGTGCGTGCGCAGAAACTCTACAAGGTCGTTCATATCGATCTCTATTGTATGCACTATGTCGACCTTGGACAGAGAAGGGGTGGCTTGTTTCGAAAGTGGCAGCACCAAAATAATGACGATGCACCTCTTGGCATTCACATGCATCGCGCTCTCCTTCCGCACTTATACACCAACTCTTCCCACAGACTCCCGGGTAGCCTTTGCGCCGACTTATAACATGTTCAACACGCAATAAGTTATGCTTTCCCGTCTCACTCAATCTTGGACATACAGTCTGCAGTCCACTAAACTCGGACTTGGTCATTCTATCCTCTCTAGCCTTGCTGGCTTCTCAACTTGCCGCATCGCATACGTCCAGCATCCCGATCAAGATGCCTCGAGAGATCATGTAGCTGAGACAAAGCGGGCAAGGAAGCTTGAGTATATGCGACGCTGGCAGGAGAATCGCAAAAAGGATCCCGTGCGCTTTCAAGCATATCTGGATTATCTGAAAAGGTACAACGACTCGCGCAGCATCAAATTGCGTAGAGAACAACTATTGCAGCGCCGCGCACGCAACCACGCACAATCTCTTGCGCGCGATGCTGCTGCCCAGGAAGCTTGGCGGGCCACCATGTCCGCAAGAGCCACGAAGATTCGCAAATCCAACCCTAAAGTTCGACTTCGTGTTGCACTTCACTATTGGTTCCACAGCAAGAGGGCTGTAATGGATCAGTATACTTGGAAACACTGGACACCTGTCTGGTACCCGGAGCGAGTCGAGAAGACCTGCACGACTTGTGGAAAAACGAGACTGGGCGGGACCCACCTCTGGTTCAAGAAGAAGGATCATGTCTCATCTGACCTTTACGACTGCTTCTCGTGTTATCTTGCATCAAAGTGGTCCGACATGGTACCAGTAAGAGTGAAGGGAAAATCACGCTTTTTGCGGTCACGAGATCCTGAGATAAAAGCCATGCTTGAAGCAAGAGAAAGAGGCGAAGACTATCCACTCGGCGATACCAAGTCGTCGGACATTGATCATCCGAACAAAGGAAGTTGAACGTCCAGTGCTTTCAAGATCATCGGACCAAGTTTGTTGTTGACCACGTGTCACATAAGCATACCTCGATACCGCTTCGACCACGGAGCGCCGCAATGTTGATCTGGTTCGGGCAGACCACAACTCCAGCAGTACGACGCGTTGATGTCACACCAAAGGCCATCAGACATGGAAACTTTCACCATGTAATCACATTGTGGATGTCCCAGGCCCAAAGTCTATGGATTCCATGGTCGTCTAAATCTCGTTAACCTCGCAAATTTGCTCAAGACAGCAAAAACGAGTCATCGGCAAAGTGACTTGGCTATAAAGCGCGAGACGTTGCTACTCCGTCTCCAAGCATCAACGCCTCTTCCATCTCCCAAGCTTTTTCAATCCATAAGCAAAATTCTCACAATCACAACAACCAGTATACCACGCCACTTGGCGCCAAAGTCAAACCTCGAACCAACCAAAGATGCACGTCTTCAAATCACTCATCGCCATTCTTGCCGTCTCTGTCGCTCTTGTGGCAGCAGCGGCGGCACCATACAGTCTCATAACCAAGAGTCTCCCCAAATGTGTTGGCACTGGTACCAACATGAGACCACCACCCAGGCATACTAGAGTTGCAGCCTAAGACAGCACAAGTGCTCGGACAAGAGAGAATCGAAAAGGATGCACAGAACGAGCTTGCCCCAGCCGCGCAAGGCATCCAGGCTATTAAAAGATAAAGCAGAGTGAGATGCGAGATATCAACCAGCAGAGAAGAGGAGCCGGTTCAAGAAAAATCTGTCTTTTCAGGACGATACACCGGATGAGATTTTAGACAGCCAGATGATTCCGAATCATAGCTGTCATTCTCCCATAACAGTATAAGAAGTTCCGAAGAAACTAAGATAATTCAATCGATACTTCTTCAATTAAGCATTTCCTATACAATAAACCAGCGAGAAGAACCTTGCGCGCTACAAAGGGTACTTGATATACCTTACCTCAACATATAGATTCCCCTTTGATTCCTCTCCCTTTACCATAGAAGTCAAGTTATTGTAACAGTACCCCTATAACTCCCTTCCCTTTCCATACATGGCAGTTCGAAACAGGAGTTCCTGCCAATCAAATCCCATCTTATATTCCTGTAAAGTAGAAGGAGAGTATCTCGACCATGTATTTTTTTTCTCCAAAGTTTGAATGTCACGTGTAAAAGAGTGAGAAATAGCACGTCTTTACACACTTCTTGAGTCAACAACGCCACAGCTTACCAGAACAAGAACACACGAAACGGTACAAAGGAATAATTACGAAGCTTTTTCCAGTCGTGTAGTTATCGAATCTCTTTATTTTCACGAGTTCGATTGCTCGTTTAACAACTCAAGTAGTACAGGAAAGCCAAAGCTGAGTGACAATCAAAGAGTGCACGGAGCGAAATCAAAAGCTCCTTCTTCAATCTCAATGGGTTCTTTTCGCTTTGAGACAGGATGGGAGCAACATTCTCCCATCATCCATCCATGGTCTCATGGAAGAAACGCCTAATATACAAAAGACAACCCCCACTTAAATCGAGAGGAGTACCCACAGCAAAAAAACCATCCATTTCCGCATCCCATCACACCAAAAAAAAAGGCCAGAGTCAAGGGGCATCGACTCAGACAAGAAAAAAAGAGTCACAGTCTCTCAAACCCTAACATCCCTTCCGGTATCCACCACTCCACCAGCAGCACCCTTAAACACACCCATACCCGCAGTAAGAGTAGTAGTAGTCCAAGACCCAGCAGTCTGCTCAGTCCCACCAGTACTGCTCAAACCATCATACGCCTCACCTCTGCTTCTGCCTCTTCTTCTCGATCCCAGAGAAAGACTACGCAGACGTTGTGATGTAGCGCGGGCTTTTCTCTTGCGGTCTGCCAGTTTGCGGTATAGGACGCGGATGGAAGGGAGACAGGCGGTGGTGATTTGGACGGCTGGTTCGATGGTTGTCCAGATTGCGGGGGCGACGAGGATCCCTGGAGACGGGGTATGTTAGAGAAGGGAGAGGGTTGGTAGATAGGGAAGATATGGATGGGCGAGGGGGGAGACAAGGAAGTGGGGGGGGAGACAGAGATGCGTTGACGATGAGGAAGGAGATAAAGAACTTACAGGTCATGTCATTGCCTTTACTGCCGAGTTGTACCATGACGGCCAGACGCACGACTCCAAAGGCCAAAGAGCTGTGTGTTGAGAAACTCATTCAGTATTCTTTCCTGTGTAGAACAAAAACAACCAGGACAAGTATAAGATGGGAAGAGAAGAAAAAACTTACATGACCCAAAGAAAGCAAGTAATGGCAACACCAATCTTCTGTCTTCCCGGCAACTCCAACCTCTGGATCTCGCGGAATGGCAACAGCAAAATCATAACATCAGTGATGACATTAGGAATCTGCATGCCATAATAGAATGGCACCAAACCGATGCAGGTACCGTCGATGGCGGGTTCCCAAGCCTTGCGGATGGGGGTGCACATGAAGATGCCGGTAAACATAATGGCAGTGCACCACATGATCATAATGGTGATGATGACATTGGCCATCATTTTGAAGTCGCGGTTGGGGAAGAGTCGCTTGTATTGATACAAGATGGAGAGCTTGGTGAAGGTGACACAGAGGGGGTACTGGATGACACCCGTGTACTGGATCTTCAAGAACTCGGCGAGGTCGGAGGGCTTGACTTCCTGGATAGGGCGACCCATGCCATGCTCGATGACTATTATTGTAAGCGGTCAGAAAGACAATGGCGCAGAAGTTGTAGAAGAAAGTATGTAGTATCCTTACGCAGAGAGCCACTGATGTCAAGTCCGATCTTGAAGACCTGCGATCTTTGAATTAGCAAAAGTGCGCCGACGATTGACGGTCTCATCAACCAACCCAAGCGATGATGATGAGCCAGTCGTCAAAGTAAAGACGAATGCGCATGACATGTCTGGACAAAAGGCGAACACCAAGGAAGACGGTCGGAAGCACAATGGCAATGACAGTAGCAACAATCAATTCATGAGCCTTGCTGCCAAAGTGCTCCTGAGGAGGAACAGCGGGAGCGGTAGCGTTGTCCGACATGGTGTAGCGGCGTTACGCTCAAAGTTGAATACCGACAATGGCTGATGTCGTTGTGGAAGAAGTTGCGCCGAAAAGTAGCAAAAGACAAATAATAAACGCCGGCGTTGAGCAATTCACCGCGAGTGTGAAAGCGCATGCAAACTCCCAGGCTCAAGTGACGAAGCTGTTGCAAGAAATCCAAATCTGAAGGCTAGAATCTTGTGAATGAGCGGAGAATTGGAGGCTTGTTGAAAGTTGCCTTTCTTTTTGCTTTGTTGCGGGCAAGTAACAAGGATGATATCAAAAAGTTGGTGTTCCCGAATCAGCATATCTTGCATCCAGAATCTCCAGCCTCACACACCTTATGTCTATGGGACCACCAAGGGGGTTTGGAGGCTCTTTGTGCTAGGTATATGACATGCTCCCAGGCCACGGAGTACCCGACGGACAGGTCACGGCATATCCATCGAGCCAGTCGGAACAAGTGCCAAACCCAGCAGATCTCCTAGCCCTCAAGCCCGAAGGAAGAAACTTACAGTGGGGAGTGCCCTTTCTAATCCTCGAAAAGTGCTTGGATGCATACCCACAATCTATTGGATCCTGTTGACCATTTCGAGGGACAGTGGGATCCTCGTGTCTCAGTCAAAGATGTATGCCGATAACCGTATCAGGGCTCTTGTCAAAACCTCACTCATTGGACCGACATTGACGTAGCCAGAGACTTACCAACTACTCGAAACAGTCGAGCGCGCATAGGTGCATGAGATCATCTGTCGTTGCTGCACGTAATTGACAGCTCCTGCAGTTCGTTATTGTTGGCGTTGACGCCGTCGCCGGGGAGTAGTCTGTGCAATGGATGAATATCCACACTGTCGGGCCAGGCTACTGGTGGGGAGAACTAGGAAAGGGTCCATCGTGTATGGACGGGTACAATCTCACCCTATTACGCTAATGAGCATGACGGAAAGTCGCAGGATGGGAGGACATTACAGGCGCCGTGCAGCAGGCCAAAGAAAAGAAACGCGAATAGGAAAGGAAAGGAAGTGTGGTTGTGAGCTGACGAGGGCCCTGCCGATCCTCCCGCGTATACCTGCCGTGTCCGCTTCCTCTACCCTAGTTCGACCTGTCAAGCTTGCTGCACGACATCTTTTTGGGGTTTTGGATTTGGCAGCTTGGGTTGGTAGGCCTGATGGCTCCCTGCATGTCAATTCTTCGGAGATGTTGTCATGGGTTACTGTATGGTATGCTTGCTTTGCTACATTATGTAATAGAAGGTCATCTCTCTTCTATGCTCCAACAGTCGTCAATGCTCCCTTACTCCATGTCTTTACTCTTGTCTCATCCAGACCGTCAGTGACCTTACGCTTCAAGACCTCTAGTGTCGCTACATCCACATCGCCAACCTTTGATCTCATGTCTAGCCAAGCCAACACGCCTGTTCTAGTGACCAGGCTGGTGGCACCACCAACGGCGGCGACTCTGTAGGCCACCTTCAACACCGCATCCTTCACACCCTTTGGCGCGGAGGGTGATGCAAAGATATCCAAGACCTTCTCCATACAGTTACGAGGGAGCAAGAGGTGGACATCCTGAAGCGTTCTCGTGCCCAAGGTGAAGAACTCAAGAACGAACTCAATCTCTGCCCAGTGCTTGTCGTCTTCCTCAGGTGTTTCGAGCACAGTTCTGTCGATCCAGTAGTTTGCCAACTTGCCAACATTCCAGACTGGGCCCTTATTCAGGTACTTGTTGATCTTGGGGTACATGAAATGCGACGGGTCCTGGAGAATGCCGAGAGCTTGTGTAGCAAAAACGGTGGCGATGTAGGGAAGCGGCTGTTGTGCTATCGGCGGTGAAAGCTCTAATACCGTCTCAGAGAGCTCGCCGAGCAGGAGATATATCTGATCTTTGTCGTCGTTTGTAGACTCCTTCACTCTCACCATAAGCTTGCGGAGTGCGGCATGTGCTTGCAATCTGACGGAGCTATCTGAGGAAGACAGGCACAGGATCAGACTGTCAATATCACCATTCTCGAGCGACTCTTCCAGATCCTTCTGTTGCCATCTGCTCAACTCAGGATGGTTGTGCTTTTCGACAGGAGGCTCTGAGAAAGCAAGAGGTTGCTTCGTTGACTTGTTGTCGGTCGAGGATGCCGGACCTGAAGTCTTATCATCGTCTGACTGTCTTCGTGAGGTAATTGACCTCAAGGTTGGCTCAAGCTCGAGGGAAGAGACAGCAGGCAAGTCTGGAACTCTCTCTCTGATGAGCTGCAGTAGCTCAACATCTTCTCCAGTAAGCTTGAGCAGTTCGAGGAAGCGAGAGAACCAGATCAAAACGTTAACACGATCCTCCTCTGAGAGTTTCGAGGTGAAAGGAATCTGTTCGAGGCAGACCATGACGAGGACACTGACGATCTTGCCATGATCATTACCGCCAGCAATCTCATCAATATCATCGAGATACTTGATCGGCTTCCTTACAAGGCGACCGAGACAGTCGTCAATGAAAGTGTAGAGAGAATCGCTTGACTTCCAGGCATCACCACCCACGAGACTGGCGATGAAAGCATTCACAGACTTTTCCTCGGTTTGCTGCTGGAGGATGCCATGTTCATCAATGACTGACTGAAGCAGATTGATGAACTCAGATCCGGTAGATTGGTCCACGGGAGTCTGTGCGCTCAAACGGAGAAGCGTGGTGAAGGGAGAAAACTTGAGCGACCCCTGTTTGTGCCACCATCGCATACCTGCAGAGCATTGGGCAATGACGAGTAGGTGCTGCAGCTCGAGCAGACGGAAAGCATAATTCTCGCTTTCCGAAGTTACTGTCTCAACCCTTGACATGGCAACAGTCAAAGCTTGAGAAACGTCAAACTTCTCCTCCAACGCAGCTTGCGGTGTGACTTGGTAGTACATGCGGAGTAGTCTCGAGACGGCCTCTTTTTGGAGGATGTTGTCATCAGAGATCTTGCGGAAAGCAGCAATGACATCCTTAATCGCTGGGCATCTTTGACAGAACTCTGCAATTAGTCTGATCGAGCCTTCCTTCCACAACGGATTGCCTTCAGCGGCAGCAACGTTGAAAGTTTGTAATACTTGTTGCAATTTCTGGAAGGCGACGACCAGTATACGGACGGCAAAGAGTGTGATGAGCTCGGAAGACTGGTTCAAGGATTTGGTCAAGATTCTTTGAGTAAGAGGCAATGGAAGAATATTCTCAATAGCGATCGAAACTGGGGGAGGGCAGCTTGCGTAATGGTCCTGAGCTCCAAAGTACTTGGGGAAGGGCACTTTTACTGATGAGAACAGGAATGACGCATATCCAATCCATGTGTTTGTAAGCTTGGGCTCGAATGAGAACTTCTCGCCTCTTGCAAAGTAGTAGTCGGCGATGATTTCCGGCGCGGCCGCAAAGATGGATAGTAGAATATCTCTCTCCTCCTCGCTTGCGTAGGGCTTGAGAGTCTGCGAAAAGCCAGAAAGGATAGTGTTTCGCACGGTGACCTGACCCTGGAATTTGTTGTACCAGTCAACAGAATCCAGTCCAAGATCAAGCGCGAGATCGGTCTCAACATCGTCGTTCTGTTCTCTGGTGTGGCGCTCACTTCCTGGAGGATACCAACCACTAGGGCGAAGAAGACCGAGAGAAGGAGTGGTGCTGACGAGCTTCAAGAAGGAGATGATTGCGGCCTTGCCACGGATCAGAGTGGAGTTGTCGCCTGTCGGGCTTTCGGTGGCGTCGAATGTGCGTAGAGCGGCAAGGACACCAGCCAGAGAACGCTCGCTCATGGTCTGGGTTTTTGTTGCACGAGGGATGGTCTCGTCGCGTAGAATACCAGTTTCCAGTGTCTTGAAGATCTCCTGGAGAGCATCGGCAGAGTCGTCCTTGAGATGGTCGAACAGAGCCTTGATGATGTGACCGTTCTTAAGAATATCAATCTTTGCACCTTCGCCCTGGTGCTTGAAGTTTGCGAGCAGGTAGCGGACCGCGTTTGAGCGCACAGAAGGCCCAGAGCCGCTCTTGATTAGACATAGGTTACGTGCGACAATCTTCGTTTCGAAGGTAAAGTCACGCTTTGCATAGACTTGCTTGGCCATGAGACCACCATCGAAAGAGACCATCTCAGTAAGAATACGGAGAGATGGTGAGATGACATGTTCCTTGTGCTTCGGAGCTGATACGCTTCTTGATATGAGCTTCAATTGAGCATGTGTTAGGAGAGTCTTGATGAGAAGAATGCCATATTCGCGAGAGTCAATCAAAGTGGCAATAGTTTTTAGGAGCAGAGCAAGGATCGACGAGACGGATGAAGCCAGGTAGTCGTTGTTGGTCTGATTCGCAAAGCCCCATGCCTGCATGAAGTCGGGCAGATATTCAGCATCCTTGTCACGGGAAGCTTTCAGTTTGGCGGAGTCCAGGTAGTCATTCAGAATGTTGATCTTGGCCGGACGATTAGGCTCATCGGTTTGATACAGAATCAGTTCCAAAAACTGTTTGAAGGACTGGATGCCATTTCTCAGATCCTGGACGCCATCTTGGCTGAATTGTAAAAGTTCCTGAAGCTGACGAGCGGAGAAGATGTCGGTAGCAGGGATCACAGCGACCGGAGGATGTGTCTTTGTGCGCTTGTTGTCTCTAGCTTCATGGCCATCTGATTCGGCAAAGCGTTTTGACATTATATAACAGTTGATGGTCAAGAAGTTCTGGTATTCAGGCAGGCCTTGCAGAAAACATGTCTCTGCAACGGAGGCTTGGCGTAAGTTTTGTCGAAGTTTTTAGACTTTGGCGGAGAAGGCGGGAGCGACCGACGATTAGAACGGGCTCGGCATAGGTGAAGGGCGCTTTGACATTTGGAGACATGGGCGAGGCGGAGAGGCGTCAACTTTCAGCATTGAACCATCGCCCTTCCTGCTGCTATACCGATCTGGAATCACTGTCTTGACGTGCGCGCTCTTGTCCCGCGACACTACCTGTAACGAGACTCGGGCCGATCCTGGAACTGAAGCGAGAAGTCGTGACAATCTCTGTGCACGCGACAAGATTCTGGAATGAGCGATCTCGACAAGGCGATTGCGCAGTTGCGCTCATGTCGACCCATCCCGGAGAGCCAAGTGCGAGAGCTTTGCTACAAGGCAAGAGAGCTCCTGATTGAAGAAGGAAACGTCGTCACGGTGAATGCGCCCGTCACGGTATGCGACAAGATGCTCGCCCTCCAACTTGGCGCATGCTCATGCTGATGCGCTGCAGATATGCGGAGACATCCACGGCCAGTTCCATGACTTGATGGAGCTGTTTCGCGTCGGCGGCGATGTGCCCGACACGAACTACCTCTTCATGGGTGCGCATTATCCTCCTCTCCTCCCGACTGCCTCCGCGTCCAGCTAACACATCCAAGGCGACTTTGTCGACCGCGGCTTCTACTCTCTCGAATCCTTCCTCCTCCTCCTCTGCCTCAAAGTTCGATATCCCGACCGCATCACATTAATCCGTGGCAACCACGAGTCACGACAAATCACCACCGTCTACGGCTTCTACGACGAATGTCTGCGCAAATACGGCAGCGCAAACGTCTGGCGCTACTGCTGCGAGGTCTTTGACTACCTCGCTCTTGGTGCTTTGATCCTCGGTGCTTCCTCAGAACTTGGCCCCACCACTGCCGAGCTGCCTGCAGACGCACAGCAACCCATGCCCGAATCCCTCGAAGACGTCGAAATCGAAATCATCAACTCGCACAACCAGGTCATGAACCGTTTCCCTCGCGCAAAGCCATCTACCGAATCCTCCGCACCAAACAGCCCTTCACATACCGGCCCTGCAGGCACAGGCGCAACATCCTCAAGTGGTGGATCGGCTTCAAATCCAGGCGGTGCAGTCCTCTGCGTACACGGTGGCTTGAGTCCCTTGATTGACAGCATTGATAAGATCAGGCTGATCGACCGAAAGCAAGAAGTCCCACACGAAGGCGCCATGTGCGATCTCCTCTGGTCAGACCCGGACGACATTGACGGCTGGGGTCTCTCACCACGAGGAGCTGGTTTCCTCTTTGGTGCTGATATCGTCAAGCACTTCAATCACAAGAACGACCTGAGTCTGATAGCAAGAGCTCATCAACTGGTCATGGAAGGCTTTAAAGAGATGTTTGACAATACAATCGTCACGGTGTGGAGTGCGCCGAATTACTGCTATCGCTGTGGTAATGTTGCTGCAATCTTGGAACTTTCAGAAGACGGAAGCAATGGCGGATACACACCACGCAGCAATGGCGAAATCGAAAGATCAGCAGGCCTTGTCTCGGAATTGGAGTTGAAGCAAGGGCCTGGCAGGAGGTATCGTGTCTTCGAGGCCGCACCACAGGATTCTAGGGGAATGCCTGCAAAGAAGCCCGTCGCCGACTACTTTTTGTAGTAAAAGGAGGGAAAAGAAACAGACGAGCACGAACTACATTTGATGAAACATAAGAGGACACCTTTTTTTCCAATTCGTTTCGCAATGCAGAGCAAAAGATGTGAAATCTCTATATCTTTTGACTGGAGGCAAGGGAAACAAACACAGACAGCCTTTCGTGATAGATACCCCATCATCGAAAACCGACCATACAACACACCCTCACTCTTTACTCTGTACTATGCGCAAAAGTAGCAGTTCACCCATCATACTTTTCCTGTGGTCCCTAGACTTTTCGAAACAATGCACAAATCTCCTGTTCAAGTCGGGAAGCAAAACATGACAGTGAACTAACTATGACTTGTGCAGACATTATCCCCAGTATCCCCATGCCTCCCCCAAATGACTTGAGCGACCAGGATAAAAAGCCGACCCTGCCCTCTCCAATCCACTGCCAAGGCTTTCTTCCCTTCCCTCACCGACAAAGCCCTGCAGCACAAACCACTCTTCTCACACAATTTGACGAACAAAAGAAAGAAAGATGTTTTGACACACACCAGGTAAGATCGATGCAAAAAGAAAATGTTCCGACACGGGGATTTTAGGTATTGACGGAAGCGCTGTGAGGGATTGCCAAGCCCAGCACGGGTGTCTCGAATGCCAAGCCTCGAACGCAAGTATCAGAAGTAGGCTTCAGTTGAGAGAAAAAGTCTTTTCCACTTCCACAACCATGAACTATGCATGCTGACGGTGAGCAAAAGGATGTTCCGACACGGGGAATTGAACCCCGGCCTCCTCGGACCTAGTTGCTCCTTGTAGGAACGGTTTGAGAGCGAGAAATCCTAGCCACTAGACCATATCGGATTTGATGAATAATATTCTGTCGTGTCAAAATATATTGTTGCAATGACGGCTAAGCATGGGGGATCATTTACATCCCCAGTCTCAACATAAGGGAATGCTACATGCCATTGAACAATTATTCTTGCAACATCTGCTCGATAGAGATCGAAAAAAAGACAAACTCCGATCAGATCTGTAATGATTAAGCAATAATTAGTAAGTAGCTGCTTTTTTGTGTGTATAAGGGGGCAGGTAAACGTATGAGCATGGTTGTGGCTAGATGTTGATCGTCCATGGTGATCGACCTCGACTCTTAGAGAAGAAGGGTTGGATACTACTATATGCTAGGTGTATACGGATTAAAGTTATATGGTGATATTGAACGGTATTATAAAGTGGCTGTGAATATGTCGAAGTTGTACGAGTGGCTTATGAGAAGCCAACGAGTAAAGATTAATTAATATAGCTGTGAACGTTACAGTCCTGATACTCATGGACGAGGTACTTCTAAATGAGCGAGCGATTAAAGATGTCATGTTATAATGAAGAGAAAGGTTCGTTTTTGTTCAAGGACTTATGGAAGTTTGTGTTAGTTTTTGCTCTTTTTCTCTCCTTAAGCCGCTGTACCTATGTTCCTTTGTTCTGCGTATCCGACTAGCTAATAATTAGTCTCTCGCGTAAGTCTGTTCGAGGGAAGGATAAAGTCAAAATCCTCATGCCCTTCTCAGTGCCTGTCTTCGTGAACGACTATACTAGCATCATAGTCAGCACACTGTTATCGCAAGGAGACGCGGAGATCATTGCCTACGATCAATAATGATAAGTGACGAGTTCCGCACAGAGTTCGAGCAAACGAAGCATTACTTCGTCGAGAGATGGGGAAGCGACCGCTTTTGAGTAGAGCTGACTTGCCACGTCCGGGAGGCTGAACGATTACAGCTTAATGTTTGCCCTCGTTGAATATGGTTACGAGAGTCGAATTTGTGCCCCCATTGTGGGTGTAGCGCCAGTTTTCGTCGAGAGGCTGCATTAGTCTTTGTGTTCTTTTCTCTCTGCGATAGAGGACTTATTGAGAGTTTGCGTGCGCAAATCAACAGTGGTTGTGGTGATTGTGCTCATGATTGCCGAGTGCTCTGGTCTTGTTTTGTAGATGTTGGTGTAGACGCGATAAACCAAGGACATGCGTGTGGCAAGCGTGACGAGAAACTTTCATCGAACGTGAGGAGCAGTGTAAGCCAGGTGTGATTCACTGTCTTCAGAATGTAAGACTTTTCATCTCGTGTGCTGAGTTACTTACAGTTCTTCATACCCGTGAAGTCGTTTGTAGACAGCCTCTTCGCTTTTTTGCAGAAGCTCGCGAAGCGCCTTTTCGGTCGTAGAGAGGAAAGTGGAGGAGACTAGTCTTTTACCTCCGTTGCTGGGTGCTTGACAGACGTGAGTGCCGTGAAGGCCTTGGTAGGAAGATGTCACGAGTCGGACGTCACGGTGCTCTGGGTGAAATTAGCGGTAGTTTTCTGTTCACGAAAGCGTTAAGGAGAAAAGTGAAAGGGAAGGGAATGGGGCGTACCGAGGATCTGGACGCGGAGGCTCAAGAAGTTTTTGTCTTCGGCGGTCATGTTTGCTGGCGTAGTGGTGGTCTTTTGCGGTTTGAGTATTGATTTGAGCATTGGTTGCGACATGTCGGTTTTAGATCTTGGAATTGAACATGGAGGGAGATATATTTCAAGAGCGAATGAAAGTTTGGAGCGGAGAATTGGTAGTGAAAGCGTATAGTGACGGACGTGAAGCAACGCGAGCACGTGTGCTTTATCAATTCGACACCTTGACACCAAGCAGTTTCTCGGCATTCTTGTAGCAAAACATTTTGAGCTCTTCCTCACTCATCATTCCACTTGCCTCGATCTCTTCCACAAACTTCAGCCCCTTCTCGTTGCCACTGAACGGGTAATCGACGGAGTACAGGATCCTGTCACTTGCACACATCCTCAGCAAACAACTAAGCGGGGCAAGACTGAACATTCCAGAAGTAGTGATCCAAAAGTTCTCCTTCCAGACTTGCTCAAGACCACGTCTATTGTCCGGCGCCCACCAAGAGGAAGTCGAGATGATACGGTCCAACTGATAAGGAAGCATTTCACCCATATGTCCAATGATAATCTTCAGCTTTGGAAATTCGTCAAAGAGTCCAGAAGCCCAGAGACGAAGGATATGCAGTCCGGTCTCAGAGTGCCAACCCCAGGCTGCTATACTCATCATCTGTGCTGCCTGTTCACCAAAGTTGCCGCGGTAATGCGGCATCCATTCATCGGCTGCGAAAGTCGGGTGTATGTATATCGGCACGTCGAGCTCCTCGGCTTTAGCAAAGACAGGACGATATGCCTCGCCGTCATAGAATGTACCATTACAATGGTTGTTGATCAGGGCCCCAACGAACTTGTGCGCTCTGATGCAGCGCTCGAGTTCGTCGGCCGCGGCAGATGGAGATGCCATAGGCAAAAGGGCAAAAGCTGCATACCGTGGCTGATTGCTAATCGCGGAAGCTAGATTATCGTTGGTCGTATGGCATTCTTCAGGAGATGCATTCAAGGGGCTGTGCGAAAGGATTTGGATTGACACATTGCCAGTGTCGAGAGCAGAAAGTCGATCTGGGCCGAGCGAGGTCAATTTGTCTATCAAGGGAGCTGGAAAGTCGGCGTAGGGATCTTTGCGACCGGTGTCTGCGAGATGCTTGCGGACATTTTGAGAGAGGTAGTGTTCCTCTAGGGTGATCAATGGTGGCATCATCTTGCGTGATAGGGTGATGAGGCTGGCTGGTAATGTATCAATACACCGGACGCTGGCGAAGAAGAGCTATGTAGATAAGCTAGAGAAGCAACCAGATGCTACGTCGTCCTTCAAAGGGCGAGTCCATGGTGCCTACACTTCTCAGTGTCTTTATAGTTTTTGTCACGTTCTCATGGAGCTTAGAATCCTTCGGACTATCCGGCGTATCCGTAATATCACAACAGAGGCTCGTACCACAGGCAGCAGCAACAGCACACTGATACATTTCCATCCTGGATGATGGACATAGGCTTTACACTCGGTTTTAGGAGTCGGGGCGGAGTTATGGACAAGGAAAGAGTAAGACAGCTGATGTGATTGCGCCACAGACGTCGACGAAGCTTTGCGCCGAGGTCGCCCGCGACAAAAATCTCTATTGTGCACAGCCATATCTCGCTAAATGCAAAGTGCTGGGATGCAATCTGATGCCATGAATCGAACCAACTGCATTCGATGTATACGAGGTCGTTCATGTAAGCACCACCGTCTCTGTCGACAGGTATGAGAACCGAACAAGTCCTCCACTTTCACCATGATGTTTTCAAGATGCAGCTCGGGAGGGTTAGTCGGTCGTGGAGCAGCCTCTCAGAATGGAGCTACAGACTATGCCTATGACAACTTGGTAACTTGCGTGTCGGACTTCTCAAACGTCAATTTTGTACCACAGTAAGCGTGTGACCAGTCCGGAAGCTGTCGACTGCAACAGACCTTGTCGACCATGCGAATGTCTGTGCAACATACGCAGTAACCTGCATTACAGCATAGTCGCACCTTCTCAGATCGACATCTGCATTGATTATAGAATAGACTCCGGCTGACCCCTGTCACCTTTGCATTCTCGCCATGCATTGGTTTGAGAAAGCAATCAGACTCGAAGACATGCCAGATCATCGAGACATCAACGCATGGATGGGGCATTGTGGTGGCACTGATCCTCATTGCCGGCAAGGCTGTTCGCCGGCATGTGCCAATTACACCTCCATGACAGGCATTGAGAGCGCATCCAAGAATCATTCAGCAGATAGTGTTGTTGAGGAACCCAGAGCCAAGGCACACAACCAACCTCTAGTGGGACAACCGGCGGTCCAAGAAGCCATGCGGAAGGTACAAGAAGGGCGTGTGGCCCTTGCAAGAACACAAAACCTTTTGCCACAACATCAGGTACGCTTTGATGGGCGAATGCCTACCACATCTGGACTTTTGCAACCGACGGACGGCACCAGGCCGACAGCATCATCAACAATTGCCAGTGACGACAAGTCGTCTGCAGAAGACAACACCGACATGGCGCGACATACTTTGGTGAGTTCAACAGCAGAGCCCGTACTTGAAGACGAGGATGAAGGTGCAGAGTACGAGCTCGACGACCTGCAGAGATGTTGTTGATCAGACGTGCCGAGAAGGCCGTTAAATCCAGTTGGAGAGCCGCCGGCTTGAGAACCATAGACCGTACCATATCACTTGTCAAGTGCTCTATTCTAGCATTCTGGGACTCATGCAAGAACATTCGACGAGGCTCTCCGTCCAAATCATGATTTCTGTCGAAAGATCAGTTTTGATGGTCGCTGAAGGAGCTTCTCCGACGTTTGACGAGAACCAAGCTGATACCATGCGCCAGGCTTGAGACGTAGTCACACGACAGCCTGAGTGGAGGTTGTCCTAGCTGTTTGACTGCACCTATGTGTTCCTCGATGTTCGATGGAGCGGTCGATCCAGACTGTTGAGGTACTGTGGCGAGCCAGCACAGCTACATCTGGACGATGATCGCAATTGCTGAGTGCTAGTGGTAAGGCACAGGTCTCTCAGTGGTAGGGGAAGATGTCGTGTTTCCGAGTGATGCGCTATTAATTAGTTTGTGGGGAGCTTGTCGAATGTCGGTGAACTGCGATACTCCGGCTGAATGCGAGTCGGAGCTGGGGAAATGCTTTGTTTGTTGATCTGTTATGTTGTGACCTGCTTCCGAAGCAGCAACATGGATGTCGTGTAATATTTGAGAGGCATTTCGATCCTCATGAATTTGAGCTTTGAGTCGAATGTGACGAAGGACCTAAGTGGCACGTAGCCCAACCGAGAAACACGAGTCGGTACGCAAAGTACTGTACCTACCCCGCTAAGCTTTTCGGTGACCAGTTGACTCGAAAAGAAATGAGATTTCATTGTCAAGCACATCATCCACTGGAGTGTACCAGTCTCGAGAGACATGTCAGGATGGTTCGACGTGACGTTGTCATGGTGCGCACGCCTCACTAGTACCATTGCAAGCAGCATCTGTATCAAAAGACAGGTTCGGGTCGTCGCTTGGAGGTTCTCGACGCCTGAAGAAGGCTCGCTCGGGCCCTGGAACAGGCCTTCCGTCTCCCAGATACCACAAGACGGCGATGCGGAAATTGGATGATGCGTCTTCTAGAGAAAAGTGATGGACTTCTCACTCTCCGTATTCCCAATTCCACGCTCTCCGGATTGAGTATTGGCAGGAGAGAAAAAGGAGCACTGATACTTTCTTGCGAATCATTTGATCGCGCAACGTTGTGGTCATGCGCGGAAGCACGCTTGGATCTTCTGCTTGTTTTGAGTTTCGTTGTCCAGGTTGACCTTCCATCGATCACTGTGAGTCAGAAATGTCTGCCCTCAGAGGTACACTCGAGATCTGGTTTCGGCATCTGCCTGCGACAGGTGACTATCATCATTGTGCAAGGCTGACAGGTGACTTCTGCAGGCGCGCGTCTACGAACAACCTCGGCTGCCGTTCGCAACGGTCTCTCAGTAGGTTCTTATCTTGAAATAGCACGGTTGTCAACAGTCCCGACCAAGAAGCTTCCGGCTCCTCACAGCAACAGACTCGTGAGAAGCATTTTAGACCTATCGTTTCCAGATGCGCGAAAATTCTCCGTGACCTCGACGAAGCATTATCGTCAATCTGATCAGCGTTAAGATGCGATAAGGGGCAAGCAAATGCAGGCACGTTTGAGGGTTAGCTTTCGACTTTGAACCGCATCTACACACCTAGGTTCGAGTAGTTGTCGCAAAGTCGCTGCCTCGCAAGACTCGCCTCACACTCGGGACACGGAAACACCCAACTATCGTCTCTCCGCTGTCGCAAAGGTAAACCGCCTCGCACCCGGTGTGGCGAATGCGAACATCTCCGGTTCGTAAAACCGTTGCCGTCCTCTGAATTATTCACCTTGTACAAGGCGCATGACCGAACGGAACTTGTAGGAGTAGGGAGAGAAGTCACGTCTTGCACGGAAGTGACGAAGGGATTTGTGTGGGAGTGGCGCCTGTCTGATGCAATGGAACAGGGGAACTTTTTCCCCCGCCTTGTGAATGATTTGTTTTCTGCGATGGACATGCACACCAGGGAGAGTGCTTTTGGAGCTGAACATCGAACTGTAATGAAAGTAGGTGCGTCTATTCAATGATCGGCAAGAAGAAGTAGCAAATCTACTAGACGACCGTACGTACGAGTTCTCTCTCGTGTCTTTTGCGTGTGCAACGTGGCTGATATTCTTTGCCAACGTCTGCCATGGCGGCTTCGAGTCTTTGCACAATGTTCGCATGACGCAGATTCGAAACACAGACTTGCATGATTGGAAGGAAATGAGACGACAAGGCAAAGGGAGGAGGTGCTTGGGTACGTAAACCTCCCATCGGACGAATGCCCTGTTGATCAACCACGACATCATTCCAAAGATCTGCTTTGACGCGTCCCTCCGCGAAGCGACCTGTGTGCGTGTGGGTCCGACTTTCGGTGCTAAGGGTAACGTGAGCCGAACTTTTAGGCTTTCCAATGGTCCACCAAGACCGTTGTGCCTGCAGGGATGGCTAGACCCTGTAGCGTGGCTCGTGGTACACCTGGAATGGTACAAATGTCTTGATGATCCCCCTTCTACTTACTTTGCTTCCGCTCTGCATCCCGCATATCTTTATCCCTCACGCAGAGCTTGAATCATCAACTACCGTCAACTATCAAGTGATCACACACCAACCTCATCACCCTATCACTGCATAATCACAAAAATGGTCACCTCAAAGTTTACCGAGTTGCTCGACGACTGCACGCCACTGTCTCTTCCATCGGCCAATGTCACTCTTGAAGACTGCCTCGAGAATCGTCAGAGATCTCCTTCTTCAAGCAGCAGCAGCTCCAAGGGTTCAATCGAGAGTGTCAAGTTCGCCGCCTCGACTCACAGCCCTCCTGCCACACCCACATCGCCTATCTCTGGATTGATGCGTGCATTCTCCACCCGAAGAAGAAACGCTCCCTGAAAGCCGTTTAAGGATTCAAGACACAACAACACACTCCTTCGTCGCCTAATCGCAAACACCAATTGTTTGATCACTTGGAAAACATCGTTCGACCCATCCACACCAGAAGCCTTTATCTTTCACCGACAGAAATCACCTGGCACCGCTACGATTTGATCAGCCAGATCAGCAATGCGACCACCGAACCTACCTTCACTTTTCTGCTCGGAACAATGTATCAGGTGGATCCCCAGACTCTGAGTCAGGGTCTGACGACAGCCGGTTTTCCCCTACCGGCTCGTCCGCCGTCAGGCCCCGTGCCCACCGAGTCAATGCCGCGGACATGCGTCCATACAGCGCCCTTCACCTGAACTCGAGCTGTCTAGTTCGACCGGATACAGAAAGTCTCTTCACTATGATCTTTCATCCATTCTCAGTGGATCTTTTCCACCATTCTCTTCAGCTTGTTCGACAATTTCGCCGACAAGCCGTTGGCTATTTCTTCCCCCAAAGGCTCAACGCTGTCTGTGTATACGAGTCGGAACAATAGAATTTTGATGTCCTTCTCTAATTGTGTTGCTTTCGCAAATGCCGATTGCACACATCCCATTCATGGAAACCATTTAATTATTAATCTATCTTTTCCATCCATTTTTTCTCTCCATGCATGACGCACTGTCCATAAATCTCCGTGATCTACAAGCGTTGTCGCTTCGCAGCGCTTTCATCTACTTGTCTGCCGCGTATGACGACGTCAATCATTCCCACGATGTTGATGCTATTGTATTTTGTCTAAACACTTTACTATGAATCGAGAAATGCAGGAAGAAATCGCACGAATAGGAATACAAGTCCGTGTAATTCAACTCTATTGTAAAGAATACGAGTCGCATGGCATTCGGCTCCACTCCACTATTGGAAAAATTCTCTATCTTCAAGCCAAGCAGTGCATCTTGTGGATTCGGCGTTCAATCTATTCTCAACCAATACAAAAGAATGCTCTCATTCAGCTAGACAGGATCTCTGCTGTGTTGTCCGACATGCGCCCTGTGTTACATGGATAGATGGTGCAAAGGTGACCTCAACAGTAATGTGAACTCGGACCTCGCCCGTGGTTGTCGATAGCAAGATGGAAGGAAAACCGAAAGACAACCAAAACCACTCCAACGCACTCTCAAGATACTGTTCCTTCACACAAAAAATTGACCAGATTCATAACACATGTTTCTGTGTGCCACTTGCATGGGAAACTTCATCTCAATGTCACTTTGTGGTTATTTAGACACGGAGTAATTACAGCCAGGGTGCTACTCTCATCCATGTGTCGCCAAGACCGAAAGTCCCATGAGCCGTGAAGCACGCATTTGCAAGGATGATTACAGAGACACGAGACTGACTGCATGTTTGTTATCGATCAATCTGTGAACTAGCTGTCACTGCGTGTTTGTTTGCGTTGCAGTCAATCAGAGCTCAAAGAAGATCTGATAAACTCCTGCCGAAGGAGAATTGGAAATCCACGAGCGGACCCTTGATCAACGCCTCCTCCGATTGCAAATCATGAGTGATCAACAGGACACGCAAACGTGTTCGGGCAACGTCAGCCTGTAAATCCTCCATAACGTCTGCCTATCTCAGCCTCCACAGCAGACGTAGAGCCAAAACAAATCATGGGATCCTACATCCTTTTACAGAAACGGTTTACGTGTGCAAAATGGAGGCAGAGCACAAAATCGCAACATGTCCACTACGTCAGAGGCTCTTTTCGGATGCGGCTCCGGGATGTCTGCGTCACGCCCAGACTTGATTTCTTTCCCTCCATCTCCACTTCCCATCTCACCACCTCAGGCCAGACTGCCGGAGACGGAAGGCACGGGTAATAGATACGCTTCTTACGCCCTTCCCGACTCGCCTACCCTTATCTCTGATACATGATGCAGACCCTGCGGAGAAGAGAGGAGGCGAAAGGAAAGTTACGGCTCCAATGCGTGACGCGTATTCCGTCAGCGTGTTCGACTTTGCACCTTCTCTTCGCTCCTCGGCCGACAAATCCTCAGGATCTTCGAACGCTGTGCGAAGGACCGACTGTTTTTGGCTAGATGACGAGCCGTTCAGATGACGGGAAGAGGAATGTAGATTCAAGCGACGGGCCGCTTCACATTCCAAAGCGAAACACACACAGGCTCATGCTCGCAAGTATTCCATGTGGTAGGACGTACTCTGGGATTAATAGCTTATACTGAACTATCATTCTGCATGCTCTCGGTACAATATGCGTTCAAGACGATGACTTGGCGACCTGAGATTTCTCAATCATTGCGTTGCCTAAGACGGCCTGGTGAGAACAATGCGTTGTGTCTATGAGTCCGAAAACAGCTTACCTGGAGCTACTGAGCATGAACTGATTTTGCAGTTACACGCATCCGCAACCAGTGTTCTACTTGTCCTTCTTCCGGAAGTACCCCAGGACAATGACTCGAGTATAGGTGGATAATTCGACGTTTGTAGATGGTTGAACGTCTCCTTACCTGCTATCACTTTTGATTGCGCGCGAGCCCGAAGTTTTGCTCTTGCCATGTTGGCTCGACAAGCACGCCGCGAGCTCCGCAGCGAATTCGACGACAAGCCAACAAGACTCGCTAGAACACGGCCTCGCGTTCGAACCACGACCCAGTTCGCAGACCCTGACTATAACCAGCCAACACCGATGCCAAAAAGTGCCGCACTCTCGCCGACTTGGGCTAATGTCCATAAGATTGCGAATGGTCGGCAATTCCATGAGAGGGTCAAGGTCTCTGACTTGGACCGATATGTCGAAATTAACAAGACCGCCAACCAAAGGTTCAGACGCGGAGATCATACGAACTTTGTTATTGAAGACAGACCTTCTGCATCTAGAACCCGTTCCAAGGATATCTCGAGCGGTAGCTTCTGTGCCGAACCTTCTATCTCACCCATGGGCGACTTTCAAGATCGAATTGCGAGGTTCAATTTTGCTCGAGCCCAAGCCATGGCGTCGCCACAATCTTTCAGAAGATCAGCCTCACGTCCCAAGAGAGTCGTGATTTTAGACGAATACTGGTTGGATGATGACAAGCAACGTAGGCGCGTGTTGAGCTCTCCGAGTTGGAGAAAGACAAGACCTGATACGCCTTCCTCTACCAGATCTAGAATCTTCGATTTCGCATCCGATAGTCGCATCTTGACGTCGATCGAAGACTTTCTGCCACGATCTCGCTAGGTCTGGCTAGTGGTCATTCTTGCCATCTTCGTTGGCTTAGCGCCGCCATCCCAGGATACGACCATTAAGCAGGCGCACAGGACTGTGTGTGCTCACCTTGGTAATCCTGCCGCTCTGGACTGTGATGGCAACTCCAATCTCACCATCAAAAATGTTCTCGATCATTGCCATGATACTGCGGGGAGAATCTACGACAGTATCCACATGGCAAGCGTGAAAGCATCTTTGGACGATGTGGTGCAATCATGCAAAGGAACTGCCAGCAGCTACGCTTCTGAGAAATTCGAAGACGTCAAGGCAGTCCGAGGTGACCTGAAAGAAGCTCTTTGCAAGCTTTCCGGATCAGAGGAACTCGTCGACTGTGTGAGAAAACCTGCTTCGAAGCTCAGCAACGCATATGAAATGGTTGGAAGCGTCGTTACGAGCCCTTTTGGCAGCAAGCAGACTGGATCATCTCGGGCATCACCAGCTCCGACTGCCGAAGCCGGAACGCGTCAATATGCGCAGTCTACTACAAGTAGTCATGCTGAGGTGGTCGTCCATGATTTCGTTATTTCCTTAGTATATGACTTGAGCAGTACTGTCGAGTCTAAGTATGCTTCCGCTCAATCTAAGCTGTCTTCAGTGAAGCCTCGGATGTCCTCCATTGGTTCGACGATTCGCAGCAATGCCCACTCGATTATGGACCAACTCATATCTCCAGACAAACATGAGACTAGCTCCGACACAGCGTCTCCTATGCCATCTCTTGCTGGTTCGAGCATGTACGAAGCTATAGAGTCAGTGTCCAGTCTCAAGGACCTTGAGCTTCAATACGACCTTGCTTTCGCCAAAACGTATCTTCATCTTCTACGGGACGACGATAGTTCAATCAAAGCACATACGGAGAGAGCGAGGCGTCAGATGCAGTCAGTTATGGACAAGTTGCGACAGGTGAACGGTGAGATTGACGAATTCATGATTTGCATAGCACGAGAGCCCAGCAGAGCAATTCAAGTGCTTTCTCGTGAGGTTTCTTACGAACCGCAGACAGGGTCACGATTCAGCTTGACAACGAGCCGGGAGAGTATAACACCAGAACACGCCCTCGCTACACTCAGACGATCTGCTCGATGTCACAAGCATGTAGAGAGGGTAAATGTGCAGTTGGAAGACGCACTGAAGATTCGAGAGAGGCTACGGAGGGAGATCGACAGGTTGACAGATATCTCGCACCGACGCGATTTTGCCAGAACAGCGCCTTTATATTTTCGTCCCACTCGATGGGCTCCTCCTGTAGGACCTTTTCCAGCCCTGCTTCGCCGGGGTTTACCCCCACTCAGCGCCTTCAATTCTGTCAATATATTTTACTGGAACGTATACCTCAAACGTAGCGAAGAGGAGAGGGAACAGGGCCTTCGACTGAATCGCTTGCGCGCAGCGCTCAGTCAAATCCGGGCTTCTTGTCATGCCTTTGACGAGATGAAGGTGTTGGCTGAACGTGGTCATGACAGCTTTGTTACTGCTAAGCATTACATCGACAACCACGAGGCTATGGTAAAATCAGACCCTGTCTCTGGCCCAACCTTTTTGCGGGAACAACTCGAGGTTATAAAGAACGAGTTAAAATCCAGCGACAGAGCTTTGGGTGAGAGGAAGAGACTCAAGGAGCAGATCAGAAGAAATGCGTGGACGCAAAATGAGAACGCGACCGATGTAGTGGCTCCGTGGGTCATCAAAGAGTTGCAGCTGTAAGCATGATGCCACTTTTTATTTGGTCATCTGAGCTTTGTTTTATGGTGATTTCTTCCTGCCTCTGCACAATACATAGCTCAGATATACATGATTTATGAGCTTGGCCTGATCATGATGTCATCCTATCTGCCGTGCCGTCCAATTTAAGATAAGTAGCACAAGACCTCATCTCGTCTGCTTGAGGCACTACTATACACAAAAAGCTTATCTCTTCTCATTTTTCTGGCTACCTGACCTAAGTCTGTATATGCCTATAACAAATTGAACTCAGACGCAGGCAGGAGAGCCGCAATACGTTTTGTTGCCCATCGGGTCACGAGTCACGATACGAGTCTACTGCTGCGCCGCCGCAGGCTTCAGGCCTCAGAATTAAATACGAGAGAGTCAGCGATCCCCCCTGACCTTTGATCGGTCGGTCAGTAATTTCATCTTGGTGCTTGGAGGAAATATGCAAGACTTGGCAAAGGAGCTGCGGGAGAGGCTTGTCTAGTACCAAAGCGGAAAGATCAGCTTGAAACACAATCAGCAGGAATTTGGATCAGATCCTTTGCTACGTTTCGGCTGTACATAAATTAACCAAAGCTAAGCTAATTCAGTAATGTTGGCACTGGAGAAACGCCATGTGCGGCACTACTCTAAGCGCTCGGTTCAACCTGGAGTTCAACCGGACTATTAAGGTAAAGGAGCACGCGATCGCTGGCATACAATTCTACATCAATTGAGGCTGTAGGTATCTTTCTTCTTCTCGTTCTCTTCTCAAGACAATTGCCGCACCCAGGAGGCTCTTCGAAGTGAACACATGTACTGAACGCAGGATTGCAAGATTGATACTGGACACCGGCACCCTATCTACTGGTACACACGCGACACACGTGCTCCAATGGCGACGTGGTACAGAGATCAAAACATGCAAGAGGACCTTCAAGGCTCGAATCAAAGTCTTCCCAGCATCTCACAGAGTACACGGGATCGGCTCGCGTTAACTCCAAAATGGTTACCGAGACGGAAGATGTTCATGCTCAAGGTGGCCATCATATCTACTTCGGTCTTCGCATGGTTACTCCTTTATCCCGGCTACCAGACAGACGCTGAACCGATCCCGTACACAATCAATGACGATTCTGGGTATCAAGTACAAGAAGACGAGACGCACCACATATTTCGGAGTAGTAATCAGAATCCGATGAGCCGCCATCCTTTTAGCATCAGAGCATATGAAGCTATAAGCAACGACTGTGCAGAACAGTGGATCGCACATCATCAGTGGGGCCCCGCATGTACTGGAACGGATCTCAGCGATGGACTTCAAGTAGACGGCGTATGGGCATGGGTCAATGGCTCTGATCCCGTACAGATTGCTGCACGACAACAATACAGACCCAGCAAAAACATGAACATGGACGCGACTCACAGATTTACCGAGCACAACGAACTTCTTTACTCTATGCGAGCCGCCGTCGCATCGCTAGGTCCCGAAACGATGCAGAGGACACATATACTGGCCAGTGCTTATCACGGGTCTAATGGAAGTCTTCACAATATGGCTGGACAAGTGCCGTTCTGGCTGAACAAGGAAGAGGCATTCACTGGTAAAGGACGTGTTGTACTACATCACGACGCAGATTATTTCAAGCCGATGGCTGGATCCACGACCAATATGTCGGCATGGGAGGTGCAAGAATGGAAAGATGCGGTCATTCCTAGCTTCAACTCACTGGCAGTCGAGGCGCAGATTCAGAATATCGACCATACGTGTGCTGACCAGCTCGTCTACTACAACGACGACTTCTTCACGCTACGCAAACTTGCAATCTCAGACTTCACTACACCTTTGTATGGGCCTGTGATCAAGACACTTACGAGGATCACAAGCATGTACTTGCCCGCCAAGAATACGCTCTGGAGATACATCAAGCCCGCAGGCGAGGAGCCTGGTATCAAGCGAGCTGGATGGGTTCTCGGTATGCGTTTCTCCCTACGCCCTTTGTACTACATCACCCATCATCCGAGAGTCCTATGGCTTCCACTTCTCCGAGAGGCCGCTCAAACCTTCCCCGAGGCTTTTACGGATACACCACTCTCGCGGTTTAGGATGCAGGATAATGTTCCCGCATCTATCCAAGCGATCTTCCTGGGGTCATGGTATGTCGTGGAACGACACCGTGAAGCGTTATTGTGGACTTGGGCAGTAGCAAAATGGGGAGGGCTCGATGGAACCATGAATGATCTGAAAAAGGAGCGTATGTGGATGGAACTGGCGAATGAGCCGACATACTCACGGTCGTATCTGAACATTCGCGTGCCTGTCCGGGCGCCTATTGAAGATCCGAATGTCTTCAAAAGTGCGAATATCAGTATGCCGACCTCGACCGAGTACTCGTTCTCCAGCAAAGACGGATATGCGTTGACGTACGTGGACTCGATGTGGCCATGGAATCGACCCAGGCATGGCTACCCAGATCTCACACAGGGTCTGCTGAAAAATCAAAACTCAACCGGGGACTCAACTCGGGAGTCTCAGCATGTCAGGGATCCCAATTTTGTTGCTGCAAAAGCATGCGCGATAGTCCGCTCAGCCTGCTTCGACTCATTCTCTGGAAACGAAACCGCCAGCGATTTCTTCAAGCGCATAGCCTTCGAGCAACCCAAATGCGGTGACTGCATCATCACTGCCTTGATCGGTGCAAGCGGACCATCTGGTATCGACAAGTTTTTGCCGAACTCCCATACTAAGTTGGTCTCAGAAGCTCACACACCCGCTCAATCGCGTCCTCCGCATCTGCCTCTGACCTCGGATTGGACGACATCAGATTTCACTTTGACTGAAGCCATACCGAAAGACTCCATAAAAGCCAACATGACTTTACGAGCCTGGTGCATCCGACTGATTCAGCGATACTCATACGTCCTTGGCTCAGTAGAAAGCGACTTCTACAAAGTTGAGCGAGCAAAGACGCTAGAAGCTCATCTGAATGGGGTAGAGCAGAAGCTAGAGGAAGACGCAAAGGGCGGAGTGAGCTCGCCCGATTCAATCGAGGACACATTTAATCTAGGCGAGTCTAAAGGACCTCTAGCATTCTTGTGTCTGAATGACGACATTACAGAAACTGGCAAGCTTCGAGATCGTGTCGACGAGCTGTTGAAAGATTTCTTCAGCAAGATGTGGCCCAGTAAGCTGAGCTTCGAGAGATGAGAAAATGAACATCTGATTTTCTGTTTGACTCTACCACTGGATGACCTGTGCTTCTACATCTGTGATGTGTCCGAACGTCGTTTATTGTGAGCCAAGATCCATCCTCGGGCCTCTGTAATGCTTTTTCGCACACACAAACCAGTTGATACCACTGAATACAGCCATAGTAGCCAAAACAGCGCAAGTGTAATCTGTCGCGTCGTTAGTAGTGTCCTCAACGAACCCACGAGAAGATACACTCACTCATACTGGATCCAGTAGTCGGAATGGCAGTCGGTAAGTCAAAGAAGACAAGTTCAATGATAGCAAAGACAACAACGATAGCATTGCATGTCCACCCCAGCCAATTAGGAAGACGAAACCATCGGTCCTTGGCAAGTAGTTGTTCGCTTCTTCCCCTGCACATCAATAGCAGGCAAGGCATAGCGAAAGAAATCATTTGCAGAACAATAGCTGTGTTAATTAGCGCATTGAACGCAGTAGTGGAGGCGAGATAGATGCATCCTGCGATAAACACCACAGCTGCATTTGCCAGAAGTGCCCAGACAGCAACTTCCAAGCCGAGATGCATTTGAGCAAGGTGTTTGGAGAATAGAAGACCATTGTCGCGGCCAAACGCCCAGATGAGGTGAGAGGAGGTCTGTTGGACGGCATTGATGACGAAGCAGACGATAGCGAGGAGAGCGACGAGGAAAGCTGTCGCTGCGGCAGAGCTATTCGTCGCTTGACGCCAAAGCTCGTAGATGGGCATACTGAAAAACTAGTGTCAGTTGTCTGCAGCAATGATTGACACAATAGAATACTTACGTAGTTGCTACCAGAGAATCCAGGTCTGTGATACCATAGCACATGGCAATAGTGAACACAAAGGCAGTGACAAAGCCAATGACCACCGTCGTGCAAAGAGCCTTTGGTACCGTCTTCTCAGGCTCAGTACATTCCTCTGCCAGATGGAGGGAAGCGTCTAGCCCGGCAAACATGAAGCAAGGTGTTGCGAAGCCTGAGAGAAAGGTCACGCCGGCAGGCCAACCAGTGTTACTTTCCATCGTCGCCCAGACGTATTCTGCAGATTGTTTCTCCGAGCGTACGAGGCATGTAATAGTGACGATGATGAAAGCGGTCAATGTGAGAAGTACTGGATCGTGGTTAGTTGACATTGGCGCACAGCAAGACGAAGGATAATAAGCTTACATCCGACATTGTGTACCCAGGGCGTCTTGGCGAGGGCGAAGAGATTATACAAGAGGAAAACGACGTTGATGGCTTGATAGACCAGAAAATAGTGCCAGGCTTGGGGTGCATAACTCGGTTCATAATACAACACCAAAGCCAAAAGCATCTGAGCAGCGAGAATAGTAGCAGCAGCACCAAGAGCGATCCAAGAGAACATGGCAATCGAGCCGCATGTATATGAGAGGCCACGACTTAGCCGTTTAGGGGCGAAGATGGACGTGAAGTGATATCTGAAACATGATGTGAGTCAAGCCAATGGGCGTACAGGTCAAGAAGTAACTTACTGGCCACCAGCAGTAGGATAGCATGAAGCCATCTCGGCGAGAGACGCTCCTGTAGCTGCATAAGCAATGGTAGCTAGAGGTATACCATAGATCAGCGTCGCCGTTCCGCCAGCTGATATAGCGATAGCTAAGCTGGAGGCTATGGCTACCCAGCTGTTACAGATGTTGAAGCTTAACGCGACGATGTTCAGTATACTGAAGTGTCGACGGACTGTTTGTGAATGAACATTGAGGTCGCTGACATCTCCTACGGACACTGACAGTCTCTCTGGATCATGAGCAGCAAATTTGGCAGTTGTTGAGTCGGCTCGAGCTGTATTGTGTATGTGTTAGTTGTGGTGTATGATAAGTACAAACGATCCACACTCAAGGCGTACTTCTGGAGGGCATATTCTTCTCTTCTGTGAGTATCATAGTGGAGAAAGCAAAAAGGGGTCGATAATCCGCCGTTCTGGTGAAGAAGCAAGAGGGTACTTATGTCTAGCCATCGTCTGAAGGGAGGAGATAAAGGTTGACGTATATCGGCAGCGTGGAACAGTCCCGTCCAGATACACAACTGATCCTGGATTGATACCATGAGGTTTGGATAAACTTTACCCCGCTCAAACTGGGCGGTAGTGTCATGGTACGCTCAGCTGGCCGTGATCGTATCTCAATTCCTTGTTAGCAACAAGGCTGTCGCTGATAGAATGTTTGGAGGGACCTATCAGCAACTGAGGTACGTCTTCATCTCACCCAGATGGCCAGTCATAGATCATGGTTGTTCTTTCGGAGGCATGGAGACAACAATCCCAATGAGGAAAGAAGAGTGAGAATTCCGAATCAGGAATAAATCAGGAGAAACTAGGCCGGATCGGGATAGAAAAGTGAGAGACCTCCGAGACTCGGGCGTATGGCTTGCGATCCGTCCTGAAATCGAGAGACGATAGGTGGGCAGAGCCATAACTATTGGTCATACTTTTACAGCATTGAATGAAATGGGAGGGCCAGGAATTTTGTGGGAGAACAATAAATAGACGGGCATCGCCAATTGACTGAGTAAACGTCGGCAACTTATAATTCGCAGAACAAACCGTCATCATGACTTCGAGAGACGGTTACCAATGGACAGAGAAGTCTGGTCTCATTAAAGGTGTACCAAGTTTGGGAGTCATTCAACCACCTACCAATATCAAAGATGAGCAGGCGGTCTACGACGTTATTGTCATCGGAGCAGGTTATTGCGGGCTCACAGCAGCCAGAGACGCTGCACTGTCAGGTGTGTCCGAGATGTGAATGATGTTCGTTCTCTCAGCTGATATGAAAATGCCTAGGACTCAAAGTGCTGTTGCTTGAGGCTCGTGACCGCATCGGTGGGCGAAGTTGGTCTTCCAATATTGAGGGCTACCCATTCGAAATGGGCGGTACGTGGGTCTCCTGGGGGCAACCGCACGTGTGGAGAGAGATCTCTCGGTACGAGATGCGCGATCAGCTAGAGATCTCGCATGATTACTCTAGGGGAGTCAACTATTTCTCGCTCAACTCCAGCAGCAGTAGTCGCAATATGAGCCATGACGATGAGGTAAGTCTCGCAGCTCAGAGGAATGTATAGTGGCATGCGTAGTGGCTGACACCTCATAGGACAAACTCATGGAGTCTGCACTGAAGAAGTTCGCCAACGTCGACGGTCAATATGGCAGGATTATCATGCCCTTCCCGCACAGCGAGAGTCACAACCCAGAAGCAGCAAAGTTTGACAAGATGTCCGTCGCCGACCGCATGGCGCAAATCAAAGACGATCTCTCACCCGACGAACATACCGCTTTACTTGGATTTGTCCTGCTTTGCAGCTGCAGCACCCCCGAGAAGACCAGTTTCTACGAGTACCTGCACTGGTGGGCTCTGTGTAACTACTCGTATGAGTACTGCATTGAGTACCTCATCAAGTACAAGTTCAAAGGGGGCCAATCCAGTTTCGCTATCAATTTTTTCAGAGAGGCTCGAGCGACGGGAAACCTATCATACGCCTTCAACACACCGGTCGCCACAGTCAAAGACAATGAGAGCGACGTCGAAGTGACCGCAAGAGATGGAAAGACATACAAAGCGGCGAGGTTGATATCAGCCATTCCCATGAACATTTTGAAAGACGTCACTTTCAGCCCACCCCTGATCGTCGGCAAGCTAGAGGCCTCGCAGACCTCGCATGTCAACAAGTGTGTGAAAGTACACGCCGAAGTGCGCGACCGAAACCTGAGATCCTGGAGTGGGATCACATATCCCAACAACAGCTTGATGTATGCTATTGGTGATGGCACCACACCCAGCGGAAACACCCACATCGTTGCTTTCGGCGGCTCTCACAATCAACTGCAACCAGAGAAGGATATCAACAAGACTTTGAGCGCACTTCAAGCTATGACTCCTATGGATATTGAGAGAGTGGTAAGCGCAAGTCCGGTAGATGAATACGACGATTGCTGACGATTTCCAGGTGTTCCATAACTGGGCCGACGATGAATTTGCAAGAGGCGCTTGGTTCTTCTCCCCGCCAGGACTTGTGACGAAGCATTTGCAAGAACTTAGAGCTCCCCAGGGCAATATCTACTTTGCAAACTCGGATTGGGCTGTAGGTTGGAGAAGCTTCATTGATGGCGCCATCGAGGAGGGCACCCGGGCTGCTTTCGCAGTAAAGAAAGACCTCGATAGAACACGATCATCACATCTTTAGATTTTGGGTATGAAGAAAATGCAAAAAGTCGCCTCATCCGGACGTGTTGCAAGTCGAGAAGTGCCGTTTTTGCCTCATATGATAAGAACGGGATTGACGAGACTAGGGTTCCGTGCCCATTCACCGTTTGGTTGCAGTAGCCAGATCATTTTCAGACGTTCCAATGCGACGATAATGTTGTTCATCCGTGTTTTCTCATGTACCTGCGCAAGCCTGCGTGCAAAGAACTCTCGGTGACCCTGATCGTTGCTGGAAGCTGCGGCAATAAAGTAGACCCAGGGTAGTGTATGCATACAAGGATTGTCTGATTTGATAGGCGTGACCAGAAGCCTGAGTTGTTCGATGTCGTTGAAAAGCTGCCCAGCGTGGTAATTGCCAAAAGCTTGGCGCATGTATATGTTTCGCGCTTGCTGTATGGCTTCCTGGAAGACGATTGTGTGCTCAGCGATACTGGGGGTGTCCGAGTATTGTTGGGAGAAAATGAAATCAAAGTAGAAGCTCAGATCTTTGCCAAACGTTTCACGGCCTTGTGAAAGGTCAAGCAGAGGCGGTGTAAATAGCTGAAACCTATAGAAGATGTCAGAAAAAAGTAACAAAATTGTGTCAAAAAGAAGTTTCTGCGCACATTCGTGATTGCTGGAGCAGAAATTCTCGCTTGGAGGTCGAGCCCACGGTGAGGAGTCTTTCGTTGCTCAGGAGACTAGTAAGCATCGGATAAAGATGTACGAAATCCTGTGAGCCGGTGACAGTCTCTCCTACCAGGAGAAGGATGATCGTAGCCCAGGTAGACATGCTGAACACTTTGTTGCTATTTCCGGCAAAGGCGTCTGCCCGTAACCTCTGTATGATAGCTGATCGGCCTTCTTCTGCGATGGAGAGTAGATCAGGTCGAGTGGTAGATAAGTGGAATGCCGCTGTAACGGAGACTGCTCGTTGTACGAGGTCGTCTTCATATGCGAGTGGAAGCAGAAAGTTGCGATAGCCGTTCGAATCATCGTCAAAAACGACCATTATTGACGCAATACTTTGCGAGACTAGCGCCTGTCAGAGATTTGGCAATGCGGGCAATATTTCACAGTACTAGCTTACAGTGGTTGAAGAGCATCTGTATACCTGGTTTCAGCAATTCCAGAGTCAGGTCAGCAGTAGGGTCGGGATATAGCAATAAGCCAGGGTGACCGTTGGCTGAGCTGAGAATGCGTACGTCGCTCTGTCTCTGATAGGGTGTCAAGGTAGCGATATCCTCTACTGCATCCTCAATATCAAGATCCAGTGTGTCGTGTTCGCTGGGGTCGGGTCCTTGGACCAGGGTGGCTTGACTCCCATCGCACTCTGGCTGTGGCGATAGTACAGGTGCGCTGGCCAAGTACTCTCCCAGCTTGGGCGCAAAATCGGCATTACTAGGGAAGGTATGGCCCTTTCGCTTGCCCTTTGATATCACACCATCGACAAACCTGATTTGGCGGCCTACACCAGTGCATGTGATGCCTTTCTTCAAGCATTTAGCGCATTCAGGTGCGCCTTTGTCGCATTTTATACGACGCCGCGAGCACTCTTTGCATCCATCTCGCGGCATTCGTGTATTATCAAGGTTTGGGAGGTTCGAAATGAGGTCGAAGGTGGTAGGCCGTGTAGGCGCTTGGAAATACAGCTGCCGAGGAGATCTCGACGTTCGATTTCCCCTCACTCAAGCCGATCTCAGGCTTCACCCAAATCTTTTCGAATTTTTTTCTTCACTTTTGCTCACCGTCGCGACAAAATAATGCCTTACGCCACTACGTGCACATACACACGAGTACCACCAGACTGATCACTATGGTTAGCGCTGATCTGCGTGTTGCAGCGGGACATAGTCGTCGTCGTAGGCCAGATTATTATAATTTCGTGCTTCAATTCGGCTTTTTCTCCACCGGTTTTCTTCAAATGAAGGTCATATAAGGCTTGATTGACGCAGGCTTGCAACGGGCAGATGGCCGAGTGGTTAAGGCGCTGGCTTTAGGCGGCTTGGCACGCTGTGGACCTCACGGGGCTCAGGTATGTCATGCAAGACTTGAATCGCCAGTTCGAAAGAGCGTGGGTTCGAACCCCACTCTGCTCATGACTTTCGCACTTCTTTTGACCTCAATCGGACCAGGGACGATCGATACATGGGCGGAAGCCATATTTTTGCTATCCCAGAGAAAAAATGGAACAAGCGAACCAGTTTGAGGCCCGGCACACTCATAGTTGAATCAGGTATGCTCGATAGCGGTGGGGGCAGCATCGCAGTGCAGTGGGAGAGCTTAGAGACATGATCGCCCCTGTCTAGGGGAAAGAGGCTTCCACTGTTACGTTTGACGTGCGGCAAACGAAAAGTCGCCTGCTGAGCTTCGAAAACGCACAGGTGACATTGAATGTCGCGTTGTGTCAAGACTACAGCTACAAGTCTAGGTTTTATCGAAAGCAAAGTCCATAGCCGTATGGTTATATTTATTTGCTCCAAACGCTGCTGGGTCATGGTCAAGTCTAAAGTGGCCTGTGAGTGGAACGCAGCCCGACGAAGTGGTATGCCTGGCATCATCACGTGACCGACGGCGGACAGCAAAGCTGAACCGGCACGGGAGACTTGCTACAACCGTGGAGTTGCCTTTGCGGTGATGGGAAATGCTCCAAATGATGTCATGTTTTCGAAGTCGAGCGTGAGTATCGATGTCCGTGTGCGATAGCCGTTGGAGTGCTGACCATGTCGCTTGTACGTAGTCACGGCGCATATCATGTTCTGGCGTGCCGATGCTCCGTCCTTAAACGGAGTACATTTTGCCGATACTGGTGATCAAGAGAGCCTAGCGACGAGACATGCCCGGTTTGTGTAGATCTTTTTCCGCTCCGTGCCCACGTTCTGCCGCTGCTTTGGCCTTCGACCGTTGATACACCCTCTCCACACGCTGCCCTCTCCTTTGGTCCATCAGCATGGGAACCATGTTTTGTGCCTCTCTCAATCCGCTGATCAAGTTTTGATCAGTCATCGATGAACCTCTCAGCAACCTAATGAGCCATACTGACCGCTCAGATTGGATGAGTGTTCTGGAAGCCTTTAACGAGGTAAGTGCTTTGTCCACCGAAGCATGCATGGCTCGCAGTCGCGGGTGGATGTCTTGGATCTTTTTGAGCAGGAGCTCCGTTTCCTAGACTTTAGTGGGAATCTTGGGATGTTCACCACCGCCTGGGAGCACTTCTACGGCAGCTTCAGATCCTTGGACGTTGCTGAAGGGCAAAGACCACAACACAAAGCGCTTGAGCCATGACATCTGCTTCACTCTCTGATGCAGACTCTCGCTGGCCACAAGATCGTCTGCTACAACGTCTGTGACTGCAAGAAATACACCCGCTTGCTCGAACGGGACTCTCCGGGCCTCTCCCATCGACTCGAGCTCATGGCGCATGTTCTCAAGGACCATTGCCCACTCACCAAAGTGGTTTGCAACATCTGTTTGGAACTCTTCCTCTGACGTTCTCAACAACATGTTGGACCGGACATCTACTGTCTTGTCTCTGATGTCCAAATATCGGTCATCGATAGACACCATGTTACGATGCATGCGATCAAGAAGGAAGTCCTTGGTGACGTCCCATCCGTTGATATGGTCTTCCAGCCAGGTCACGATATCGATGAGAAGACTGACGATCTCCTCACGCATGTGCTGTGCAATGAGAGTGGACTCTGCGACACCGAGTCTCCTTTCCTGATCAGCCTCGGTGATTCGGCTCTTGATACCATTGCTTGCAACGTGGGAGACTAAGCTGTTTCTCATGGCATGAAGGCTTGGATGTGGCTTCGCCTCCGCTCTCCCGGTCGGAAGATTCTGTTCCGTTGGCCGGGAACACGTATTTGGTGGTATTCGGGTGCTCCTGCGTAACGAACGCAGCCCTATCTTCGTCTCCTCAGACAGGTCCAAAACATCATCCACTGCGTTCGGACTCTCCGACAGTGCATACAGGACCTCCGGGATTGCACGACGTACAGAATGAGCACGCAGGGTCGGCTCCGGCTCCAGATATGTTCCGCAATATTGTATCCTTGAGACCACTGGGAATCTGCAAATTCGATCTTCGAACCCTGTCTCGATATGAGCCAGACTGCTTGCGTTTGACCAGGGTGTCCGTTGAGACAAAAGCCTGCTGCAAATGAAAGTGATGCCGATGAGGGCGAAAAGGCGCAAAAGACATGTTTGCTTCCGCGATATTGCCCAAATATCTGGATGGGGAGCCTTTGTGGATGGCTTTGCACGATTTGATCTTCCCTCGACAATTTGAGAGCGTGCTCTTAAATGCGAATGAGATACCGATGCGCCCAAGCGAGCGATTTTCTTTACGTGTGTATCCTGACGAGTGATGCGTCGACTAGGTTCCAGTTGTTTCGAGACACGTTTCCGTTCTTGAGGCTGGTTCACTGCTGTAGATGTGGTATACGCTGATGACACTTCGTTCAGCTCTTGCCATCTTGGCTTTGCATTCCTCAGATCATGCCCGCTTAAGCCGTCAGTACGATCAAAGTCTGCACTGTAGAGATACGCCATAAGTTGATTGTATACAGAACTACCCAGTTACTGAAACGGACGAATAATTTGTGTAATGAGCTTTTCGTATGGCGGTGTTCAACTATACTGGGCATAAATTTGCAACTTCCGCATGCGGATAGTATTTCGAGGGTCCCGGGAAGCGGTGGCAGACTTACCCTAGCATTCCAGAATTTTGATAGGTCCCTAGGCATCCGAATTTGTTAGCTGGACCGCATCACTGGTACGGGATGCAGTTTTCGCATATCTCCAACTTCCGACAGATGCTAGAAAGGTCAGGGAGAGTGATATACTGATGCTGTTGTCGTCGTTCATCCGTTTCCGAGCAATCCTTGCTAGTGAATTACCATGTTTTATCCTCGATTAACGTTCTGAAATCTCAGACATACGATGGATATCGAAAGAGTAAGTCACAGGTGCTGAAACGGGTTGTGGTCGTGTACACCAATGTTTGGCTTATTCAAGAACATTCAGCCTCGCGGGGCAAATGATACAGCACTGGAGACTCTCAATGTCCATATTCTGGTTTTTCTTGGTATGGAGAAAAGTGTCTGTAATCTAGGTCGAGGCTTCTTATCTGGCCGCTTCCGTAATGTTGTTGTACAAACACAGCGCGCATGGTGAAACGGCGGCGAAACCTCTTTCCCGAGAGGCCAAAAGTCGTATCTCTGCCACGCGCGATCAGACAACGGATCTCCAATCGCACGATAGCAGCATAACTATCTCGGTCCACGACTCCAGGTCCGGCGAGTGGGCGCAGTGAGCATGAGATCCGTCCATTTCAACAAGCTTTTGACAGGCAGATAAGCAAAAGATATTGTCATCGGGGATTGAATCAGCCGGGGGCTCGAAGCTTATCTAGCTGGACTTGGCATCCTTCCCCGCTGGAGGGGAGGAGCGCTTGTTTCACGGCTCCGCTGGTTCGAACATTCTGACACAAAAGCGTTCCTCTGGACTTTGATGACTGCTGAACTGCGCTCACGAAGCCTTTGCGACCCCTCGCCGACTGGTCCGCTGCCGAAAGTCATCTTCTACGCCGCCCTGTGTATTCATGTCACTCGCTTCTAACCCGCCGAGCTCGGCGGGGTCCCGCACGAGACGTGTCGCTCTCTTTCCCGATCAAGCAGGTTCTAAGCATACTCTCCACTAACTCTCTAATGCTTGTCGATCCATCATCACCACAACTGCTATCTCGTAAACACCCTCGCGACCTTCCTCTATCGCACCCGCGAGGCACCTCAACAACCCGACAATCAATGTCGACCCGTCATGGCTCTCTCTAGAACAGGGCTAACCATGCACCGGCTAAAATATTTCGTGCTCGCAATCTACATCAAGATTGTCGTGATCTTTCGGACGTAACTGTATAGATACTGTAGGTCTCTGCTATTCGACCCCTCCTCTCTCTTCCTCTCATCTTCTCACTGTCCTGTCACTTTTCCCACTCCCGTCCTGGCAAAGATGTTGGAGACTCTCCTGTTCATGCTGCCCGTGGTTGGTGTCGTACATGCAGTTCCATGGTATAAATCGGAATCATTCTCCCATCCTGGCTTGTCTTCAACGGGTGTTTACACACCAGCACAGCCGAAGCCGTCATGGTATCGCCCATACCTAATTGGCTCGTCGCATTCTATCCATTGGGGTCCGACTAACTCAACGGGACCCGGCACTGGCACTGGCGTTTCTTCAACAGTTGTCATTCCTGTATCTACCGAGACCTTGTGGACTACCATTGGCACAACCAAGACTGTACCGGTTACGATCACTACCATTTGCACAACCGAGACCTTGCCTGTGACACCCACGACCATTGGCATAACCGAAACTATATCAATCACGGCCACGTCCGTTGGCGGAAGTCAGTCTGCTCCGGTCACATCTGCTATCACTGTTCCTACTGGAGCTAGTCCATCGTACGCTAAACCTTCCTCGTCCGCGCTTCCCAGCCCAAATGCATGTTTAAGCGTGTCAAAGCTGGTTGCATCGGTCGCATCCGCTTCGCCTAAAGCTACACCAACTGTAAGTGAGAATTTGTTGATTGAACTGGAGTGGTGCTAATTATGTGTTATTTTCAGGTCCCAGCTGAACTTGCTTATGACTGCCTTCATTCCATCCCCTTTAATCAGAGTGCTGCTTCTGATTTGTTGGAGTCGATGAGACCCTATCTCAAATGGCAAACAACCATTTCCTATCTCAAGGACCCTCCCAAGGACGTGAGTAGCGCAATAATACCATGCGTTATCACTGTACAATAGCTGACTCTCATTCAGTATGCAGACAAGGTCCAGCCACCATACGACTTCTGGGGTGTTTTTGATGGCATCGAGGCAAAAGTCACCGCCGGAACTTATGCCAGCGAATACGCTTTCGGATATGATCTTTACGAGGCTTTCCAACAAGCACATGACGGTCACTTTGGCTTCACACCTGACAGTGTTGGAAGCATCTTCACCTTTGGAAGAACTGTGTCTCTTGCCTCTGTCTCTGAGGACGGTAAGAGTCTGCCGGTCATCTACGCATATGGCGATATTCTCGCTGCATCATTCGGCAACGCATCTTTCACACCATCTCCAATCGTCGAAATCGATGGACAGAACGCTACTGAATACCTACTCAACTGGTCGCAATTTGGCTCTCTCCAAGACAGGGATGCTCTTTGGAATAACCTTTTCTACATCCCTGCGCAAGTATCACTTGGAACATCTGGTACTGGTACCGGTACGTTCTCCGGAAGCGGTCGTGGCCGTTATGCCTATCCTGGAGCAACAACCACATTCGTGTTCGCGAACGGCTCTACTGTGAACAACCAGAATTTTGCCAGAGTGTTAGCCAACTTCGCCAATATCACATCCGGAGCAGACATTTACAGAGAGTTCTTCGCTGTCCCCGAGGATGCCTATGAAAATGCTCTGGATCTTGCTGTGTCCACTACCAGCAGTGCAACTAGTTCTGCCACCGGTAATGCTACATCGTCTACCTCGTCTACATCAACAACTTCGACCCCTGCTCCGGGTTACCCATCACCTATCGTGCGTCAATCCAACAATCTCAATGGAGGCTACTTCCTGGACCAACCTGGTTTCGAGGATGTCGCTGTTCTGTCTGTTCCCTCCTTCGTAGGTAGTGGCGATGTGGAGGAGGAGTTTCAGAACGTCAATAGCGAATTGATCGCTGCTGCTCTGGCCGCGAACAAGACTAAGCTGATCATTGACGTCTCGGCCAATGGTGGTGGTACTATTCTGCAAGGTTATGACCTCTTTAAGCAGCTTTTCCCCTCTATTCTGCCGTATGGAGCCACTCGTTTCCGAGCTCATGAAGCCTTCGACATTCTGGGTCAGGAGTATTCTGCTATTGCTGCAGACTACCCACGAAACTTGAACCAAACTGACGATATCCTCGACATTGAGTCTTCAGCTTGGAACTATCGCACTGACGCCGACGTCAACTACGAGCCTTTCACCAGCTGGCCTGAGAAGTACGGTCCTCATGAGTTTGGCCCTGGTCCTGACAACTTCACTTCCATCATCCGCTGGAATTTGTCTGACGTACTCACTCCTCTCAACTCTGGCGGTATCTACGTATCTGGCTACCTTAACCGCTCGAATGTCACCGTCCAGCCTTTTGCGACCGAAAACATCGTCTTGGTCTACGACGGCTACTGCGCGTCCACCTGCACGATTTTCTCAGAGCTAATGCGTCAACAAGCCGGTGTCAAGACAATTGCTCTCGGTGGTCGACCTAACTACAACGAAATCCAAGGTGTTGGTGGTGTCAAGGGTACAAACGACTACCCGTGGTCCTACATCCTCAGCGCCATCACCGAAGCCTTCACCTACGCCAATGGCACCCATCAGGAAGAACTCAACAAGACTGCTCTAGGCGGTTACTCGCAATTACCTCTGTACCGCAGTTCCTCTGGTCCTGTCGTAAACTCACGCGATGGCATCCGTGAAGGCGATGTTGAGGAAACACCACTCCAATTCGTGTATGAAGCTACAGACTGCAGGATCTTCTACACTCCTGCTATGGTTGTGGATCAAAGTGCTGTTTGGCGTACTGTGGCTGATACTGTTTGGGGAGGTGGTAATGCGTGTGTGGCTGGTAGTAATACTTTCTATGGCAATAAGACCAAGAGAGATGGTGGTGTGATGAGGATGCATGGTATTCGTAGAGATGTTGATGTCGAGGCTGCTTGGAAGGGGTTGAGTGTACATACTGGAGAGAGTATTGTGCTTGGTGGTGACTCTATTATGCTGCCTTGATTAAAACAAGTATCTAGAGTGTGTCTATCAATACACATATACCGCTGAACTCCAGCACCTGTTACTCCATCTCGAATAGTTATGAAGCCCACTCTATGCATGAACGTCCAGAAAAGCGACAGAAAACTCATACCCGCAAGCAGAATAATGCACGATAATCCGATAGCAAGGATTAATCACACTTCATGGTCGCATTCTATGCTGGTGATCCATGGTGAGGAAAGAGGCCCTCAGTCAGGCTGACGTTCGAGACGTGGTGAAGTCGTGGAATGCAGACGGTGTTGTGAAGCAAGGCATGAGGTGTTGATCCCCAGCATGATGCGCATTGTTGTATCTCCTCTGTCCAGACGCTTTTGCCAGCGCGCGCAGAATTTCGAGGCTTCGGTTGTCATGGTAGGTAAGAAGCCAACCGAGTGACTTCCTACCCGACGCGTCCTTCGGAAACGTCAGGGTCCGCTTTCCAGCGCCTCTCCCGGCAGCCGCAACCCTTGCCGCACTCCCGCTTACCCCACAATCACCTTGCCGACTCTCCATGAGGAAGTTTGACGGCCTTTTCGCACGAGCTCTTTCCTTGTTCGTACAACGGGCCCGCGATGATGGACGTGATGTAGCTGACGAAGCAGATCCAGAAACATGGCTCATGAGTGATGACGAAGGGTTGCAAGAATGCTTGATAAGCGTAGCTGCGTGTGACATTGCGCAAGATCGCAAGTCGCTCGCTGCGATATGAGCTAGGTAGTGACTTCCCTCTCTCGACATCCCTCCCATCGCGACCAGTTCATCCTCCCAACATCACCCAATCCCACACCTGATCCTAACAATGTCACTCCCCACCACCGCACGCGTCTACCGCCGCAATGAAGCCAGCAACGACATTGAACAAAGCACCGAAGAGCTTCCCAAGTCACTCAAGCCGACAGAAGTCCTCGTCCAAATCCACGCCGTGTCCCTCAACTTCCGCGATGTCGCTATGCTCAACAATCGCTACCCTGCCCCCCACTCTCCCCACGGGATCCCCTGTTCAGACGCCGGCGCCAGCGTGATTGCCATTGGAAGCTCCGTTACAGATTTCGCAGTCGGCGACCACGTTTCTCCCACTTTCCGCTGGACAACTCCTGACGGCGTCATGAGAGCTCTGGGAGGTGACTTTGAAGGCGTTTTGAGAGATTACGCCGTCTATGAAGCTGATGCGCTTGTCAAGAACCCGGACTATCTGTCTCATGAGGAGGCGAGCTGTATTCCTTGTGCAGGCGTCACGGCATGGACTTCTCTGGCTCTGGATGACTGGAAGAAAGCCGCCAACATCAAAACAGCTTTGATGGAAGGCACGGGCGGTGTTTCGCTCTTTGCTCTTCTCATCTGTCTCGGTGCTGGCATCACTCCAATCATCACCTCTTCCTCTGATACCAAGTTGGCTGGCCTTCAGAAGCTCGCCGGCGACAAGAAGATCCACACCATTAACTACCGTAACATCCCCAACTGGGCCGAAGAAGCGCTCAAGTTGACAGATGGCAAAGGCCTAGATGTCATTGTCAACAACGTAGGCGCCAGCTCTATCGAGCAGAACTTTGCTGCGTTGAAGAGATTTGGCACAATCAGTCTTGTCGGTTTCCTCGGTGGTACGCCTGAGAAGATGCCTGATATCACAACGGCCATCTTGCACAAATCCGCACATGTGCAGTAAGTTCTCTCCCCATGTCACATTCTCCACTCGCTATCTTGCCGTATCTCCCTTCTCTTGCTTTACACGTTTGTCCCTCTTCTTCCACCTCATTTTCTCTCTCATGCCTCACTGGCATTCTTGATCTCTCTTTCCTCTTACCTCAAGAAATCACGCGACTAACACGAACACCAAATAGAGGTATAGCAGTAGGCACGAAGCAAGACCACCAAGACCTCTGCAATTTCCTCGGCGAGAAAAAAGTGCACTTGGGCGCTACCATCGACAAAGTCTTCTCCTTTGACGACTCTCCCGATGCATTCAAATACCTGTACTCTGGCGCTCATGTAGGAAAAGTAGTCATCAAAATCTAAAAGACAAAAAAAGACTGGATATAGGGTCAGAGACGGAAAAGAAGGGAAGGATAGACAGGGCAAGAAAGTATCTCCCATCAAAAAGAAAGATGTTCACAGCAAGTATGAAACAATGCGTCTCATACAAGAAAAGTTTCTCGTCTAAACTCTTATATAACACCACCAAGTCCTCCTGCTCCTTCCGTTCGTACATTTTACAAGTATCCCTACTCAGTTATCAGCGACAAATCTATGGAAGAAATCCACAGAGTCAAAGAAACTCCTCTTGTATTTCCTCTCGAACCCCCCACTCGTACGATCAACACGCTGCATACCAAACTGGTTAGCATAACTTCCAAACTCATTATTATCCACAAATGTCCACGCCACAGCACCAATCACATTAACCCCATCCAAGAATTTCGCCTTGATCATTTCAGACAAGAAATCTTGATAGTAGAGGGAGCGTTGGAGATCAAATAGTTCTTCGGGCAGAGTGGGAAGTTTTTCTTCCGCAAACGTGTCGAAGCCGAATTCTGAGATCAATATGGCCGAGGGACGGAAGGTGTTCCAGACATAGCCCAGTTGTTGGCGGACGTATTAATGGGCGATGTAGGCGTAATCTCTGGACCTTTGGCCCATCAACCAGCCATTCTCCTGTACATTGCCTAGTTTTATGCAGAAAGGCCAGAGTGGGTCACTGCTGTTGGAGATACAGGCATCGATGCCTCCCTCAGGTGCAGAGCCAAACTGAGCCACGTAAGGATCTAGTGACCAGAAATCGATGGAGCCGTGAATAAAGGAGATTTGTTCTGCAGTTAGAGCGGTGAGGTTGAGGTTTGGTGTATCCAGAGCTTCTTGGGGATATTGTTGGCCGAGGAAGAGAGGGTTGCCGAGGATACCCAGGACCAAGTGTTGATATCTGGTTGTGGCCTTGACATCTTCAACATCCGTGGTTAGGGGTACGGCCAAGTTGTTGGCGAACTTAATTGTGAATTGGCCAGTTCCCTTGAGAACGTCCTTGTACCACTTGTAGACTGTAGAATGACCAAGAAGGACGTTGGTGAAGCCGTTATAGGTCTGGAAGGTATGAGGGATGCCAAGATTGAGTTCGTTAAAGGTAACCCAGTAGGGAACCCTGTCAGAGTAGCGAGTGAGAAGTTGCTGAGCATAGTAAACAAAGTCCTCAACCGATGACGAGTTGTCCAAGCTAACAGCGATAGGAGGATCAAAGTGAACCATTGTAATAATAGGCTTGATACCATGCTCTAAGCAAGTGTTGATGACATCATCATAATGGTCAAGCGCTTGGATGTTGACAGGAGTATCCTTCTTGCCGAACGGGACTATTCTGGACCACTGAATCGAGAACGAGTAGTATGGTACTCCAAGCGCGGCAAGACGAGCAATATCCTGCTTGTACAAGAAGTAATTCATGTCAGAGACCACCGCATCATCAGTAGTCGGAACAGGTCCAAGCAGATTGCCGAGCTGGTCAAGACTGCTAGGACCACGTCCCTCGGATTGAGTACCGCCTTCAATCTGCCATGCGCTACCGGACATGCCCCAGATAAAGTCCTTTTCCAGCTTGTGGCAGTCGATGCATGACTCTGCGGAACCAGGGCAAGGAGTGTAAAGAGCAGGAGGGTAAATCAGTTCAGTCGACGGCACAGGAGTGGCCGATGCAGTAGTCGTAAAGGGGACAGTGTTGTTGTAACTGTAGCCTTCCCACTGGGCAGCGTAAGCACTTTGACCATATTTGCCATCAGGGATCGCAGTCGCAGCGGGATCAAGTGACCAGGTCGTGTAGGTGATGTTGGAAGGGAGAAGCGACTTCGCAACAGTATAAGCCGGAGCAAAGGGAGTAGCAAACGTGACGGGGAAGCCAATGGGGTAGCGTAACGATTGGTCGAAAGCAGAGTGTAGCTGAATGAGCTGTAGGAGGGAGAATAGCTTGTTGATGCACAAGTAGATGGATCCTGCTTCTCGTCAGCAAACGAGTCTCTTACAAGTAATTCTGCAAGTTGCCCTTACCCGAGTATAGCTACCGATGGGAACAAGGCCGATTGTGCTTGTTGGGCATACGATTGTGGTAGCGGTGGTAATCTCAGTCGTATAAACAGTGGGAGCGGTATTGACAGAAACAGCCGTAGCCAAAATCAAGCTGGGCGTAGACGACCTTATATTGATTGCAACAGATTACTCAGAAGGGGCAGTTGCGACTCAATGTCTTCTTTCTTCTCACTACGCTCTTCTAGACAGCATCTTATATATCAAGCATTCATCGCTTAAGCTTGCCTCGATACAGGCCAGCGGGTAAGCACGGCCGAGAAGCGGATTCTGCCTTCTGTATATGAAGAGTCGCAAGTGCAAGACATGTCGCCAAACAAGCATAAAAGAAGCATCTTTTCCCCCGCTTCCCCCACGATCCCGTGTCTATAAGGCCGTATCATTCCCCCACACGCCCCGCAAGTCGATGGCAAAGGTCGCACTCCTTCTCCAGGAAGCCTCGGTCAAGCACAATCAGCCTGTATACCATCTCTTTGTCCGGTATATCGTGGGATCGTATCCACTAATACACCACTCCTCTAGTCGACAACCCATGTTTCTCCAATTTCTCCGAGATCGTGGTGAGCTTTTTCGTTATCCTTGTGAAGAGGCTTTTTTCTCTCTTCTCCCCCATCTCAGTCTCAATGCTTGGTGAATGTCTTTTCGATGCGTTTCCGTGAACAAGAGTTAATTCCTGAATCCCGTAGCTTTGTCCTTTTCCTTTGTGTTTTCTGACGAGAGAGGGAGGTGTAATGCGCTGAGAAGATTTTAATGCAGGGTTTGGTGTCGTGGTGTTTTGTGTAAAGCTGAGGACTTGAGCTGATGGGGTGGGGGATGAGGTATGATGCGATGGTGGTGTGATTGCTCTTCTACGAGAGGGATAGAGAGATGGAAGTATGGTGGCAGGATCAGTGCGTTCGGTCCTGGTTATCAGATCTGTGGTGTGATTGACTTGTTGGCTTCTCTCCACGTGCTCTGTGTTGTTTTCTGTATGAGGTCTGCGTATACCGCCATGCAGATCTTGGGTCGCGAATCTTGTTCTCCTCCACCTGAGACTTGAATATGTGTCGTCATCACTGAGTCTCTCCGAAGGCCTGATCGCCGGCATCGATGCTTCCATGGCTTCCTGATACGTCGGTAGTGGCTCCGACTCTGTATACTCTGGTGGCTGTCGTGCAGAATCTTCTTTAGTTCTCTTTGCGAGGAATGCAAGATATGCCTTTTGTGCTTGTCGAGCACTGGGTCCACTTCCAGAATCAACGACTTCGCGTCTTGTTGCTTGGACGTGGGCGCGACGAAAGGCTGTTGCTGACTCGATTGAGGAGGAAAGGTGTGACATCTTGAGCGAGACTTTGGGTGGTTATGTGGGAGGTTTGATGGCTTGTGCGTGCTTGGTCTTTGATGATGATATATCGTGATTGTGATCGTGATATTCCGAGATAAAAGCTGGGTGATCCAGATATCGCAAGACTTCTCCAGTGTATTGCAAATATAATTTCATCTCCGTCACCATATGGAAAAGTGCTCGAAATTCGATGATTCGATCTTTGAATACAAGGAGGTAATGAAGAAAAGAATTCAGAACAAGATGAGAAGGGAAAAAACAACAACTTATATACCATTACAGGAGATTTTTCCTGATGACTCAAACCTGAAACATTCTGTTCATTTACAGCAAATCTGCTCATTGATGAGTTGGATTTACTTACTTTGCATCTAACCTTGCCACGTAGCGACTGATTGGAAGGAAACCCATAACTGATCTGTGTCCTTTGAGGGAGTTTTTCTAACCGTTTTCTGCATTTGATCTGGATGATGATGTGAGCATGAAAGTCAATCTCTGGGAGGAAAGGCCGAGGACAGCAATATACATGATCAAGTCCGTAGTATATCAGCGCAGGTACTTGAAGATCCTTCAACCATGTATAGGTACAGGTTCTGATCTTCTCGTTCTCTTTTTTGATGGATTCTCCCTTCGTGATTATTTTTTCCCCCTCTGTTCCGCGCAGAGGCAATGGTTCTCGACAAAGTGCACTTGTTTTTTCATGTCTCAGCCCAAGCGAACCAGGTTCATGCAGCCGTATCACGTCGATATATCACAAAAAGATCAAAACCTTCCATCGGTCGTGTCGCTTTAAGGGGCGTCTTCCGCGTGTTGGATACACACCCATTCGCGATGGAGATCACGTTGGCATCCCACTCTTACACTAATATAGCATGACACATCTGTAAGATGCCTCTTCCACGCTAACGAAATAACCATGTGATTGTTCATAGAAGATTTTGGATCAAGTAGAGAAGGCTAACAGTTGGCTTCGAGTATCTTTCTCATCAACTTCCTGGCTCGAGCGTGGCCAGACGCTTCGGAACACCTTCAGTACAGGTTCTCGATGGCTGCAGACTGTAAGAGCCTTTTGCATGAGGTCGATGAATCTTCTGAGATCTTGTTGAATGAGTTCGTGACTCATTGTTGTGTTAAAGTGTCAAGTCGCTCGGCAGTGTGAAGTTCCTGCGGGTTGTTTGGAAAAAGGAAATCTAGAGTATAAAGCACATAGACAGGCTTCGTATTGAATGCAGCCATTACACAGCCTGCTTTCCTTCGTTAGGCATGCAATCATCTTATGCTGGAGGTTGATAGAGCATGCTATTATGAACAAGCGACGGCTTTCTCACGTGCGTAGGGCGTCGAAAAAACCTACCTGGTCATACATACGCTTAAGGAGGTGACTGTCAACCAATAAATTAAAAACAAGTTAGTCTCCATCCTCATCTCCGTTTTGCATCATGGTGGCCCTTCTCCTGCTGACACGGTCTTTATGTGGTTGTTCTTATGTTTTTCCAAATTTTCTGATTTGTTTTCTTGGGGGGTTTTGCTGTTTCTGGAATTCGCGACATCCTCAATCATTCTGCACATCTACTATTGCCATTTCAGATTCGCAAGTCGAGTCGTACACTTCTCCACGCCCACATCTTCCACAAAGTCAAACTCAATGTCATCATCGAATCTAGCCTTTTCCGAGAATTCTTCCTGTTTCGCTTCGATCTGTTTGCTTGAGCCGCTGGTGTCGGAATGAAGCAAGAGGACAGGTTTGGAGGAAATTGCAGAGGTGTTGCTCAAGAAGCTGTTCGTGGTCTCGAGGAGATGCTTGACAGATCCGAGGAAGCTGCGGTTGGCTTCGAGGATTTTTGCATCGGCGCGTCGATCGTAGTGACTGTTGAGCTGCAAGATTTGACGTCTCACATTTTCAGACGGCCATTTCCTGAGGTTGTCGACTTCTCCAGAGTCCAGTACTGCTTTCCAGAGCTGAACATATGTCCAGAGTTGCTGCTCGATACTTTCTGGAAGCATGTTGCTTAGAAGGTGTTCCAAGATTTCTTCTGGTGGTACAAAAGTTCTTCGACTGTGATGAAGGAGTAAAAATAAGGGAGGTGCATCGAGAGAGAGATGATACCTGCGTTGTGAGAAACAGCCTCAACCATGCCCGCTTGGCTCCAGTCCCTCATGCTCCGTGAATAAGGTTGGATTCTAGCTGACCAATAAAGATACGCAGAATTTGACGGAAACGGAGAAGCGCCCGCGTTGGTGAGTACAAAGCCAGACAGTAGAGCATCGCAGCGCAAGAGATTAGTCACCCAAGAAACTGACCTTGTATTGTTTATCATCAGAGCTGGAGACTCCCGAGCTGGAGCAAGTTCCATCCTGGTCCAGAGAATATTGGCACGATCGACGTCCAAAAGATTCTCCCGAGAATTGCCTCAAACAGATGAAATGACAGTGATGTACCTGCTCTTAACCATGTCAGGACGAGTGGACTCGTCAGCGCCGAGAAGTCGCAGTTGTCAGGGTATCTTCTTGATCGGCCCCTGAACGAAAAAGTAGTCACGCCGCCGCGAAGCGCAAAGTAGGTAGAGCGTATGAAGTTCACTCCCTGTATTCAACGTGATGTCCTAGATTGCTTGGGATATGGCGCATCACAGTACGAAGGTACTCGTCAGTCCTTATCAGATTTCTCTCACGTAGCAAGAGACGTGATCAGAAGGTGCGACAGTCAGTCATGGCGACCAAAGCATCGGTGAATGTTCAGGACTTCTCCTACAATCCCTGACAGAGATTCATCAGATACAGAAGGATAGGAGCGCAGTAGACGTTGCAGCGCGACAATGTCATGTCTGTAATACGAGCTTCGTCGCGACGTCGCTGAAGTCGGAGGTCGTCCCGCGAATCGAAGGATGTACGAAAGTGCCAAGCAATTTCAATCTTTCTGGTCAAGAAAGGCAAGTCCCAACAAGAGAAGAGCAAAGCTGCATTTGCATAGGACACAAATGCTATCCTCCCATCTATATGCTCATGATACAAGGCTATATGCGAATCACAATATTCCTTCAAAACCAACGCCTCTACCAACATATGTCCTCCCAAAATGGTATCTCCCAAGACCCAACCCTGCTGACCACGATACCGAAACACCAAATGCATGCAAGCAAATACTCATTATCCTCCAACAACGGATCTCTCTAGTTTCCTCCCTTCCCGTACTCTCTCCACCAGACCCTCCATCTGCGGTATCAAATCTGGTATCCTGAAAGGTTTCGTGACAACACTGTCCATTCCACATTCAATAGCATGTCCAATTTGTTCACTTCTTGCATTCGCTGTGACTGCAATCACTGGCACATGACTAATGAGCTTTCCTTCGTTTTGTAGAGATCTTATGCGTTTTACAGTATCCAAGCCACCGAGGACGGGCATCTCGAGATCCATGAGGATTACCGAGAGGGGGGTCGTTTCTGATGAGGATATTGATGTTGGGCTGAGAGACTCTCCTGTCGCCGCTGTGGGTGGTTCAGACCAGAATGCTGTTTTGCAGAGGAACTCCAGTGCTTCGAGGCCGTGGTTTGCGAGGTGTACCGTGCAGCCTAAACGACGTAGTTGTTGAGCCATAACCTGTGGAAAGACTGTCAGTATGCATAGGGAAGAACCGCTTTGATGAATTTACCCGTTGATTGATGATGTTGTCCTCAACCACGAGGACATGCAGATGTGGCTTCTCTTCCGTATGATCAGCCGTCGCGACGGAAATCTTGCGAACGCCATTATGCTGTTCGGTGGTCGTGCGAACGTCGAGGGTTGCTTCTGAGGATCTCGGAGCCGGGTCGCGAGTATAAGTCACTGGTGTGTTGAGGGTCGGTGTGGTGAGGGTGCCGTCCGATATGCTTAAATCATTTTCAACGGCTCTTCTGGCCTTGATGTAGAAGCTGAATGTGCTGCCCTTGTCAGGTGCACTGTGTACACCAATCTGACCATCTTGCAGATCTGTGAGCTCTCTCGAGATGAACAGACCTAATCCGCTGCCTCCATATTGCTTGTAGGTCTTGGGACTGGCTTGCGAGAAGCGATTGAATAGTAGGCTCAACTCTTCTTCGTTCATCCCTTTACCGCTGTCTTCGACTGATAGAGACAAGAAGATTTCGTCACCAGTACCCCACTCGGTGGTGAAGTGATGTTCCGGTCTGTTGGTGCGAAAAGGTACATAAGGAGCTCCATACATGCCAATTTGTGGCCGAGTCAAGGAAGCATCCAGGTGTACTGTAATCTCCTTGCGGCTTGCAAATTGAGTAAATTTGATGGCGTTTGTAAGGAGATTAATGATGACTTGCAACAGGCGACTGGAATCGAGCATGACATTGCCGACAGCGAGGTTGCGGTAGTCCTTGTGAACGTGAAGCTTGATGCTGATCTTGGCTCGTGCCAACTCTGCCTCGTGCATCTTGAAACACTTCTCCATCAAACCTGGCATGTCGACAGTATCAGGTGAGACAACCAGCAGATTCGAGTCGAGTTTGCTCAAAGTCAAGATATCGTCTACGATGCGTCCCTGATGTTGAGCGCAAAGAATGATCGTTTGGGCTGAGTCCATGATGGTCTCGAGTACGTCGCCACCTGGTGACATTGGTCCAGATGCAGATACGGAGCCTAACTGCTTGCTATTCTCCAGTGTCGTCAAGATGCCATCAGCAGATTGCAGGATGGCGCTCAGGGGGTTCCGCATTTCGTGCGACGTCATATCTATGAAGCGGTCTGCTTGACGTTTGTGCTCGAGTGCATCTTCGAGGCGCTCGCTCAATAGACTCTCCGACGCCTTTTTTAAGGATATCTCGGTGACAAAGCCTTGTATCGCGACTACCGTGCCGTCAATACCAATCTCGGCGACTGCAGTGCCTTGTAACCAAGTATCGCCAACCATCTTAGTGCCAGTCGCTTCGTCAGTGTACTTCCAAGGCTTCTTGATGCGGTATTCGAGATTCAAAGGAGTGCCATATTGAGCTAGTTGGAGCCACGCTTCGCCGACTTTGGCTTGGTCGTCGTCGTGAATCCGGTCCCCCCACCCAACACCACTACGTTGGGCCTCGTCGAACTCTTCTCTGGTAAAGCCAAGAATTCTAAAATAAGCCTCGTTGAGATAAAGAGGTTCTCCGTTTGGCTTCAGCAAGTACATGCCCAATGGAGCGTCCGCCGCCAGACGGGCAAAACGGGTTTCAGACTGTTCAATCTCGATCTGCTCAATACGAGACTTTTCGTGATATTTACGGTCGCTGACATCAAGCAACCACCCTTGGACGTGGGTGATGTTGCCGTCGTCATCAAGCTCCGGGGCTGAGGTAGCCAAGACCCATGTGTCGCCTAGCAGAGTTTCACCGGATATAGGATCTGTAAACGACCATTGACGAGTCACGCGATACTCCAGGGTGAAAGATTGCTTGTCTTCCAAACACTGGCGCCAGGAAGACATGACTCGTTCACGGTCATCTTGGTGGATGTATTCCAATGGATCGGTACGAGCTTCAATGGAGGCTTCGGTGATGCCGGTAATGTCCAGGTAAGCCTTGTTGTAGAAGGTAGTGAGCGAGTCGGGGGTGATTGCGTACATGCCAACGGGAGCAAGCTGAGACATGCGAGCGTATCTCGTCTCCAAGCGTTCGGTCTCGAGAGCAGTGGCGCGTAGTTGTTGGGCGAGGGAAGCTTCAATCAGCTCAAACTTCTGACGAGCACGGCGCTGCTCTTCTGGAAGGAAAATGGCAGAAGCCGACTTGACCAAGACATCCCGCAAATAGTAGGCAAACATGGCAGCTTCCTGATCGTATGGTCGTCTTGGGGTCATGGCCAGAGTCAAGAAAGCCATGATATGGTCACCAGAGATGTCCGGTAGAGGAATGATACAGACAGTGTGGACCTTGGCGCCAGAGGCTCTGGCAGGGACGGCAACCGACATGACTTCTGGCAGAGACTTGTCTTTTGTCTGCAGGACGACGACATCACCAGTCTTGGAAGCTTTGTAGCATGCTCGAGCGAGGGGGCTCTTGTCGGTGGCGCAGTCGGCGAGATCGAAGGTCAAGGGCACGGCAGCATGACCGGCAGCAAGACCAATTGAGCCCTCCAGGGCGTATCGTTGTGTAGTGGAAGCGGAAGAGTTGGACGAGTTGGACATGTTGTCTGGTACGGAGGGGTCGGCAGCGCTTGGGTTCGTATGGAGGAGAGCGTAGGGAACGTCGTCGGTGCACAGCTCGAGGCCTTCCAAGAACTCAAACCAGAGCTCCTTGACGCTGTTGACCTTGGCGATGCCCTTGTTGATCCGGACGACGGCGTCTCTTCTGCGGTCAATGACGACTTGGTCGGTGACCTCGCTGAACTCGTCGATGATGCCAATGGTGGTGCCTTGTGCGCCGACAACGGGGATCAGATTGAAGGACCAGAACGTGTCCTCGGGGTAGCCGTTGCGTTCCATGACGAGGGGCAGTCGGTTCAAGCGGGTGCCTCGCCCTTCGGTCTGGACGTACTGGATGAGGTGCTGCATGTCGGACCAGATGTCGGACCAAGTGTCTTCGGCCTTTGAGCCCATGGCACGCGGGTGTCTGTCGCCAAACATGGAGATGCACGACTCGTTGTAGATCATGACATGGTCGTCGCCCCACAGCAGCAGACGAGGATCAGGGTTGGCCATGGCCGAGAGCACGGCGCTTCTGAGGCATTCCGGCCATGCGGCCATGCTGCCGAGCGACGTCTTGTGCCAGGGGAAGTTGCGCACGAGGTGCATGTGGGACGACATTGCGGGAGACGGGGCCTGTGTCCAGTCGAGGAAGCGGCTGGCGCCGTCTTCGGACACGGTGCGCCATGATGAAGAAGCCACCGACTGGCGGCGTGAGTCGGTCGAGGACGAGCGGTTCGTGAGCGAGCTGTTCTGCGAGTCTGCGCGTGGCGCCGCTGCTGGAGAGTCGTGGTCCTTGGTCGGCGAGTCTTCGATGGCGCTGGCGACCAGCCATTTCTGGCCCTGTAGTATGCACTTCCAAGCTCTTCCTCCGTATGTGGCAGCCGTCGTCGTCGGTCTCAGGGACGAGGCCCAGTCGCGGAAGTGGGAGATGTTCCACGCGGCACAGAGGAGTCGTTCGAGGACGGGGTTACGGTATGCAATGTAGGCGCGGTCGACGTCGGTCGTGTCGAGGATGAAGGTGGGACGAGAGTCGTGCTGGAGAAAGTCGACGAGTTGGAGCGACTGCAGTGCCGCATTCTTGGCCGTGCGGATGGGCATGTCGTGATCCTGACTGCCCTCAGGCGACGCCATCTCGGGTCGCGCTCTTTTCTTCGAAGTGCGGTCGCCCGCCATGGCCGTCGTCATGTCTGGACTCCTTCCATAGACTCTGCTATGAGCGCAGGACGTCCAAACATCGACAGCTCTCACAAGAAGAACCTACAAAAATACACTTTCAACTGTATCAACGTGCGCGCGTCTAGACCGCCGCAATCACGATCCGATATTACTTCCTTACCAAAAGCCTACCTCGGATTCCAAATTGCCTACTCCTGCCGTTTTTATAGCCTGATTAGACCTGCAATTGTCAACGCTTCCAGCGCTTTTTCTAGAAGGAAATAAACATTCTGCTTCAACTCAAGGAAGGTACCATCATCGCTTCCACTTCCTTCGTCTTGGCAGAAACCATCCGAGCATTCCGACGCCGACGCCATCTGCATCCGATCTTTCTCCACAAATCCCTTCCCGCTGTTCAATCATCAACAACCGACTTTGACTTTGACTTTTGTCCTCACAACATCGCATGCTCTGTATCATCTTCTGCCAATATCGCCATGTGATCCGTCTTCGTATTGTACTGAACTGCTCTTCCACATGAGTTGGAAATGGGGTCTGTCTACTTACGTTCGACTGGAAAACTAAGGTAAACCGCTTACCTGGTCTTGCTAAATTGGCCATTTCTTCGACTAAGTGAAAGCGGCCATATCTGCTTCCTTTCCGCGCAATGAGCTCCCTTGCTTGTTTTGATCTTCCATGGAATGTATCTCACAGAGCTTTCCATTAATTCGCCCAATCGCCATCTTCGACTTTCTCTTTCACATCCCACCGTCACAATGTCGGAACCGTCAGAAGAAAACTGGCCGGAAGTATTTTCCGCGCAAAAGCGTAAACACGCGCAACTTGATGCCCGCGAACTTGCGAACAAGGCACGACAACCAAGATCAAGGTCCACCCAACCACTCTCAGAATCCTATGTAGGAGAAGAGGGATGGTCGGGGTCTCGTCGAACATCTGCTGTTACACCGACAGAGCAGATTCGTCCAAAGCGTACTTTTGCGCAGTCTCGTCGACAGAGGGAGCCTTCTCGTACACGCAGCAAGGCTTGGCCCAGTCCGCCATCAAAGTGATCAGTCCCACGTCGCTCCAGCTTGTATGACAAGTTGAAGAATACTGTTGTTCCGGAATGGGTGTCGCCTTTGGTCATCATCATGTTGGCCTTTACAATCTGGAGCTTCCCTAGCGTCGCATTTTTCTGGCACCCTGCGGCCGGTGTGTTTCCTTCTGTGGAAAACATGTCCAAGCTATCTGAGAGCATACCGAGATATCTCAACCCACATCTCCCACGACAACTCTGCAATATTCCTGTCGCTCGACGTCTTCTTTCATGCCCTGACCCTATCGAGAGACAACATGTGCCAAGTTCGAGACAACAAACGACAGCAACAGAGAAATGGCGAGAAGATTACACTCTTCTCTCATCTCTCGACTTTGTTGGCTTGGATGCTAAGAAAAAACACTCAAGTCCAGCAGTTGACCGCATCCACCAACGTACTTCTTACCTCTTGCATCAAACAAATATCGAACAGAGCAGCATTACTCGCTATATCGACATGGTTGAAGCAGGCAACAAACAGATATCGAGTCACTACGATGCCATCTCCAAGCAATTGCAATTCACTTCTCGCTTGCATAGCTCGTGGTCCAAGATGTTTTATCCCGATGTTCCTGGTGGTCCGGTGTGGCTTCTTGCAAAGTCGAACAATGAGATACAGAAGTTGGCCACTAGTGCCGAGCATTTGGAGCAAATCTGCAACGACCAACTGGATGACGTTCTAGAGGTGCTGGTCTCCACTGCAGCATCACACCAAGATACCAAAAGACCTTTGTTCCATCCTCGGCAATCAAATCCCGAAGGACATCATTTAGTGATTGGATTGAGAAAGGGTTTAGCATTACTGCAAGGATTTCGCGAAGATCTAGAGCTTGAGAGGGCTAATATGGTATAATCACAAAAGCTTTTGCAGGGAGACAAGATTGGTAGGCAGCAAGCAGGAAAGGGAGAAAGACCGAAGATACTGGAAGAACACATGGAGAGCATCCGACGCCATGTGCAAGTGTAGCTTTGGAAAGCTAAGCATCGGCGTGCTGAGAATACGCCGCACCAGCCTCGGAAATGTTAGCATTATTTCTACATCTTCAACTTTTGTTTCTACCAAAGACTCATGCATTTCGAGCTTAATCAGCCACTGTTTACGCTTAATTCCTGGATATGGATTGTTCAATTGGTGACACCACTCCACTGCAAGTGCACGATATGCTCTGAGCACCAAAACGCCAGGGTCTGACTACTAACAAAGTCGATTTTCAAAGTTCGTACGAGTTCAAGATGGGGTTCAGGTCCTGATATATCCGGCCTGTCTGGATCATGCATTACATTGACCTTCCTTATCTCATTACAGTTCACAAGTGTCTCTATGACAGTGAATCACTTTAGACAGCAACAACTACCCATGAATCTGCACATCTCAACGTCGGGAAAAGCACTCGAAAAGTTTTCTCTCAGAAGTCAGTTGTGCAATTTGGAAGACAAAGATTCATCCAAAGGATATCAAATTGGGAAGAGAAACATGGTCCAAAAATCACATCAACATCGACGTCACGCAAACCCATCAAGGTGCAAGGTATCCGGCGAGTTGCGAAATTCTCGCTTGGCACATCACACCACAAAAACTGTGCACTGACCACAATCACGCCGTCTATCACCAGTCCCCGGCTCCTTGTCACCTCATCCATCACGCTTTCAAAATCCTTTGCCTAAACTCTCCCATTTCTTTTCACAGCATTCCATATGCCGCAGTCTGTGTCCGTGGTTCGCATGCCGCAACCTGCCGAATCTCCAGGTTTTGAAGCTGTCAAATGTGTCTGTTTACTTGGCGGGTTGCGGCAAACAGTCGGGTTGGTATCTGGTGATCTGGTGATATATCGGCCATGCGGCGTTGTGAACCGGGTGCATGCGAGTCATTACCGTGATGTCGTAGCCATATGGTATCAGAGGAAATGTAGGTTGGGGTTTGTATAAGTATACCATATTCCTATTTCTTGTGTAACCCTTTTTTTTCAACATCATCATCATCACACATCACACATCAATCAATTCGAACACCAACAAGCAAAGCCAGAATCCAATCTCTACCAAATAATCATCTACTTTGCTCAACTACTCAAGCCAGATCTTGATTCTATCAATCAATTCCCACATCAACGTTATCTCGACAACATCAACAATGGCATTCAGACCAACTCAATCCCGCGCCTTCTTCCGCACCCTCCGCACTTTGATCCGAGAAGAACACCCCTTCGCCCGCAACACCGCTACACTTCTCCCTCACGCCCATGACAATTCACTACTTGTCCGTCGTACCTTCCGCACTGCAGCTACATTTACACCTTTCCTTGCGTAAGTCCCCCCCTTCTCTCTTACATTATCCTTAGCGCTTTGCATACGATGCTGACTGGAGGGAATAGTGTTGTGTTAGGATGGCCATTCATGGCAGCTTCGTTGCTCAAGAAGACTGGTATCTGACTCTTTCTGCCCATCTGTGTTCTTGTGGATGGGATGGGGAGGTCGGATAGAGTGGACTTTGTTGTTGGGGATACACAGTCGAGTGATTTTTTGAATGCTGCTGCGACTTTGGCTTTTGGGGAGCATATAACAAAGAGCGCGGATGGGCGTTTGGAGATCGTGGAGGATGTTTGATGAACTTGTTTTTCTTCCCTTTTTTTTTTGTCTTTCCTGTCTTCTTCTCAACTTTCTTCTTGTTGCCATCGAGCTTGATCTTAGCATTTGTATGGGCGTTTCTGGGATTCTGCCTTTGTTCTTTAGACTTCTGAGATATGTTGATACGCGATCTGATACATTAAGCTTCACATCTTGCACATTCTTCTGGCCCTGGCCCACGTGAAACACATACCCAAATACATTCTAACAACACTGATCAGTATCGATGCGATCTCAAAATTTAGCCACTTCTCCCAGAGCTCTCCAACAAGGGATCCCTCTCGTTAGACTCTCCTTGCTCCACAGCTCCCCCGCTCTTCTCCTTTCTATCATAAATGATAGCCATGACAAGCAACGCCCCCTGCAAGACCCCCGTAACGCAATAAACAAACCAAGTACTCCACCCCTCCCACCCAACCCTCAACCATAAACTAAACGCAAACACAAACGCACCCGGAACCTGAATAAGCATACTAGCAATACTCAAGCTCAGCACTTGTTTAGCTTTCCACGTCGTGTAGAGTTGAGGGATATATTGAATCGAGGATAAAACGGCGGCGAGGATACCTAGGAAGTTTGCCCATGAGAGGAGATGAGAGGGGAGGTGGTAGAGGAAGAGAGTGGAGATTAGACCGACGGTGAGGAGAGAGATGAAGGATGTTACGCCGACGATTACGGCGTCGCGTTTGCGGGGGGTGTCTGGGGGGAGGTGCTCTGGAGGGGGGTTTGCAAAGGCATCGCGGGGGAAGAAGACGAGGAAGAGGACCATACTGCATAATCTCATCAGTAATTTCCCAAGCCGTGGGGAGACAAGAAAGAAGCTTACATGGTCATGAAGCAAACCCACTGCACGCCAATCTGCACGACACCCAGCAAAGCAGCACCACAAGCTTTACCAGAGATCTCGCGACAACAAGCCATATCATGCTGACTAGACGGCAGAACCAAGATATTTGCAAGCGCTGCGATGGAAGAGATGGTGCCTAGTAACACCCACCAAGGCGAAAGACCAGCAGAAGTGCCATGACGAATAATCTTTACATGTTGTGGAATATACGAGATCAAGATGCCCAGGACGAGTTGACTGCGCAAGATATATATCAGAATTGAGATGAATGATAGGACAGGCGCACACGGGATAATTACACAGAGAGAGCAAGGACCCAGCCATTCGGGGAGGCGAGGTGTTCGCAGTAAGGATCCGCCGTCATGTTGGAGAAGAGTCGCAAGAACGACTGTAGATTCTTTGCGTATTCCTGATGTTTTATAGAGCTTGCGGAGATGAGACAGGCCGATGTGTGATGATGGTCATGTGTGATTGAACAAATGGAGGTCGTCGCGCTTCGGAGCAGGATTACGCGACGCGTCAGAGTGCTTGAAGCTTGAAATGCTTAGTAAGCAAAAGTCTGTCGCATCCCGAAATGCACGGTGAACTCTTTTGCATGTTATTTAGATCGCGTGAACCGCCTAACCCCCTCTTTCACCCGCTCATGCTGAATGAGACAGGTAATCATCTTGTAGGCCGCTTATCAACTTGCCATCCCTCTACTCTTTGCCTCTCAAAATCTCTCTTCATCATCCCCCAAGATCCGGCTCGAAGATCAGTCCTATTCCAAGGCTGGAACGCCGCTGAGTCTACCCAATCATCCTGTGCAGTCCAGGGCAAGATTCCGTGGCTCCAATCTCCCGTGCAGCCAGTACCGGCGATTACAGATGTTTGCCCGAGGTATGGCTGCTGGCCAACCAGTTCGTATTGGTAACGGGACGAGCTCTGGCCGAAGAGGCGTGTTCCAATGATGCCATACCAACTGAAGACCTCGAGGACACCCCAGTACTCGCTCTCTGCGATCTTGTAGCGACAACGTATCCACTTCATACTGAAGTAGCGTCCATCTTTGTTAGATGCCAGTGGGTCATCGTACCACTCACTCTGCTGACAACCACTCCAGGGGTTACTCTGTTGACCAGGACCTTGGGCGTTCCGGGTGTGTGTTCTGAATAGAATCTTCTTTCTGCCCTGTGCCCCTTGGTGTAGCGAGATCTGGAGAACATCGAGGCCCTTCCCGCCGATTGACGGGGTGAGCGCAGTGAGGTATGGTTGTACTAGGGGTAATGTTTCCTCCATCGTGCACCGGTGCAGGCCGCGGAATACCATCTCGTCACTGCTGTCAGCGATACCGAATGTGGCAATGGAGACGCTAGAAATGTCCCCAGATATGCACACGGCGTGGTCTGCACCTAAGTCAAAGACGTCTCCAACCTGAGTCAATCGTTAGCGTTTTTTCGCTGAAATGTCTCTGCTATCGTCACGTACCAAAACGCAAGGTCCTTGCAAGGAATCTGACGACTTGAAGCTTAGCTCAAGAGAAACTGCCCGATTAGCATCCGCACTCTTGTTGAAGGAGATGCGAGAGAACTCGCAATTTGTGGCGCTGTTCCCAGAAGATGCTTTGGCCAACAGGATTGCATGAGGTGCTTCCTTATCTTTACTTTTTTTGAAAGATCGTGTGAACACAACATCTTGATCTCTCATGGTCATTCCTAAGAAACTGCATTCCTTGGACACTTGATGGGCGGAATTGTACACAGCAAGCCGAACCTGTGTGGTACTGGGATCGATCAGTACACACACTGTGTCACGAGCATCCGAGCTAGACAGGTAGTTGCCGCTGAGAAACCTGGCAAGGTTCGTCTCTTTTGTGCTCCGTACGTTGCTCATCAGCCGAACATCCTCGCTGGTCTGTATCAATTCCATGCTTCCGGGATGTCCAATGTCCAGTTCTATCTTTGTGCCGTCGTAGGGATGTTCTATGTTGGTGCGTGCAAAGACATACTGCCTGAGATGGATATCCCCTCCGGCGGCATCTTTGTTTTCGGCCCAAATGTAATGCGTGAGTACGAGTTGACTCCACTTCGTGAAGTGCATAGTCCAATGCAAAGTCTTTACGCCTGTGAGCGGGGGTGATGCTTGGACAGGCTCCAGGCTGAGGGTTCGGCTGTAGAGCGTGAAATTCTCGTGTCGTTGACCCGCGATAGAAACACTCATCGGTCGCCACCAGTTGACGGCTACCGCTTCTGGATGTGGAACTACCCTGAGGTGTTGGATTTGGACAAACCCCCCGGACATCAGCCCTGGCATCATCTCTTCGTAGGGATACTGACCATCACCCCCTCGAAAGTCTGCGTCTCTAACAGCGATGCATTCTTTAGTGGCAAGCTTGCCAGGGGCTTCCTTTGTGAAGGGTGGCCCAAATGTCCATTGTTCAGACAGGCCTGGTGAACTCATCGTGCGCCCTGTAAGATCTGAGTGGTCGTTGATATCGATTCGAGTCGTCCAGCCCGATACTGGATCTGGTACTTCACTCAGGGCCTGCCAAAGCGGGGCTGGATTATGGATATCAATGCCTCCCCATGACTCGACCCAAGGGTCACTCGCGACAGAAGCCATCGGTTGAGCAATCCACTCCAGAACAGAAAATTGAGCCATGTTCTGTCGCCAATCGTCGGACGGACGAATATCAGCCTCGACGCCTGCTGAGAACAATTCATCGACAGATAGCTGGAGCGCATGAGTGCTGGCTAGAATCAGTTGATTGTACCAAGACTGCGATATATTCTACTCACGTTCTGGCCCGATTGACCACGTTCTTAGGCTCGAAAAACTGTTTGTCGCCTAAATAAGATCGTCAGCTTCGCCTGGAAGGACGGTCGAAGTCAATTATACATACCATACATGATCCATTGGTGACCGAGCTTATTCTTGACCAGTATACCAGTTGCGCCGTCATCGTCATGCATCTGCTCAAAATGTCAGCTTGCCGAAGCTTTCTGGAATGAGCTACTGACATAACGTAATTGATAATTCCAAATAGGTGTTTCTTTGCAATGCAATATTTCCTTCTCTACGCCCCGAAGGTTCATGACATCCACATCAGACGAATGAAGGTAGCGACGGGGAGCCCGAATATGCCCTGAGCTGAATAGATCGGTCAGATAGTGACTGGCGAAAGCCTCATAGATGTAGGCCTCCTTCAGCTTGCCCCATTTTCCTGCTTCAGTTGACATCTGTGCAGCATCATGTGCAAGTTGTAGTGCAATGTTATGCCCGACGCTGTATGCTGTAATTGCATCTTTGCCCTTTGAGAGTGATCAGCAATTGTCTTTTCCCTGTAATGGATTTTTCCACGCACGAAATGGTCGGCATTTGTGTACGCAATGTAGGCATATAGGTAATGCATAGCTGAGGTCGCGTCAATGATAAGACCACCCGTTATCTTCGCCCATTCTTCGTCTGTGGGAATCCCACAAGCATGGGTATGGCTGGAAGAAAGGTAAGCATCAGCTGAGCAGTCCGACGAAAGGACGAGTAGCTTAGTCTTACTATGCGTGAGTAACACTCTCATCTCTGGATCGTGTATCAACGACCGCTTTGTGTTCCAGCTGCAGAAGCTTCATCAAATTGGCAAGGAAGCCATCAGTGTCTTCTGTGAGACTTTGCACGGCGTTTTTGAACCTCTGAGCCTCGTCCTTCGTTCCCGAATCACCAAATTCAGGAGCCCCACATATGGGGAAGTACAGGTCCTTTCCCTCACGGTTCGTAAAAAAGTCGCCTGCAAGGGCGATGATGTCGCCAAATTTCAGCTTGATAGTTCCCTTGATGGTAGCCAGTTCGATATCGTTTGCCTTCAGGATCTGCCCGTTGACATCGCGCAGCTTGAGAGCTTCGGCAGTGAGTTTGTGCTCGCCAGCTACATCAAGATCAGATTTGGCGGCCCTCAAGACTGTGTGAGATAGGCGGTCGGTTGCTCACCTTCCAAATTGCTCCAATGCCATTGAGGAGGCTCATACAGAGGCAAATCGTCAACACGGATGGTGCAGTTGTCCGAGCGTAGCCCTGTGGAAGACATTTGCAGGTCTTTAGAGATGCGAGGATGTAGAAACTCTGTAGGGTGTGTTTGTAAGTTCTGTGGGCGCTTTGAGCGACGGCTTTATATAGCAGATTTCGCAACGATGAAAAATGGCATACGATCAAGACTTGTACTTGAGCCCGACTCCGACTCCGACGCTACCTGTGACCCATGGCCCAGAAAGATTAACGTCTTCGTCTGACACTAGTATATGAGACGTTGCTGAGCTCTATGTTCAGCTCTGCACGAACATGCAGGCAGTTTGCTTGATACTGCGAACTATAATGCAGGCCCCCTGCGGATCCCGACCGAATTAAGCTGGAGGAGTGATTTTGTTGAAGTAGTTTGACGCCAGCTCTGCTAAGCGATTCGAATCGAGACCATTGCCCTTCTTCAGCCTACTGCAAAGTCCAACTGCAAGTACGGGGTAAACGTGATGCCATCTGAGCTCAGCGTCGCAACGATGTAGATCTGATCTGGAACGTCTCAGTCTCGCGAGGCGCAGGAATGCTCGGATTGCTTGATAGCTTTTTTATCGCGCACTGGGGCTGGCTTACGTCCGTATTCCAAGTTCACATCACTGCAAGAAGCACCAATGCTTGAGGCAACCGATCAGAAGATTTACATCCTGCTTGTCGAAAGAAGCACCCGTTGAACAGACCGTACGTATATGTTAGCAGAGACAACAAACGATGTGATCTGGGACATCCTACCAATGGAGCTCAGCTGGCAATATTCTCTGGAGCTGTTGATAGTTCCAAGTACTAATCAATCTAGTCGGTCCAGCTGAAGTCTCAGGCTCTTCCACACATGATCACGAGACGTCTGTACCCGGAAATGGAAAATGACTGATATGCAGGGGGGGGGGGGGGGGGGGGCGGTAGAAGCCCTCAGAACACTATATAACCGATCGGGCCACTCGCATTCATGAGTCGGCAACCAACCGTAACTGTTCTCGACCAGTGAGACTCTCCTTCAAGGATGACTTCCCACACTTTGACGACCCACGTGAAGTCTGCTGCGTGGGCCCAGAATGAAGTAATGAATGTAATGCAAGCCCTTTTCGCCATCTAGTGTATAGAAAGTTCAGACTGACTGCGACCATTTGCAGATGAATCAACAAGATCTTGAGGCACCAGGATCTCTCCTGAGCAAAAGCCATCCAGTATGGCTGATCTTCAAGAACATGACTGATTTTCCATTGTCGAAGACTGGAGAACACTTTTACAGTGGCGATTGGTTCGGTAATGCTGTCTTTGATGCCGCGCCATGGTCTATATCTGGTATTGCAGCTGCAGATAAGAAAGGAGGATGCACTGGTGGAGCATCTTTCAAGCTGCTTCTCGGGGACGACCTGAACTTCGATTTCAGTATCGTAAGTTGTTCCCTTCATACTTGTGTCGATCAATCCAACTCCATATCCCGTAACCCTTGGAAATTTACAATTTGATTTGACTAAAGTCGAAGTAGGGATTCACAGATCCTCTCAAAGGTAGCAACAAGATGTGTTGCATTGCGGGCAGGAATGCCGAGGCTGCGTACAATAGGGCGAACGAATACGATACAGACAACGCAGTCAAATCGCCTGATAATTACATTGCGACGACGACCACGGGAAAGACTTCGCGGTTCCAATTCCAGGTCAGTGTGTCACGTCCTGGCTCTCCCAAGGGGGAAAAAGACTCGTGCAAGATTTATATTATGGTGCAGCGAATTCCGTATTGAGCACAATGAAGCATTGTTTTCAACCATCGACAGCTGAGAGGGGGGTCACTTGGCGAACTGCAGTACTCACAGGGCCAGCTCCTTAGATCAACTTATGATTTGGTGGGACAATTAGTTGAAATCTGTAAGCTGTTCACGATTTGCCGTTCATGTGAGCAGGTGTAATACGTGCGGACCTATGACGTGCCGCCTTGCCGTGTGGGGCAGGCGTGTATAATGCGCTAATTAGGCTATACTCTAGAACAAGCTTGAAGCAGCTGACTGTGCGTCCTCTAGATTGTGCCCGGCTTTCCCGAAGCTGAACCACGTGCTGTCAAGTGAGGTGAAAATAAGAGTTGGAAGGTTCAAGGCAAGGTTTCGCAGGCGACCTGAGATCCGATTGCGTGCAGATATCGCAATAAACTCTTCGTTCCACATCATCAATTCGGGACTATGACAGTCGGGTTCGTGCCTCTCCGGTCCCTTGGTCTTATCGCTGACGCTCGGATCACATTTGCCGAATCCTCCGCACCTTCCTTCCTCGCCGATTCGCAGTAGTGGGTGCCTAAACACTTACATGCTCGCTTGCCGATAACCATGCGACCGTATTAATGGCAAGCATATCCCCTCGTTTCTGAACATGCCCAGCAATGTCACACGAATTCTCGACCCAGCCGCAAGACGAACTTCGTCCAGGACAGCCGGCAAACCACTCGCTGCCACCTCTGGCACCACTCGAACTTATTAACGATGCCTCACCAGAACAACAACGAGATGCGGCTGAGGATGAATCGCAATATCCGAGAGGGCTGACAAAATTTCTCATTATCGCCTCGGTCACCTTGGTCTACGTTCTCACTAGTATGGATTCGTCAATCGTCTCTGTTGTTGTGCCCTCCTTGACCGACGAGTTTCATACCATTCGCGACGTGGGTTGGTATTCGGCTGCGTATCGACTTTGCGTATGCAGCTTCCAATTCATGTTTGGAAAGCTGTACAAAACGTATCCGCCCAAGAAGATCTTCTTGAGCAGCGTCGTTTTCTTCATGGTCGGATCGATAGTCTGTGCGACTGCAAAGAAAAGCGCCGTCTTTGTGCTGGGAAGAGCCGTTTGTGGATTTGCTGCGTCTGCCATCATGGCTGGTGGTCTCACGCTATTGGTCCTGTGTCTACCCATGAGGAAGCGGCCACTGTATACTGGTATCGTTGGCGGTGTTTCTGGAGTCTCTGGCGTCGCATCTCCTATGCTTGGTGGTGCCATTGTGGATGGACTTGGTTGGCGGTGGTGCTTCTGGATCTGTTTGCCGCTTGGCTTTATCACTTTGCTGGCCCTTTCTTTCTGCCTACCGAACACCAAATCCAAGCAAAAACTGACCTGGAGGGAACGCTTATCCCAGATGGATCCGATTGGTACTTTGTGCTTCGTCGCATCCCTTACTTGCTTGTTCCTCGCTCTTAGCTGGGCAGGTTCTAGGTATGCTTGGAGGTCTCCACTCATCATTGGTCTTCTTGTTGCTTCAGGCGTCCTTCTTGGTCTGTTCGGCTTGGATCAATGGTGGAAGGGAGAAACAGCGACACTACCTCCTCGAATCTTCAAGAACCGTTCAGTCCTCTCTGGCTTCACATACACAATGTTCTGCAACTCGGCAAGTATGGTCGTTCTATACTACCTGCCCACGTACTTCCAGTTTGTCCGTGGGAAAACAGCAGCACAGAGTGGATACTATCAGATACCTGCAATTGCAGGTGATATCATTGGAGTCATTCTTCAGTCGACTGGTGTTACTCTTGTCGGATACTACACGCCCTTTATGTGGGCCGGGACGATCCTTATGCCTCTTCTCGCTGGACTTCTCACGACCATAAAGACACGCACTGCGCTCGTCAATGTTCTTGTCATGACAGGCTTCTTCGGCTTTTCCGGCGGCATCGGCTTCCTATCTCCTCAATCAGCCGTACAAATGGCACTCCCAAAAGAAGACGCTAGTATCGGTCTCTCCATCATTGTATTCGCAGAGCAGTTCGGTGCTGCGCTGTTCGTATCAGCCGCGCAAAATGTATTCCAAACCCGTTTGGCTGGCAACTTGCATGACATGGCGCCTTCGCTCAACACAACGAGTATTGAATCTGCTGGTTTGACCGACTTGCGGAATTTGGTGACGCCTGAAGATGTGAAAGATGTATTAAATGCGGTGGATCAGAGTGTAGCGCAGACTTGGTACATGGCCGTTGCTCTATCTTGTCTGACTATCATTGGCAGCGCCACCATGGATTGGAGAAGTGTCAAAGAGAAGAAGAGCTGATTTCGGAATCCCGTTCATTCGCTTGTCGAGCCTAATTGTGCCTGCCTCTGCAACGGCGATGCCCATCTCATTTACCCAGGGATTCGATTGGTCGAACTACGAGCTTGAATAGTGGAGGAACGCTGCTACAATCCAAGTAATCTTTAGGCGCAATACTACTACATAAACACAATCTTAGCCATTGATTTTGACGAGTTCTCCGCTTTGCAAGGGTAGACAATCCGAACTGACTATCCGGAAAGACGCGATGCATTGGTCTGACGAACCTGGCGTTCAAACCTTCTCGCATGTTGCTATCGGACGAAAAGCTGCTAACAATCTGTCGTGTGAAGCTTTCCAGCCGACGAACCGAGGTGGCATCTCGTGGCGTCAAAATTAAAGTCATGGTCCTGCGTGATTTAGACAATATCAACTTGACCATGACTCAGATCCCATGTCCCTCGCCAATCCTAACCGCATATTGACTGCATAATCCTAGAGGATTGTAAGCTGAACATCCGTTTTATGTTCGAATTCGACGGGAACTGAATAGCCGTTGAAAGCTGAAAAGCCGTTGAGCTGAGATCTGGAGGCGAATTGATTACCGTTGCGGACTAAAGACTGGCAGCTCCTTCTTCCTGCATAGTCGCGGACACTTTGATTCCATTCATCTCGCGTATAACATCAACCAGTCCCGCTGACAATCGAGCAACGCAATCAAAAATCGACATGACGAACTATCGTAGTGCAACACCACCGACAACAATGAGCGCTAAATCCGAGCTAAGCGACGAAAGGTCGATGAGAAATAGACAGAACTCAGGCTTGCTGTAGAAGCCAAGTCACGAGCGACAGATGCCGAAGGATTTCGTCCAAGCACAGTTGTTCCAAACCTCATCTCTTTCCAGATGGACCTCAAATGGGGAACCTGGCGCTAGTCTCGGCGAACGCGACACGCGGAACAAATGCATGCAGAGGCATACCGCAAGGGGTAAAGCATCAACTTCGACGGTAGACATAGTGGTTCCAACACAGTGGTAGTCTCTGTATGCTCAATGTCAACACATAACGGTAGGATCTGATCTGTCCTTTCTCGAGGAATAAGATAACTATAACTAGCTGATGGATTCCTCGTTCATGGGTGTTTTATCGTCCTCAAACACATTCGCTTTCATCTTCTGAGTACAACATCACAGAGAATGCGTACTTCTTTAACTTTTGCTGCGGCTTCGCTGCTGACATCCACGTCCGCATTGGCATTTAATGGTACTGCAGAGACTGTTACTGTCACTCGTACGTCTTGGTCCACCATCATCTCGACACTCTCATGTCCTGCACCCACGACCGTCACCCTGTGCAATGCTCAGTGCACTGCCTCACCTGTTGCACTCGCCAACAATGCGAACATCGTCTACCAAACATTGTCGGAGTGCCAAGCCGGACAGGTCGTCACCATCTACGGCACTGAAACCACACTCCTCCAGCCTACTACCTTGGCTGTTGAGAAGACCATCAGCGACCTAGTGGTCATCCCAGGCTCTGCCACAGACAAGGATTATACCGCGGTCGCAACCATAACTAATGTTGTGTATCCATCATCCTTAATTGCCAACAATGGCCAGGTGGTCACATGCCAGACCGGAGTCACCAAAATCAGTGGCAACGGTGTCACTCTTACCAATTGCCCCTGCACGGTACAAACAACGGTCTTTGAAGTGATTGCAACTGGTTCGGGAGCTGTTCCAACTGCTCTGGTCCCTTCGACCAAGTACATTGTCAAGATTATCTATGTCTATGTCATCGAATATATCGTTGAGCAAGTCCCAACAACTCTTACACGCACGGCTACTAGCACTCTCACAACAATCCGCACAGAGACAGAGACAGAGGTTACCACGACTACGGCCGCACCTTCGAGCTTACTCTGTCCTTCGAGCATGGCAACTGTGAATGATGTTGTTTTCATGGTGGAGTGTGACACCTCCTACGAGGGTGTGGGTGCTAGCAATCTGCGCAAGCGTCAAGCCATCAACTTGCCTGGAGTATCCGCCGATCTTTACTCGTGTCTCTCACGTTGTGCTGGACAAACAAACTGTGTAGCTCTCTCATTTGATGATGATACTTCTTCTTGCAGTGTTTTGACTCAGTTCGACGCACAGAGCCGCGAGACTGCTCTTGGTAACATCTTTGCCACCGTCGTCTTCCGACAGGCGGTATCGTCGAGCTCTTCCTCGGCTTTGACGAGCCCTTCAACATCGAGAAGCTCCTCGGGTCCTTCAAGTCCGTCATCATCGACAAGTGTCTCATCATTGTCAGCTCCTGGATCATCCACGAGCTCGCGAGCCAGCGCCTCAAGCTCAACGTCTCCTGGCAGCGTTAGTATCAGCTCGACATCAGGGTTCAGTAGCAGATCTCGCTCAAGTAGCGTCCCCTATCCTATCTCCAACTCTTCAATCATCTCGACGACCTCAAGTTCGATTCTTACGTCAAGCTCAAGTGTAGTCTCGCCCATCACTGAGATCATACCCACAAGCTCGAGTTCAACTTCAGCCTTGGATCCAACCTCTAGCTCCGTCGCTCCCATCACAGAATCCTCGAGTAGCCTGAGCTCTAGCTCGAGCACCATGCTACCTGTCACGAACTCATCAATCATCTCCACCACATCAACATCGACCAGTAGCTCAAGCTCGAGCATGATCACACCCATCGCCAACTCGACATCGAGCACGATCCTACCCGGCACTAATTCATCGACAAGCACTACATCAAGCACTACGCCTGTTGTTCCTCTGACCAATTGCGAAGTTTCAAATGATTTGCTGGATTACGATCCGGCTTACGCTTACTGCTATTCGGTCTATCCCGTCACCGCCGCTACTAGCCTGTTCGATGCCACAATTACTGAGATTATAACAACTTCTGGTCCGGCCTCGACACTCCTCAGCAATGTGACGTTGGCTACCGAAACACTTGTGCAGACAATTGAGACAGCTACGACCACCACTGTCACCATACCGACTGAGCTCACGATCACTGATATCATCACAATGTAAGCATCCTGCACTCTGATGTTCACGTCGAGATACTAATTGGAAACTGCAGCACTACAACAGATTTTATCGTATCCTCTACAATATCCATAAATGTGCGGAGAAGACAAGCTCAGCCTTCGGTTCAGGCTAGTGTCTTCTCCAGCATCCTAGCCCGTCCGTCCTCAGACGTTGCGTTCGTATGCTCGTGCTTGCAGCCTCAGCCGACCACATCAATCACCGTCACACAGACTGCTGTTAGCACGACGATAGTAACTCCCATCATCAGCAACAATATCACCATAACACCGCCGGTTGTTACTGTGCAAGTCACCCAGATTGCCACATTGACCGAGACTGAAACAACTACCATTGCGACAATCACAGAGGAAGCTACAGCAACCGCTACCCAGACTGTCAGCATCAGCTGCACTGACCCCTTCACATGTAGAGGGAACCCCATTGGTGGTACCTCATGTAGCAATGGAGCCTGCTTCTGTTACCAAGTCAACAATTCACCTTCGCAAGGTGTTTGCAGCACAGCCCTTTCATCTAGCGGTGGCTGTGAAACCAACGCCGATTGTGGCACAGGCAACATCTGTCTCACTAATACTTGCGTGGGCAATGCTTGCGTTCCTTACGAGGCCGCCTGCGAAAATCCGAGCGGACCAACAGTAACACGTCGCAGATTCCGTCGCGCGGCAGCTCGTAGATCTGTTTGGAACGAATTGACTGGTCAATACGTAGACCTGCATACCGATTCTTAGTCGAGCAGATCTTATACAGATCGCAAGGAGGATATACTTTAATGGCTTGTTAGACCTTGCTTGTCGGATATCTATATTTTGATAAGTCAATACAATTTTCGCACTCGTCACGCTTTTACACAATCCCTCGCTTTCACTTCCAGCCCTTGCATCTTCTCTGCCGTTTGGCGTGCTAGATACCGAGAGTGTTCATCAATCTCACCCTGTTCCGCCGTTTCTCCAAACCTACTCTTCCACTCTCTCCATTCCTCAGCACGAAACGATTTCATCATTGCGGGTTGCTCGACATGTCCAACACCCTTCTCCTCAAAAAGAAACTTAGGCAGCATCTCCCCAGCAATCTCGATCCACGCTACAGCAGGAGGAATCCACATCTTCCAAGCATCAGCAACTTCCCTCTCCTCTTCATCAAAACCATCCGTGACTTCTCTAAACGCGTCGTGAGCATGAAACGCCATTTCTGTTTTCCAGCCCTCGCTTTTCTGCATCAATGAAGCGCAGGAGATTGATGCGTTGAGACGTTCGGGGGCTTGGGCATGCCATTCATCGTACCTGAAGCCTTCAGGGTAATTGATATCTGTAAGCCTCTTCTTAGAATCGAAGAGAGAGAGGGGGGGTTTGGTGAGAAGGAAAAGCCGACCAACAGCATGTTCAGCAAATATCTAACCCCAACGAGGCAGTTCTCTCAAAATCACTTTGCCTGAATAAGTAACTTATTATACTCATGCTCGTTGACTATATCAGGAAGTGTCCGAAGGGCGATATGTAAATCTACTAGTTGGTTCGTATGGCTGCCTCTGAAGTACTTTACTGCATCGGCCAGTATACCCCAAAGCCAGCCTACGCCTGCTCTTGTACCTGAGATCAATCGAGGAGAAAGAATGTCGTTGTTATGGAGAGCGGTTTCTTGAGCCGAGAGTTGATCGAGAAGTAGGAATTCTATGGTACTGAGGCTGAGGTTGTTCTCTTACTTGTCAATGAGGATGGTGGTCAACTTTTCTTCAGAGGCGCGCTGTTTGGCTAGCCAGGTGGATAGTGTCATTGACATTGTGATGTGATGAATTTGTTGCGAAAAAAATGTAGATCAAAGGTAAGAGCACTCCACAGCTACAAATTCCAAAGGGGAAAGACAGTGTTACATCTCATGTACGGCCTCTCTGATATCTAGTTGGGTGAGATCTGGAGGGGCGGCGGTGAACGCTTTTGGAAGGAAGGGTTGAGTCGCTCATTGATTGTCGCTTGACTTGGCTGCATGTTGACTTGCCTTGATCTATTACAGGTAGGAGAGAATGTAGTTCTACATCATACACCACAGTCACCTCTTCCAGGCTACAGGACGCAGAGCAAAGGAGAAACAATCGACTGGTTGATCTAAAGAGCGATGTCGCTGTTGAACACGACGCGTAAGGTGTGTGAATCGCGGCGAAATATCTTTCCCGAGCGGCCAAAAGTCGTGTTCAGCTTTTGATCTCGAAATCGCTCGACCTGCATTGCGAGCTCACATCGTATAGCAACAACATTGCCAGAAGGCGCCAGATTGTGATTCCACATTAAACTCTAGAGTACGAAATTAGTGCCTTAGAGAATTAGAGGGCAAACATGGGATTATAAAGAATATGATTACAATTTAAGTACACAACAGAAGAATGACCCAGACCAGCAGCGTCATCAGGCAGCGTGTGCTCCCCATCTAATTCCGTTCATCGTCTTGTCTTCGTCCTTTCCAGGCCACATGACATTTCCCTTCCTGACAGCTTGGATATGTGCGATAGCACAGACTATCCACATGATGACCAGTCCAATGGTCAATGCGCTGCAAATGCCATTGATGCCAGAACTGTTCAAAACACTTCCAGCTTGAATGGCGGCAAGCGTCAGACCGGCGTTGGGGAAGACGAATGCCCACCAGTTCAATGTGAAATCCATCTCTTTGATGCCAGCAAGAACCGAGACCGTGGACACACAGAAGAACCAGAAAGAAAAGAGAATCACAAAGAAGCCAGCGAGGATACCAATGATCTTGATCACATCTCCGACAGGAAGCGTGGTGATACCGAACATCTCTCTGTTTCCAAACACCGCTGGTGCTTGTCGACCGAGAGAGATGAGTGCGTGTGCAGTGTATCCGGCAGGTCCGACAGAGACGTACATACCAGGGCGAGTCGAAGGGTCAGGGAGGGCGCTGACCATCAATCTTTGTGTGTAGATAGCATACATCATGAGAGCGACACACCATCCGACGCCTTGAAGCATGACTCCGCCGATCCACATTGGAACAGCGGCTGAGTGTGGTTGATTGGGCACCAGCGTGCTAGCCAGCGGCCCGACGACAAGTAAGGGGTAGATGGGGAAGATCCAAGCAGGCATGGCATTGTTGACACTCAGACGCTCCAGCTGGAAAAGGATGTAGTATTGTCCAATACCGACAATCAGCACAACAGCGCAGTAAATCCAAAAGAGAATTTCCAATGTTTTGATAAGCCAAGGTCCAGTATTCGGCACACCGTACAGATGTATGCAATTGAGAAGTAAACTAATCGAGACCCAGTAACTTCCGAAGAACAGCGATTCGACAGGATGATGCAGCGAAGCGAGGAACTTTTGCGGAACTAGGATGAAGCGGATCGTGATGGTAATGGTGAAGATAACAAACAGGACAAGAGCCAGGATAAAGAAGATTTTGCCGATAGTTTGCAGACCAGTGAATTGATTCGGGGTATTAGACAGTACCACAGCTACCGCACCGGTAGACATTGTGCATGCGAACCAAGGCCAGGTGAAGTGAGCGACACGGTCCCGCCATGTGATATTGTCCGGCGGAGAGTGATCGGTTCCATTAGGATCCGCAGGTTCTGGGTCGTCGCACTCTCTGTAGCCATTGCGCTTTCGATTCGATGTCGCTGTTGTTCCCGAGCCGCTGTCGGACATGATGCGCGACAATCTAAGTGACGGTGATGTATGTGACAGGAAAGATGGTCTGGGTGAAAGGTGAGTAGGTCGATATCTATTGAATTGTTTAGTAGGTCTCAGGTTCGACACCCTGGAAGATTCCAAGGCTCAATTCGTCATCCCTCTAGCCCGAGTTCGCTCCGTGGAGGGAGCTGAGATCAAACTTGCGCCTGCTAAACATGGTTTCTCGAATGACAACTTGGCGTTTTAATTGCCCTGTCAGACGTCATTCTTGTCTTCGCCGTTGAGCTCAATCTACCATCAATTGTCCAGACCTGGAAATAGGTCGCACGACAAGAGCATTGCGATGACCCGAGCTTGCCTATACATTCTTACCATATTTTACGTTGGCAGTGGTGAAATTGTGTCTTGCGCCCGAAGTGCGCACGATTCGAGAGGTTGTGAACATGACGTGCATGAGTCCGAATTTCTGTTGATCGGCGTCGTGTTGCCAAGATTTTCAGGGCCATCGTCGGCAATGATGCGCTTCACCAAGAGACTGCCGGAAGCCACCGGCATTCTTCGATAGGAACTGCGACAGGTTTTGGCAAAGGCCTTGTGCCTCGGTGTCGCGACAGAATGCAGAGCGCGACAACAATTCTTGTCTTCGGTGCATGGCCCACGCCTCGGGGCGCGGACAATGTGCTGTGAGGTCAGGTCTCTACGTTCTCGCACTCGGAGCGTCTTCCGCCTTCTCATCAGGTCGACGCGTCATAACAATCGAGACAGTGATGTTGTCCCGCAAGTCGCGTTGAATGAGCAGTGGGAACGGCACGAAGAAAGCAAGAATGAGCTCCTATCGCCCAGGAATATTTGTGCTGCCTTTGGGCTCAAGTCTCCAGCGCGTCTCGATTGCTTGAAGTGATCCAGGTAGTGCGGTCATGCCGATGACGATTCGTGAGCCACAGCACTATGAGCTCATGCAAGCTGTCTGTTTGGTGAAGTGCTACAGCTGTCATCTGGTTCATTGTAAAAGGTAGGAAAGAGAAGAACGATGCGACTTGGAAGCAATTCCACAGTCTCCAAGATGTTGTGGCTGTGCTCAAGGCTCGCAGCCAACCAGTGAACAAGTCATCGCTCAACTCACCGCGCTGCTCTCTACCGACCGACTTGCTCTAGCAGCACTCAAGAATACCACCCACTACTCCAACAGGCATTACACAGTTGCTCTGGACGACACTTGCGCAATGCTGAAAACAATGTATAGACAAAGTGGTTGTTGACGCCATGCATGTTCTCGAATCCATCACTGTAAAATCAATGCGCAAAAGTGAAAACACACAACAACCTTGCATGTCTTCGATATCGCCATAAATACTAGTATTGCGTGCTCACGACGAGCTACCGCGCCTCAATGCCCAGGGCCTTGTTATACTTCACCCAAGACGCTGCCCAGACTGTTGCACTCCAGAATTTTCTTCGTCGCAAACACGTGGAAACGTCGAACATCAATTTCTTACAGGCAACTTTTGAGATGAAAGCGAAAAAATCGGGCCAACCCCCCTCCGGGTGCGTTGAAGGGCTACCTGGTCGCTGTCTCTGAGATACCTTACTCTGGTCGCTCCTGGGCTTGTCGAGAACATTTTCGAAGCCGCGACCCTTGGCAACGCCATCCAAGAGATCAAGTTGCTGTCAAGAACAATGAGACTTCTCACAAGCTGTTCAGGGGCACTTGGCCACTCGTCTTTGTATGCGGTACATTTATCTCAACCGGTAGACGTACGGACGCCTCTTCTGTCGTGAGCGATGAGGTGATTGAGCTTGGCAGGGCAGGGATACTGGTATAAAGAAAATGGATGTCAGTATGTGCTAGGCGTGGAAAAACGGAGGGGACTTTCATTGCTAACGTTCGTCTTTGGATTCGTAAACTCAAGATGGCAGACTTGAAGACTACTCACCCCGATCAATACTCCGTCCCTAGGGACGATGAAGAAAGTTTGACGATTGAGCGAGACTGGACGGAGGAAGAGGAAAGAAAGGCGAAATGGAAGTTGGTGGTGTCTCATGACATGTCTCGATCAATCAGTACTTACTCGCTCACAGGCTTGACCTTATCGTGATGCCCATTCTTACCCTCGGCTTCTTTTGTCTCCGTAAGACACTTTTGCACTTGTTTTGACACATACACTGATACCACGCAACAGAGCTTGACCGAGGCAATATTGCGAACGCTCTCACCGACAACTTCATGGAGGATGTCGGCATCAGTCAGAGTCAATTCAATGTTGGTCAACAGATGTTGTCTCTTGGTATTGTCCTGTTCGAAATCCCTTCAAACATGATCCTCTATCGAGTCGGTCCTGGAAAGTGGTTAACACTCCAGCTTTTCCTGTTTGGTATTGTCAGTACTTTTCAGGCTTTCCAAAACAACTACGCCTCCTTCATCGCAACTCGATTCCTTCTCGGTCTGACGGAGTCTGGCTTCATCCCGGGCGGCCTCTGGACCATCTCTACTTGGTACACACGCAAAGAGACGGCAAAGCGCGTCATGGTCTTCTATTTTGGCAATCAGTTTGGCCAGGCTTCTGCTAAGCTACTCGCGTTCGGCATCCTCCATATGCGTGGTGTAGCTGGTCGACCTGGATGGTTCTGGCTGTTCGTTCTCATGGGTGGCTTCACTTGCTTCTGTGGCTTCATCTTTGGGTTCTTTCTTCCAGACTCATTCCGCAACCCTTGCTCGACCTTCTTGCCGAAGCATGCAGTCTTTACACCCAGGGAGATTCATATCCTTAGAAACAGAGTCTTGCTCGATGACCCGGCTAAGGGCAAGAAAAAGAAAAGAATTGGGCTGACTGCGTTCAAGAAAGCGTTCAGCAACTGGCGGATGTGGGTACATTTCTTCATCACAATGGCCAATAACGGTCCGCAGCGCGGTTTTGATACCTACGCTCCTTCCATCGTCAGAGCTTTTGGATTCGCAGGCTTGTCTGCCAATGCTTTGGCAGCTGTCGGTCTGTTCCTTCAGATTCCCGTCTCGTACACATTCAGTTACATCTCTGATCACTTGTAAGTTTCTGTTTCTCCTTGTGCCTCATGCGACCATACTGATGCTTAGCGTAGTTCACGTCGTGGTGAGACTGTCATGGTGGGCATGAGTATGCATCTCCTAGGTTACATCTTCAACCGCATCTTCACAGAAGTCAACAGTCGTGGGGTTCGTTACTTCGGGGTCGTCTGGACTCAAACTTTCGGCACATTCTCTCATCCTCTTAACATCACCTGGATGTCGCTTACCTGCACCGATTCGGAAGAGAGAGCTTTGGCCATGGCTATGGTGATCATGGGTGCCAACATCGCTGGCATCTACGGTGCACAGATCTACCAAGCAAGTGACAGACCTCGCTATCGAACAGCATTCAACGTCAGTATCGCCGTACTGGCTGCTGGTCTGGCTCTTGCAGTCATCAGATTCCTGGATGACAAGTTGAGGAGAAGGAATGTCAAGAACCAGGTATCGGAGTCAGAGACTGGTTCTGAAGCGTATAGCGACGGTGTGCTCAAAGCGGCAGCTCCTGCTGACGAACAACCGCAGCCGATCGCTCTCAGTGGACGTAGAGCCTCGTTATCAAAGGCCGATATCTGAACGAGGGTGCGGTTTTGGGATGAACTGACAGCAATGTTCGGTCGACATGGTGCGGTAGCTAGGGTCTGATGGTGATAGAAATGATTTGATAAGATGTTTTGCACGATAGAAATGTATTGCGACATTGTGATGTCATGGGTTTTTCGGGACGTTTCCTTGTTTCTTTGAAGTTCATTGTCTCGATTTTGAAAGTGGGTGAGTAAAGCAGTGGGAAGTGTGGATGTTCGTGAGGTTGTTGATGAGAAACCGAACAATCGGCTTTTTACCACCACACCACTTCTGGATCAACACAGAACTCATACTGAACTATTATGAGTATCAGGGGTATTTATGGATCAGTATCTAATACCATCACCGTCATCTGTCGTAACAATAGAAGCATATCACTATTTTCGACCATCGTTGATGGAACGACCCTGCTCAAGATTTGTGCTGATGCATAAAAGCTTGGCCACACGAGCACAACATGCATATATTCGGCCGAATAGTACCTTGTCGAGACAAACTCGGCCGTGTTCTGGCGAAAGTCCGTCAAGGTGCATTTTGTTTGCAAACTCGGCCTCTCTCCTCTTCCTCCTTCTTCTCGTTGTCGAGAGATACAACACGCGTGGACAGAGTCAGAAGCATTGTTGTTGTTGCTGAAGCTTTGCGCAACTCGATTGAGCAAATGCAGAGCACCAACGCGTCATGCCGCTGCGACACCATAATTTATCTATTCACCACCATTCATGACGGACTTGACAGATACGAGAACATTGCGACCGCCTTCAAGGGATAAACTCAACCGCTGAAAATGGCTTCTCTGGATATCAAACAGCCTGTGTGCAACAAAGCCTGGTCGCTCGGCTCTCGATTTCTCGAAGTAGAGAGTTTGCCGGCGGTCAACATGAGGGCGGTGGCAGTGCCGCAATCAATTTTGAAGGCGCTGTAGCCGCTGTTCACAGCAAAGAACCTGCGCCGACGGCCACAACCGGAATGACCGCATGGAGACAGACGTTGATGCGTCTAAAACGGACCCAACCGATGCAGACGACATAATCTTGGGCATGAAATGCTGATGGCAACTCCGGCACAAACTGAATGGATGGGATTGCGCCCAACATGCCGTTGACGATAATCCAGGGCACGTCGCTAGAATAGACCGACAATACTGGCAAAGTTCGAGGCTCATTGTAGAGCGAAGCACAGACGGCCACGAGGAGGAAATATTGCCTGTGTCGCCGATGATGAGCCAGGCACAGTGCTCAAGTTCACCCAGGTGAAAATCGCTTAACATCGCAGTAGTGAGACTCTCATCTGCCCATGACATCCTGCTCATTCGGAATCTGAGCTCTTGGCTGTCACAAGGAAGCTTGTTTAGGAAGCTGTAACAGGTAGGCTGTCCACCGCATGTGTGAGGTAGAGTATGCACCGGAAGACTCAGCAGGTTCTAGACAACTCATACACATCCGACGTGGACCGTCTCGATCCTATGCTCCACATCATCGTTGACGGTAGTTCTGCCGCCTCGAATCACAAACCTTGAGGAGTGTGACTCCCAAATTGCGCAGCGGACATCACATTCTTGGACGAAGCGCAGTCGGAAATAAACAATCGCATGGCCTTGCAGGAGAAGAGTTTCGGTGTCAGCCACGCCAAGCGAGCCGCAGTCAAGCTCGCCCGCACCCGTCCGCCGCAGCGAATCAAGGCACTTACCGAGAGCGATTGAGGTTGATATTGCGGGGTATCTGCGGAGAGAGGCAGCTCAGTCGCATCACCCAGGATTGCTCCCCAAAGACGCCTAGTCATAGTGCTGTTCTGCCTATGGACTTGAAGGACCTCTATGCAGACTCACTTCGATCCTCAGCTCATTTGCTGACGTATTGGTGGACCTCTCTCCGGAGCATCGAAAACATCGAGCGGGAGCGGCAGACTCAATTTGGAATAGTGCCGAGAAGGGTCCTCTTTAGGCACGGAAAGCGAGAAAGTCTATCTAATCGCTTGCAAATCAAGCACCCCCGAGGCTGCCAAGCAAGTATGACCGAGCTCCGAAGCAAGCACGGTGGCTTCAACTTCTTGGGTCAAGGTGTTTTTTCGACTCTTGAACTGTAGCCTTGCAGCCACTCTTGGGTTCGCTCCCACTTGTCTCTGTTTGCTCCCGGTAAGCAGCGTTCACATTCAACAATGGACGAACAAAGCATCCGGTCGTCGCAGCGTGTGTCGCGTTCTTGCGTCGAGTGCAGCCGAAGGAAGATCAAGTGCGACAAGAAGATCCCGTGCAAGCCATGCGTGCGCCGGAATCTCGCCCACGAGTGCCAGCGGCCCATCACCCGCGTCCGAGGCATGCTTACAGTGTATGTACAGTCTTGAACACATGCCGCTATTGATCATGTGTATCCCGAATACTTTTGAGCTTCAACTGATCAAGTCAGGGCGAGCACCGTTGACCGCCTGTCGGTTGATTCCGAAGACAACACTGTTGATGAACTTCTTAAGGAACGATGCGCCCTGCAAGCGCAGATCGCAGAACTCGAAACCGCTCTGGCCCTCTCCAAACCATGTGGACACACTCACGGCAACAAAGTCGAATCCCATCGTCAAGGTCAGACACCAATAGCTGCCTTTGAGGATCTTGTACCTGCTCTGGAGCAATTCGACCTCCAAGTGTCACATGATTCAGATCCTGTCGCCATGTCGGAGAAGGACATGGCCGACCGCCTGTACGAACCTTCGACCGATCCTGTCTTTCTCCTGCTTCCCTCGAGAGACATCAGCGAGCAGCTAGTGACGTATTCGTTACGCACGTTGGGTTGGTTGCATGGTGCCGTCCATGCGCCCGAGTTCATCACCGAGCATGAGGACTTTTGGAACCGGATCCACAATGGTGTCCCCCTTGACGCTAAAGATCGACCTTGGCTTGCACTGTACTTCGCTCTCCTCGCGACTGGCCTCCTCTACCTCGACCCCGAAGAGGTGCCCGCTATCTCGGATCTACCTCAGCTGAATCTTCATCAGTACCAGCAACATGATGAGATGAGATATGCTGTGCATACGTCGCGTCTCTGGTATGAAGTCGCTTTGAAGGAAGTGGAGCGTTACGGATGTTCCGGCTCGCCCTCTCTAAGGATTGTGCAAGCTCTGTCAGTACTGACTCTGTGCCACTCCAACTTTGGTGAGCCTCAACGAGAATGGCTGTTTACTGGTTGGGCGGCAAGTATTGCGCGTTGCTTAGACATGCATCGTCTAGGCAGTGAGGTCGCCCACTCGCGAACCGTGGGTATCCGCCCTGAATGGTCGTCATTCGAGAAGCGCGAACTCGGACGTCGCGTTTGGTGGACCTATGTAATCCGTGACTGGTAAGTGGGAGTCATCCGCGCTGGGCGGCTGGAACATTGAACTAATTTTTATCTAGGCTAGGAAGTTGGTCCCGCCCTCCGTCAATCACCCCAGCGAGTTTCTGCTGCAAATTCTCGACCGAGAATGAGGCCAATCACGATGTCATTCTCGAAACACCCACCCACACGTCCAGCCCTTCGCCGATGGTCTATCAATCAGTCATGTGCCGACTTTCGTACATCTTCTACATCTACATCAAGGTCAACACACACCAAAACGCTTCGAAGTTTATCAAAGCGCTTGAAGAAATTGAGATTGTCAAGCGAAACTTGCCTCTGCATTTGTCGACCAAATTTCCCGCAAACATCGACGACGAAGAATGGGAAGCCACACACTCTTGGATCACATTCCAACGTTATCTCATCAATCACGCGATCGAATTTATGATGCTCAGTATTGCGCGTACTCTAGCCATGGGCAATATTGGCAGCGAATCAGTCCGTTATCGTGAATCAGCTATGGCCTCAGCAACAACCATTCTTCAAAGCTATCTGGCGCCTGTGCCAAGAGTCTACAAGCTTGTCTGGACGGTTTCGGCCTCAACAGTCGCTGCAGCAGTCTACACCTCTCTTGATATTCTCATGAATCCCCAGGACTACACACCGCAGAGGAAACATGAACATGTCGCCCTTTTGAAACAGGTTGTTCAGGAGCTCAGTAAATACACGCACGTCGCAATTCACGCCGCAAAGGGATCAGCTTCTATTCAGAAGCTCCTATCTCGCCTTGAACAAAACTTCTCCATGTCACATCTCTCTGTCCACGATATTCTTCGCCATCTCACAACTCAGGAAATGCCGTCGACCACATCCGAAACCCTAGCAGATGGTTATGTTCTACCTGCACAAACCATACCGGTCCCTGTAGATGGCTGGAACGAAATCATGAGTGGCCACGACATGAACATCCCGCATATGGACCAGGGCCATATTGATGGTCTGCTTGGCCCCTCGGATACTTGGGACAGCTTTATGGAGTTTCCCACCTTCCAACATCAACATCAGCCTCTGCATCAACCTATTCATCAAGCTCAACAGCAGCACTACGAAGGATGAGTGAACGCGGGATGACTTTGTAGAAGACGCATCACACTAGACATCATTGCCTATATGCAATCCCCTCCGGAAAGTACAAACCTTCAGCGGTTACGACGTATACGACTCCGAGTTCGCTTTCTGAAGGGTATTCTCAGCTCACTTCGAGAGCGCGGGAGTAGCACCTGACTGCACCGATCAGGGATGACCGACGGAACAGATTTGCTCTGTGACAAGCCAAGTTGCTCGCCTACCCGCACTGTCACACGACATGATATTCTACATTAGCAAGACCGTACTCTGTAAGGCCACGAGTCATGCATGTAGGTCAGAAAGATCAAGCCGCGACAAATTTGTCTTCCACGGACCGAGGCTTGAAAATTGAGATCACATGTCGCCGGAATATTTCGTCCTTGACATACCCTTCGGAGATTGAACTCAACTCTGCATTATCATTGATCAACGCTCAACGATGGAGGCAATGTAGGAGCCTTACAGAGAAAGGGTTAGCGCGTTACCCGTAGGCCAATCCGCCAAACCTGAGTGTCTCGAACGTAACAAGCGCGACAAGCCGCAAAACTTCAGACCAGAATAAGACCAAGTTCGCACGTCGCAACGTGAGTCATGTATGCATATACGTACTACAAGAACGTTGTTCGTAGCGTAGCAAAAGACCATAGACATACAGCATGAACGATAGATTATCGTTTCGAACAACTTGTCTGACTTCGTCGCTATTGTTCCTGTGAAATTCTAGTGACCGAGGCATCTTCGTTTTAGCTTCCAAAAGAACCCATGACGACACACCAAGACAGTTTCTTTTCCGACTCGACCCTGTCCAACGGTTTGGACCGGGTAGGGCTCCTCGGAAACCGGCTGTCAGATCTTAGGGCTCACGGACGAGAGCGGGCGAGTATCCCTTCCCCCCATTTGTTCCCCTCCGCAATTTTCCAGCACCTCCACATACCGACAAAACATCAAGGTTATTGTCCCCTCGCTGGAACGGTACTTTGCACACGTACACAGCAAGCAGCGGCTGGGTGTAGTTGAGAAGATGCGTTCAAGAATACTAGATCCACAGTACTGGCCTGTGAACAAGCATCCTCCATGAACATATCACATCGAACCTTCCCTGTTTCGAAGTTGCAATCTTTCATCCCCCTCATCACCACATCACCACATCATCGAGCATTTTCCGTCATCATGCCCGTCGCTTTTCAAGTCGCTAACACAGCTACTAAGCCCCCTACTGTCGGTGACAATGGATACCAGGGCTTCAACCCAAGAAAAGAGACCCTGTCTAAGGGATGGAAGTTCCGTGACGACGCGAGGCCGTTGTCTGAGGACATGATTGCTGAGCATGATGCTGCTGTCAAGGTTAGGGATGGATGCACACTGTACCGCGATGTCTTCAGACCTGTTGGCAGCGATGGGTCGGAAAAGTTGCCGGCTATTGTTGCGTGGAGTCCTTTCGGAAAGAAGCACAATGGTATCGAGATCATGTCAAAGGTCAGTGGTGTTCGGAACTTATGATCAACAATCGGAAGACTGACTTAGAGCAGGTCAAGTGGGGCTGTGGTGTTTAGAAGGGTACGCTCAGTGGTCTGGAGCGATTCGAGGGACCTGATCCGGCAGAGTATTGCCCGAAAGGCTTTGCTATTGTCAATGTCGACGCAAGAGGCGCTGGAGACCCGGATGGCTCCATTGTCATCATGGGCAAGCAAGAAGGAGAAGATGGTCACGATGTCATTGAAGAGCTGGCCAAGATGGACTGGTAAGATGGAGTTTATCAAGTCTTCACTTATGCAGTCGACTAACATGATCTTCAGGTGCAACGGCTCCGTCGGTCTGGCAAGAAACTCACATCTCGGTATTGTCCAATGGTTCATCGCTGCCACTCAACCACCATCACTCAAAGCCATCGCACCCTGGGAAGCAAATGGAGATCTCTACAGAGAACAATCCGTCCGTGGCGGTGCTTGGGACAACGGTCTCTTCGACTTCATCATCGAGCACGTCATTCGTGGCAAGAGGGGTGTCGAGGACTTCAAGGAGATGTACCGTCGCTCAAACACAATGAACCCTTACTGGGAGGACAAGCGTGCAGAGATTGAGAAGATCAACATTCCGACTTACGTCGTAGCTTCTTACTCGAGTTTTGTACAAACCATGGGATCTATCCGTGGCTGGATGCAGGTCAACGTAGAGAACAAGTGGCTACGATGGGATCCTTACCAAGAGTGGTTCGATCTCTGGTCAGTCAGAGAGTCCATCGATGAGCTCGCCGAGTTCTTCGACCTCTTCCTCAAAGGCAAGGACAACGGGTAGGAAAACACTTCCAAGGTCAGAATGGCCTCCCTTCCCTTCGGCGATCAAGAAGCTGTCTACCCTATCGAAGTTCAGGACTTTCCCGTCCCCAACACAGACTACAAGAAGTCGTACCTCGGCGAGAAGAACAACCTCCTCGAGTCTGCATCAACAGAAACGAGCATCGTCTCCTACAACTCAGAGAGCGGTAGCAACCCCGTCGCCCACGCAGCATTCAATCTCCGCTTCGAAAAGAAGACCAGACTGATGGGTCTGCCCAAAGCAGTTCTCTACATGTCCTGTGACGATCTGGACGACATGGTTATTTACGTCCCCATTCGTAAACTCGACAAGAACGGCAAAGCCATGATCGCCATTAATATCCCCTACCCCGATACTGCATCCATCCCAGAGTCAGATTACAGTAACTTGATGATTTATTTCAGACCCGCTGGTATTCTTCGCGCCTCTCACAGAAAGACCAACCCTTCAAAAGCATTACATCCACAATATCCTTTCCACACTCACGACGAGGTGTAGAAGATTACTCCTGGCACTGTTGTCGAGCTTGAAATTGGTCTATGGGCTGCTGGCATGGACTTTGAAGAGGGAGAGAGCTTGTCAGTACAGGTTTCTGGCGAGTACCCACTTGTAGATAAGTTCAAGGGTAGAGGACCTCCCAAGGCAAAGGTCGAGGAGAGAAACAAAGGACAGCACAACGTTCATCTTGGTGGTGAGTATGCTAGTCACGTCATCCTGCCTTTCGTCTAGGGAACGGAGCAAGATGGAGAAGAAGAACGGAAGATGTATAGACATAGTCGAGATACCCATACGTTACAATCAAGTACCGGATGTTCATTTTTGCAAATCGCCACGTCCACTGTGAGCTACTTCCGTCATCATCCTTCTATGATCCAACCGGGGGGTCGGAAGTGTATACCACTGCTTTGAAAGGGAATTTTTTTTACATCATCAATGTACTGTAGCATTCAGTTCATCAGAACAGGTGTCTTTCCATCCCACTCATCACTAACCACTGCATCCAACATGAACTCAGCAACACTTTGCGCACTAATCGACGGCATGAATCCCGCTCCCTCACCACTATCTCCAAGCGCTTTGACCGGCAACCCCACCTGCTCCTTCAACATAGCAGGTCTAGGCATCACAAACCTAACCCCACTCCCCCTGATCACTCCATCCACAGCATTCTGATCCTCTAACGTTTGCTTCATATTCGAAACCTGCATGACCCATTGCATCAGGAAATTTAGATTCTGCCATGAAGAGCCAGTGCCAAACATTGACATGACAATCACTTTCTGGACGTTTGCAGAGGAAGTTCTAACAGCTTCTACAACAGCCGTTGCGGATGCAGACATGAAGAGGGGAGGTGATGTTGTTGCTGCAAAAGGGTTTCCAGATGTGCGGGTTTGACCGAGTGTGCTGATTATTACTATAGGACCCGTGATGGTGGAGAGAGCGGAGAAGATGTCGGCGGCGAGAAGGGGAGAGCCTTGGATGGTCGAGAGGGTTTGGACTGATGGGAGCGAGGAGGAGGGGCGGATTAAGGCGGTGATTTTGTGGCCGCGGTGGAGGGCGGAGGTGAGGATGAGGCGGCCTGTGCGGCCTGTGGCTCCGATGAGGAGGATGTGAGGGAGGTCGTTGGGTGTTGCGTTTGTCATGGTGAGAGTCTGATGATTCTTATCAGGGGTATCGGCGTCTTTCCTAATGCGTGGTCGAGGTGATGTTCAAGTGATGGACAATGGCTGATGTTTGATTGGAAACAGCGGCGACAGCGTTGTACTTATACTCATCCATGACTACTCATTGATGTCTCTAATGAAGGCCAGCCTCAGGTCACATTGGGTCAAACATGCTGACGTTCTGACCGCTGACGGAGGAAGGAGTTGTCGGAGACGGAGTTGCGGTCAGCGGCTCGGATATAGCATCTCCGCCGTCGGCCGAAGCCTTGTCCGTGCCAGCCAATGGCGCAATCATACTTCAGTCCTTCCTTCCTGGTCAGCCACAAGCCATGCTTACGAACATTGCTCCCGAGAAAAAACCATGCCCTAATGGCACCATCGATTGCCTTCCAGGAGACAGTGACTTGTGGTGTCATCTGTCTAGATCACGTTTTGAGCATTACCAAATCATTGGAGAAGGATTCACGCACCTCGGCCGATATGTAAAGGAGAACCGCCAGGTACCGTGTGTTGGGTCTCGAACGAAAGGCGTCACAGAAACTATATAGCCTCCGCGTCCTCCGTGTCGAATTACTATATCATATCACCACCTCTCGGATACCGATTTTCTGATAAGACCTTCCTGTTCACAGGCACTAATATTGCACAATTCGATGTATCATTCATCACCAACCACAAAGTTCAATAGCAATTCTCATTGATCACCATCAATCAACGAGATGACAAACGAGGTGTCAATAATTGGCGCTGGCATCGCGGGCTTCACGCTTGCCCTTAGCCTCCACACCCAAGGCATCCCCTGCGCCGTCTATGAGGCTCGAGCCGAGCCTCAGAATATCGGCGGCGCTGTCATGTTATCTCCAAACTCGCTCAGACTCTTCGACGACATGGGCATCTACGAAGATCTAAAGCGTCTCGGCTACAGCTTTGACACGCTCTACTTCCGCGACCTCGCCGGCGACCTCAAAGAAACCTATCCCTTCGGCAGTGTTGAGAAGTATGGATACAGTGGCCTTCGTGTTTATCGCTACCAACTCATTCATCTGCTATTGAAGAAGGTCAACGCTGCAGAAATCTCCATTTACTTCAACCACAAATTCTCCCATGTGGTTTCAGAGACCGCGGAAACCGTGACCTGGCAACTCATCGATGGCACCGAAAAGACCTCTTCTCTGCTCACCGGTGCAGACGGCATCCACAGCCGTGTCAGGAAATTCATGTATCCCACCCTTTCACCGAAATTCACCGGTCTCGCTGGCATCACAGCTGCCGTACCAACCGCAAACCTCAAATTGCCTACTCCAGATTATAAGATGCCAGTCACCATCATGTCACCTTCCCACGGAGCTTTCGTAATCGCACCTCAAAAGCCAGATGGCAGTGAAGTGCTAATAGGAAAGCAAAAGCGTATGCCCGAGCTCTCACGCGAAGGCTGGGAACAACTCTACACCGATAAAGCCTCTACAGCCGCTTTCCTGCGTGAAGATGCGGAGTTGTTTGGTAACATCGCTGTGTCGGTGACTTCTGACATTCCGCATGATGGCATTAATATCTGGCCTTTTTACGTTATCCCAGAACTTGACTCTTGGTACTCGGGAAAGAGAAGAGTTTTGTTGGTGGGAGATGCTGCGCATGCTATTCCGCCAAGTTCTGGCCAGGGCATATCGCAAGCTGTAGAGGATGTGGTTATGCTGTCGATGCTTTTGAGAAAAGGTAGGGGTGATGAAAGAGACTTGAAGTGGTGGCAAGACTTTAGACAAGCTCGGCTTCAACAGATTCTACTCCTGAACGCACGAGTGGATCAACGGAGATTACCTAAGATCCCGGGAGACACAGAGGGAGAAGATGCTAAGCAAGGTTTCGATCTTGATTGGCTGTATGGTATGGATGCTGTCAAGGAGGTGGAGAAATACGTAGCCGGTTCGTAGACAACTTCATGTACTATCAGTATCTCCTTTGCTATCTGGCCACCGGATTGTCGATAGTAGATCCCTTTGTCGAAGGACTGGCGTTGTAAAAAGCGGAGTACAAGCATAGCCAGGACATCGATCACATCAACTGGAAATTTTACTGCGTGAGAGGACAATTTATCAGTTTGCTATCTTGGTGGCTGCGTGGCACCGCTCTGATATCTCCCATCTACATATGGCTTCCCCTTAAGAATCGTGGACAGTGTATCCGGGGTCATAGAGAATTGCGACAACTGTGCCGTTCGTGTTCCGCAGATACACATTCGCTTGAAAACTTGTACCATATTGCCTATGTCTTGAGTGTAGTGAAGCCCAGATAGCCGTATCTGTCACGTATGTCAGCATTTCGTAGAGTACAGTACGGACGACGTGTCGACTTCCGCATTGCTTGAACCGGCTTGATTCACGTATTGGGCAGTGTAGCCGCTTGGCGTCGGTGCGGCAGAAGCGATGGACGCAAAGGAGGGATATGCTAGGAAAGCAGCGACGGTGTCGGGACTAGGGACAGGGCCAGCTGCAACAGGTAGAGAGGCACAAGCAGCGCGCTTGACATGAGCGATGTCTGTAGTTGCGGTTGGGATGCCGGCTGTGTCAGCATCTGTGGCAGTGATCTGGGCAGCCGCCGCCGAATAGACAACGCTTGGATCGATGACCACAGATTGAGCAGTTACACCGGCAGCTTTAGAGTATGTCGGGTTTGGAAGAGCGAAGGCAAGGTCGAAGTCGATGTCTTGAGGTCTAGGAGCAGCTGCCGCCAGACCAATCAAGGAAGAGGTCAGAATGATGGACTTCATGGTCAAGAGGCGTGACAAGACAGCGGAGAGGAGTAAGTCGTGGATCTCATCGACAATGAGAGAAATCGTAGGACTGAACCTGGGTATTTATGCTTGAAAGACAATGGCGAAATGGACAGACTTGAAGAAGCCGGACATTGAATAACTTCGGAAGCTTTCACAGTCTGAGAACATCACGGCGGTCGGCCAGGTGCTACAATTGGCTGAAGCATGAGGACTGATCAATTTGGAGAAGAGTTGGTCGAATTGAGCTGAATTGAGCGCCAGCGTCGCAGACCTCAGCCGCAGTGGTATACAAAAGACGGAAGTGTGTCTTGCAGCTGTGGCCGAAGCGCATGAGACCATACCACTTGAGGGTCGAGGTGCCCCTGAAGCTGACAAGGTCACGGCATGTAGATCGAAGCGATACCATAATTGGTCTCTGGTCCCTGAGATAGCGACTGTTGCCCAAAGATCAGTGAAGCTTATCAGCGTTTCAAAGAAGCCTCTGATGGTTACAAAACGGAACATCGAAAGACAGATTGGCAAGCTCTATTCACCGACAGAGATAAGGTAAGAGGAGCAGGCGCGACGCAGGCAGGAAAAAGCGAGGGCGAGCTTTCCTCGGCCGGGCCCGGCAAGCGGATTGGCATTCTCCACCCTTGGCACTTCTCCGCTCATTCCAAAGATTCTCTTCTTCCCTTCTTTGCCTACCGAGGCTGCGCAGCACCACAAGAACACAATGCTCAGATTATCGTGCGCGACCGATGCACGTACCTATTTGTCGTCAATCGCCGACTTGGGGCCGATTGTAGTACGATTAGCAATGTCAAGCGAGCCCCCGCCTCCACAATTTGAGGACAGCGCTTGTGGCTCACGTAGTATGTGACCTTTATTCAAGGCAGTAGCCGCAATGCCGCCACAAGTTTGCACAAGGTAAGCCGCGACGCATTCTCAAGTCTCGTATACCATGGCGTCAAGACAACAACCGGAGAGGGGAAAATGCGCACCCCCGCAGTCTGAAGATCGGCGAACTTGCGAAAACAAAGCTGTCGACTGCATCATGTAGTTTAGCCTGATGTCTCTAGGTGCACGGCGAAACACTGTGGCTCGACTTGGGCCTGGTCTGGCAGGAGCTTGCATTCTTCAACGCCTCCGAGAATCTTGGACACACCTTAAATACTCGTCGAACTGCTGTTGTTGCTTCATGCTTTTTCCCACCAAACACCATTTCTGGACACAAAATGAAGGCTGCTTCCATCTTCATCGCTGCTAGCTTAGCCGGAGTCGGCTATTCCCAGCCTGCGAAACAGAAGAATTCGACCATCTACAATCCTATCCTTCCCGGCTTCAACCCTGATCCGAGTTGTGTCTTCGTCAAGGAATGGGATAACACCTTCTTCTGTGCTACTTCCACCTTTCTTGCTTTCCCTGGCATACCAATTTATGCAAGCAAGGACCTACAGAACTTCAGACTCATCGGACATGCCTTCAACAGACCTGAGCAACTGCCTGCTTTCGGCAACATCACTGGACAGCAGCAGGGCTGGTACGCTCCTACCCTGAGATATCACAACAAGAGATTTTGGATTATCAACTCCTGCGTCGGAGCCGCGACTGGATATTGGAGTACTCCAGACCCTTACAGAAATGATGCGTGGACTAATGTCACTCCCACCGAGATCCCTGGCTACGACCCTGATCTTTTCTGGGATGCCGATGGCACGGTATATTCTGCTTTTGCAAAGACTGTGCAGACCGACCCCTTCACTACCGAGATTCACCAAGTCAACATCAGCATGCCATCGGGAAATACTACGATAGACCGCTTTCTGTGGAATGGCACCGCTGTGCAACCTCCAGAGGGACCTCATATGATGCTGAAGGATGATTACCATTACTTGCTCCTTGCCGAGGGTGGCACTGCTCAGGCTCATCAAGTCACCATCGGAAGAGGTAAATCTGCTCAGGGCCCATTCGAGGCTGATCCGGCGAACCCTATCTTGACTGCCTACAACACGACCGAGTACTTCCAGACCGTTGGCCATGCGGATCTCTTCCAGGACGCTGCTGGAAATTGGTGGGGAGTTGCTCTATCCACACGTTCTGGTCCTGAATACGAGACTTGGCCAATGGGCAGGGAGACTGTGCTTTATCCTGCAAAATGGGAGGAAGGACAATGGCCTGTCTTGGGGGGTCCCGTCAAGGGCAAGATGCAAGGTCCTTTGCCGCCACCCAACAGGAACATTCATGGCAGTGGTGCCTTCATCAAGGATCCTGATTACTATAAATTCTCCCCCGGCTCACCTGTACCATCTCATTTCTCGTATTGGCGCTTTCCCAAGACTGATAACTATGTTGTCTCGCCACGAGGTCACCCAAACACGTTGAGACTCTTTCCAGGCCGTGCAAACCTGACCGGTGATGCGGCTTTCATTCCGACTGACGGCATCACATTCATCGGTCGCCGACAGACTGACACGCTCTTCACTTATAGCGTCGACATCAATTATACACCATCGGTTTTCGGAGAAGAGTCTGGTGTCACGCTGTTCCTGACGCAGAACTATCACGCTGACTTGGGAATTGTGCGCTTGAACAAGACTGGCAATTACCTTCGTTTCCGTGCTGAAGGTCCGAATGCCCCAAAGCAGACTGTGGTCTCAGTCTCCCAGAAGTGGTGCGAACAGGGTATGACATTGCAGATTCAAGCATACAACACCACCCACTTTTCTTTCTCTGCTGGGCCCAAAGGTGGGCCGATCAAGCAAGTCGCTACTGTGCCTGCTACGCTTGTTTCGAACGGATTCACTGGTAAGCTTTAATATTTCGCATGGTCAAATTGAACAATGCTAACTCTTGCAGGTTCCTTCGTCGGGGTGTATGCCACGAACAATGGCAATGCCCTTGGTAAGACTCCATCGTACATCAGCAATTGGGTCTACCAGGGACAAGGACAGTACATCGGTGATGGAGAATTCTATCCGAGCAATGGTCAACGATCTTAGGCAGGATGTCAGAACGACAAGGTTTGTGATCTTCCACCTATGGGAGCTCGTCTACGATCATCGATGCGAGTAATTGGCCTTTGCAAATTGGTGTCCTAATGACCGGAGTTTGTGCCCTATGTCATCATATGAAATAAAGGCAGGGATCTGCAGAATGTCAAATTCGGTTGTGGTATAGGCTAAATCGGTGCGGAAACCCAGTTTCCTTTTTGAGATCTGCATTGCACCCCCACACTGAGTGCTGACTTCTCTTCGATGTTATCATCGTGTATTGGAACTTCATAAAAGATGCCACTTGTCTTGCAACTTGGTTATTGTATAACTTTTCTCTCCAATTCAAGATGCGCCTCATTTCTCTCCTGGCACTCTGCGGACTTGCTCTCGCAGAGACTGGTATTGACAGATGGCTACGATATGCACCTCTACCTTCAACCATATCGTAGCCCTATGTGCCGCACGACATCGTCGTGTTGAACACAACAGACGGAGGTCCAGTTTTAACAGCGGGTCTTGAGCTGCAGCAGGGTATCCAGAGCATTCTCGGCCGGACCTGTCAACTTGCAAACAATACTTCACGCGAGTCAAACATTGTTGGCACGCTTGACGCATGCGTTGATACATACGGGCCGCTTGATCATAATGTACATCTCATGGAAGATGGATTCTGGTTGAGCACCGAGGGTGACACCGTTCAGATTCTTGGGCCAAACGAAAGAGGCGCTCTCTATGGAGCCTCTGAGTATTTGTCCATGCTGGCACAGGGAAATTTCTCATCAGTGGCATACGCATCGAGTCCCAACGCCAACATTCGTTGGGTCAATCAGTGGTGAGCGCGGATTCGGCGGAGTCTCCATCTTCTTCTCGAATGGCACCATTGTTAGCGATTTGACTCGAGCAACCCAGCACACTCGTCTTCTTGCCTCGGTGGGTATCAACGATGGCCTCGGGAGAATCGCCGATGTCATGCGCCCATACGGTGTACAGATTGGTATCTCACTCTATTTCTCATCTCCAACATCCGGAATACAGGGTCAAGCAAATCTCACAACGTTCGACCCTCTCGATTCTGGAGTTGTGACCTGGTGGAGTAACGTCACTGATCAGCTTTATGACCGAATTCCTGACATGGCTGGCTATCTCGTGAAGGCGAACTCCGAGGGCCAACCGGGTCCTTTGACCTACAATCGTACTCTCGCCGAAGGTGCCAATCTTTTCGCCAAAGCACTACAGCCTCATGGTGGCATCGTCATGTTTAGAGCCTTCGTTTACAACCAACTCAACGAATCCGTGTGGACAGCTGACCGCGCAAACGCTGCAGTTGACTTCTTCAAACCTCTAGACGGTGAGTTTGACGACAATGTGGTCGTGCAAATCAAGTATGGTCCCATCGACTTCCAAGTCCGAGAGGCTACGTCGCCATTGTTTGCAAATTTGTACGACACAAGCACTGCGATCGAGCTTCAAGTTCCACAGGAGTACCTTGGGCAGCAAACTTATCTGGTTTACCTTCCACCACTCTGGGACACTGTTCTAGGCTTCGACATGCGTGTTAATAAATAGACATCTTTGGTCCGTGACATCATCTCTGGACAGGTGTTCAACAGATCTCTGGGTGGCTATGCCGCTGTTGTGAATGTTGGCACAAACCAAACTTGGCTAGGAAGTCACCTCTCGATGGCCAACTTCTACGCGTATGGTCGGCTAGCTTGGGATCCTCTTGAAAATACTGCAAAGATTCACAAAAACTGGACACGTTTGACGTTTGGACTTGACCAAGAAGTTGTCAATACCATCACCAACATGGCACTTGAGTCCTGGCCAGCGTATGAGAACTACAGTGGTAATCTCGGCGTCCAGACACTGACAGACATTCTATACACTCACTTCGGACCTAATCCCCAATCGCAAGATAACGACGGCTGGGGTCAGTGGACACGGGCAGATCACGACACCATTGGTATGGACCGCACGGTCGCGAACGGCACCGGCTTTTCCGGCACATATCCACCAGAAATTGCTACAATGTATGAAGACATTGAGACGACACCGGAAAACTTGCTCTTGTGGTTTCATCATGTCAACTACACTCAGCAATTGAAATCCGGCAAGACAGTGATCCAGCACTTTTACGATGCTCATTACTCTGGAGCCGAGACAGCGCAGACATTCGCAAAACAATGGCAGACGCTGGACGGCAAACTTGACTCTCAGCGATTCGAGGAGCAAATATACCGCCTCAAATACCAAGCTGGTCACTCAATCGTCTGGAGAGATGCAATCTGTGACTTCTATCACAACATCTCTGGTATTTATGATGTGTCAAATCGTGTCGGAAACCACCCTTATCGTATTGAAGCCGAGAGTATGACTTTGAACGGCTACAAGACATGCGCAGTCAGTCCGTTCGAAACAGCATCGAATTATCATGCAGTCGTTGTCAGTGATAACACTACTGCTGGTTCTGTCTCCACTGTCCTCCGATTTCCATCGGATGTCTATGATATCGGCGTCAACTTCTACGATCTGTATGGTGGCAAGTCAAAGTATGAGATTTTGATCAACAACAAAACCATGGTTAGATGGACCGGCGACAGCGAGGACTATCTCAGTCACACGCCTTCTATCTATGGACACTCGGCCAGAAGGATCACGTTTGAAGGTCTTGGCATTCAGACAGGTGATGTGTTTGAGATTATCGGCGCAGCCGATGGGATTGAGCCTGCTCCGTTGAACTACGTAGTTTTCTTGCCGTCCGGAGTGCTTGATTGAGGCGGAGGTGGAGGGAGGAAGAACGAATCTTGAAGCCATTGAACTTTGGCGAAAACTGCTTAATTATTCTCGTATGCATAATTCGTGATAATCCAAGCGCGTCAGCTTCGAACTTGTTGATTTGAGGGGTATCTAATTATCTATCCACCTCTAACACACCACCACCACGTCGAATTAGACGATAATTAACGTCAATATAACTACTTCTGATGCTGCTCAATCGATTCTAGACGTTATTAATGATACCGGACCTCGTACGCGCTTACGATCTGCGTCAGTTGCTTAGACGCCACCCGAAGTCGAATCCGAGCTTAGCGAGCCTCCTCTCTCGCTAACAACACTACCGACTTTAATGCGTACCGGACGGAAGTTAGTACACTTTAAAGATAACTTAGAAGAGGGCCCTTCTACTAGGCATACTCGGTTAACTCGCGGAATCGCGCTAGAACGACTTATTAACGTGTTAACACTAGCTGCGACGCGTAGTAAGGGCAACAACAAATATGCCACACCTATCTAACGACTATAACTAACTCTAGAGAAGTCAGCAATTAAGAGGAAACCTCTTTCTAATGCTGCGAATACGTTAGGAAAAACAAGAATAACTTCTACGTTTCGAAAAACTAAGTTATAGGCCCTACCGGCTACGAAGCCTCCTAGGAAGCGGTCTACGCATCTAGCCCTAACCCGCTCCCGCTTAACAACCACCACTTCTAAAGTCACTAAACTAAGTAATATCATTCGGACTATAAAGGAGACGACCCTCGTAAGGAAGGTACTATCAAAATCGAGTGGTGCTACCCTAAGGGAGGCCTCGTTGTTACAGCCACCTTAAATTCCATTTAAGATTTAATATAACAGCCGTTAGATTTATTAAAAGGTCTCCGACGACGATACGGAAGTAGTCGATACTAACCTGCTATAGATGTCGGTGCTTAAACGTATAGATAAGACTATTATCCCTTAGTTACGAGCTAGGAATATCGCTAACTTTCTACCTTATAAGATACGAGGAGTCCTCGCATTAATAGGCGCTCGAGGAGTACGCTTAACCGAAGCGGTAACTCTAATAAGGGTAGACGAAGCGTACATACGCTAGTTAAGGCTAATTAAGCTCGTCCGACATAATGCACGTATTAGTATAAAAGATCTCTCTATTACGATTAAGTCGATTTAGACTGTCGATAGTACTAAGCTAGCGCTAGAGTAACCTCCTTCGTACGAGGCATCGGCTCCTCCTATTAACACCCCTTAAACTGCACCTTCTACTCGTAATCGCCGTACTAAGCGCTCGTAGTAATAGACTTCCGTATACTTCGAGGAGCGCGCTTTATTCTAGGACACGATTACTTATTACTAGGCTTGCCTTAAGTAGAATCGATGCTATATCGCTACGCGGCGCGGTCTCGTATACTTTATCTATAAGGGTCGCTATTACGAGATCCTCTATAAGGTCGCTCTAAAGTGGAGAGACGTAGTATAGTATAGCTATAGTATACTTAAACGTCCCTTAAAAGAGGTTAGACAGCTTATTATACGGTGTTATTATAAGAAGGAATAGGAGCTTACGAAGCGAGAGAGACCTACTTAACCTGCTTAAATATCGACCTAAACCTTACCATCTAACCCTTCTATAGTTAACTACTTTTACGTCGATTAACCTTAAGGATATAAGCAGCCTATTACTTCGCTAGTAGTGCCGGCCGCGCCAGTTATTTCGACCCCTCGCTAGGTGTCGCCTATACCGGTTAAGCTTAATACTACTACTTAGTAGGAGACGTTTTAGGAGACTCTAAAACTCGCTTACCTAGACTAGTCTATAGGCATCGATCGAGCTAAGGTCTCACTTAATTAAGACTACTAGAACTTACGTATGCTATTTATGTCGAATAATAGGCAATTAGGCCGTATAGTTAAGCAGGGGGGCCTATATATAACTATTATAGAAGAGTTAACTAAATTTATCGACATTTATAAGCAGTCGCATCGTTAATCTAATAGCTCGCTAATATCGACTATTCCTCGTACTTCTTAGAGAGATAATTGCGCTCCTCTAAGTGTAACCTCCCTTTCGTTAACCTTATCGACGACCGATTTAGATAGTAGCGACTATTAGATTTAAGGTTAGTACCCTGCTCCTAATAAATAGATTCCTAATACTAACGTCGTCGAGTGCCTAATGCGTCGCCTGCTCGAGGTGCGTAATCTATGCCGCCTTATATACCTTAATATCGAGCTCGTCAGCTTAGGGTGCTAGATCCCTATACTTCCGGAGCTAGCATTTTAAGAGGTAGAACGTCTACTTAATAGGGTTTAGATAGGGTGAATATAGTAGCAGGTATAGTAGAAATACCCTAAATTAGCGGCCTAACTCGGTAATCTACTTAATGTTAGTTCGTACTAAAGCTGCACTAAAATCTGCACCTACCTTCTCCGAATAGTAGGTCGAGCAATTGTCTATAACGACAATCGACCTTCTCCCTAGAAACGGCTCGCACTAAGGGAGGACTACTACCTCTAGCTAGTGCTCGTAGATTGCTTATATAATAGCACCCTCGACGACGAGGGTCGACCCTAGGATGTAACTATAGACATTAAGAGTAGGTAAGACTAAGTATCGCACCTTTAACACTAATTCTGACCTTATATACGTAGGTAGACTAATCGCTAACTATAAACGACGACGGAACATTACCCTCTCGCTTGCCGTAGATTCGTCTAGATAAAGGAGCATCTCTAAGGGGTTAATATTAATGTTAGAAGCTCGAGATATTAGCTCGGCTAGTCTCTCTTCGTATACACCCTATTCGACGACGGATTAACGACTCGCAATACGCGTGTTAACCTTATTCGAGAGCTCCTCTTTAGTTATTAATCGACTAATAGTCGACTGGTCGACTGTAATGTCGAACTCGCACTATAATTCGAACACTAACTCCTCCTACTAAAGGTCGTTCCTATAACTAAGCAGTTTAAGAAGGTATTTACGTATAAGGGGTGTAATCTTACGAGAAGGTCCCCTGCGCTTGCAGGCACTTATAGGCTTCCGAACGTGTCTAAAAAGCTCGATATTTCGCTATATACGGTAGAGGGTAGGAGTAGTAGCATATAGTATAATTTTAAGTATAGTAGCGACGTTACAACCGTCGCGAAACATGGCCTGTATAAGGTCCTTATCGTGATTATTAAGAGGCATGTTAACTGCATGGATTAATCACCTGTTAGTACATCAAATCTGCAACAAATCCAGAGAATACTGCTCCGAAAAGTGGCAGCAGTAGGAGTAAGGTTACCTTAAGCTATTACACTAAAGACGACGACGACAACAGTGGTATAGAGCATCTAATTGATAGAATTGACGTTGGGTAGCTACGAAATCGATGAGTTTAGAAAGTCGGGGGTGGCGAATTATCACGAATTATGCATACGAGAATATATATGGACGGGGCAAAGCTTTCTCCGACATTTTGCCGTTGGAAGGGCGCGTTATTGACATGACGGCTCTGAATTGCTTGGCCTTATCCATCCAGAACAATGATACATTGAACATATTTCTTTTCTGCTTCCAACCATCAGTCATCTTCCATGTCAGTAAGACAATTAACAAACCCGTTGCTGCGCAGAGCAGCCGGTAAGGAAACCCTGCGCAACACAACCGCCAAGCAAATCGTCAACATGACAAGCACGTGCGCACTTTCGTCAACTGCTCCACATCAAAAAGCGACTCCGAAGATCGACTATGCATCATTGGGTGGCTCGAAGAAGCAACTGTCAGACTGGAAACTCAAGGCCGAGATCAGCGTCACCAAATCAAGCAACCCAGACTGGAAATGGGGTGATGGCGTCAAGCGCGAACAAGACTCACATGTCGAAATCGACCCTTTTGCAGAAGGCCGACCAATGTTCCACAACTATACCTTACTCGTCTCTGGCATCGCACCTCGTCCCATCGGTCTTGTCAGCACGATATCCAAAGAAGGAAAATTGAACCTCGCACCATTCAGCTATTTCCAAGTTGTTGATCATGATCCTCCGGTCTTTGTGATTGGCTTTTCTGGTCGCGCGGGACGGCCGAAAGATACATTGCGCAATCTCGAGGAAACAGGAGAGTGCGTCTTCAACATTGTTTCTGAAGACATGATAGAAGCTGTCAACGCGACTTCGGTGGATGCACCGTACGGTGTCTCTGAATGGACGCTTTCTGGCTTGACGAAAGCTGAAAGCACGACTGTCAGACCGCCGAGGGTCAAGGAGTCTGTCATGTCGATCGAGGGCAAGTTGACTAAAATTGTCAATTACAAAACCTCAAGACCTTCTGTTGGTCCTCATGGGTCGTTGGCGATCATCGAAGCGACTAGGTTTTGGGTGCAAGAGAATGCGATTGATGAGAAGAGAAGTCATGTTGACTTGGATGTTCTGAGACCCATTGGACAGCTGGGTGGTGTGTCTTATGCGAGAATTACCGACACTTTCGAACTTCCCAGGACAAATTGGGCTGCCGCTGTGGAGAAGTCGGGTTCCGAACTTCTGAACATGGCGAGAGAAGAGTCTGCCCAGCCTAGCTGTCAATCCTCCGCAGGACCGACAGTGCGCGGCTCATCAAGTGGCATGGATTAGGCAACCAGCGTGAGTCAGCGGACGCCAAGGATCTCAGATACCCTCTTTGGCTAAGGATGACATCGCTTCCTTCTTCTCCTCTCATCTGCAATCACTACGCAGTTCACCACAGGACATCACGATGCGACTAAGATCCGGTTATGAGATCATTCAAGACTTCAAGCCTCTCGTGCAGGTCGAGATTGATCGAACCAACAGAGAGGAGGAAGAAAAAACCCGCCAAAGACAGGACGAAATAAATCTTAAAAAACGGATTGACGAAGCGGTCCTCTCAAGAGAAGCAATTCACAATGGCCCTGTGTCTCCACAACCATGCTTTCCCGACACTCTACCTCCAGAACTTGTCGTTCGTATCTTGAAGATCATGACCTCAGCGGATTATGTCGGCCTTGCTCGTACGTGTCGCCTTGCTCTGATATTTACAAACGAACAAGCGGAACAGGCGTGGTACTTCAACAGTCCATATTATTGGACCGTCAGCTACGCAGGAGCGTGGAAGAGGTGTTATCAGATCTGTGGCGAAGGTGGAGGATATCGCAGTATTCACCATCTACCCTTCTCAGGAGATGATGAAGCTGACCTCTGGAGAACTGGGAAAGAGAAATCAATCGGTAGCGTGACAGAACTGTTGCAGGCTCCGAAAACATTTTCCGAAGCTCGATCAACAAATGAAATCACGCATGCTACAATGCCATGGAGCTTCTCATCGTGGAAATGCTGGTCTAGCTGAGGCGCGACTCTGTTCTATGCTTCAGAACAGCGACACTAAGAAGTCAAGAGATCTTTCTGCATCATCTTCCAGTGCATAATATGTCGCGAAAGTTAGCCCTAACTGTCAAAATAGATTTCGGGATGCCGAGCCAGAGGAATGGAGCTGGACTTCATGAGCGCTGGAGATAGGCGGTAAGTTTGATAGCTCCGGTCCTCACCTTTCCACCACAACATCCTAAGAATGAGCCTCTGCCTTGAACATATGAAAGCCGCATCTCGCTCGTCGTAATTCGACCTAGTGTCATTCCTTCACATTCATGGGGTCCTTGTACCCTGACCTTTTATTCCCTTCACCGCGACTATGAAGTACGTCAAACTTGGCGGAAGTGGCCTCCGCATATCTCCCATTGGTGTCGGATGCATGAGCTACGGCAGCTCCGAAGGACGATACAAGTGAGCACTTGGAGAAGCCGAAGCACTCCCCACCCTCCAACACTGTTACAAATCCGGCTTAAACTTCTTCGACACTGCGGATAGGTACTCCAACGGTGACTCCGAAGTTATTCTTAGGTACCTGTCGGTTCTGGTCTGGAAGCACCATTGTCCATGTCTGAGAAGGAGAAAAACAACAAGGGCTACGTCAACCAATACGGCCTTTCGCGCAAGCATATATTCGAGAGTGTGGACAACAGTTTGAAGAGATTGGATCTTAAGTATGTCAACCTCCTCCAGATCCATCGCTTTCACCTAAACACTCCTGTCAAAGAGACAATGGAAGCTCTTCATGACCTCGTCAAGCCTGAGACAATTGCTGAAGCACCCACCTGTCTCAAGACCAAGGGCACCCATCGCCGTTTCACCGTGTCTACAGATTGGTCATCTACACAAAGATCCAGAGTTTGTTATCTGCGCTCGCCTTCAGAAGCTTGGACACAATTTCTCGTCTACAGTACCTGTCACAATCCTCGAACCCTGTCAAAGCACTATTTCTCGACCGAAAAATAAATGGCGGAGATAACGTAGCTCTCTGTTCTAAATCCCGCGCTCGAACATTAAATACAAAGATACGAGCAGTTATGGGAAGTTTGTGAACTCTAAGGTGTTCTGTCTCTTTGACAGCGATAAGGCTTCTCCTCTCCTTTAGAACACAGATTTGAAGGTCGATTGTCTGAGTTTGTACCTGGTGTGATCGACAACCTCACGAGGCACGCGCTCAAGCAAAGTAAGAACGTATTGAGGTTCCACGTGGACTGATCCACGATGAAACATGAATGCCATAGTTTCAGTCAACATCTTTTGGCAGAAGAATCGCAGTCGAGCGACGTGAACTTCGGACTACTCGCTAAGTCAGTCAGAGGTTAGGAGGTGGGAACTCGGAAGAATGATGAAAAGGGCACGCCTGGATCAAGCCAATAACCGTAAAATCTCGTTTATGAGGAAAACGAAGAAAATGCCATGAAGGCATGCCCTATGAAACGAGATTTTACGGTAATCATCAACTGCGGAGTCAGAGGAGTATCGAAGCTTGAGCTGCTCTTTGCCAGCTCAAGCAGTTCTCGGTGCATGTCACTCTTGAGGCTGCTCCATTGACACTGTGAGATGAAAAATACTGTGTTTGTTTTTCGAGAACCAAGCTACCTATGCTGCTATCGACAGCAGACATCCGGCGTATTGTTGTCGTGTCGATCGTGAATTGACACCAGATCATGATTTTGTATTCGCAAAAGTCTGGTGGGCTGACAGTAGCCCCCTAAAGCAGTTTAAGGAGAGGCAGCTGATCCGGTGTACTAGGAGCAGCATATGGCAATGCCGTCAATCTGGCTAGGTGTTAAGACGTTGTTGCGAGCGCAGGTGTATTTGGCTTAGAGGCAAGCATCCTGGGCCTGAGCAGGCTGTCCGGCAGCGCAAGCAGCAGAAGCAGCACTAAGCTCATTGGTGCAGTATGCGGCGTTCTAGCGACACTCGGCGTCGACGGCATCAGCTGCCGTCGAGAGGCCGTAGAGGATGTTGGTGACACTGTTTGTAATGGAGCCAACAATACCGCCGGTGACGCTGTTGAGAATGCTGTTGACCTCAGATGGTAGCTGGGCCTTGCTAAGGAGCGAAGAAGCAGCGGCAAGAACGTTCTCAGTGTTACCACCTACATTGCCAGACTGGTAGTCGAGGAAGCCGGCAAGAGGCTGGAGAAGACCGCCACAGACAAGGTCTGACGAGGAGCTGGCGGCTTGGCGTCTCTCAGCGGGAGAGGCGATAGCGACGCTGGCCATGGCGGCCGTGACGAAAGTTGAGATGCGAACCATAATGAAGATCCAATAGGGTGAAATTAAAGGAAGTCGTTTGAAAATTATTTGTTTGTTAGATTGCTTTGGTGAAGGATGATGTCACGAGATGATTGTGTTTCGGCTAGGAACATGCCCGTTTTATATACCCTGTGCTCTTGCGCAATAACAGACATCCAGTGCAAAGAGTCGTCAGTTTGCCTCCCACCGTGCGCATTCGACTACGCACAGTATAGTCTCGCATACAAACGCTCACGGCGGTTGAGACAACCAGCACGGGGAAGGATAGCAGAAGGTCCTAAGCAATACCCAAAAGAGGAACGCATGATCTGCGACCGCCCAGCCGGCTGAATGTAATCTTCAGGGTGCACTGCTTTCTCTGTTTCTGATGTCGAGTTCAGCCGTAATCGGCATGGACTCACGATGATCGGCGGAGTAGATCTCCGTGGCGACCAAGCATTTCGAGCCTAGATCGTTAAACTGAGCCCCACAAGGCGTACGCCACATGTTGAGGTACGAGAGTCGCTGAGATCTATGCCAAATGGAGCCCATGGAAGCAGAGCTCGAGTTGCGTCAGTGGAATCCTACTTGTCCGCCTAGAGATCGACGTGAGCTTAGACAGACAGCAAAGCTTGCTGGTCGTGGAGAAAGCGCCACCGAGACCAGGGTTTACATACTAATGGCAAATGCAGGAAATAAGTGTGAATGAACACTGCGGTCGTCACCGAGAGCCGAACCATTCGTTTCCAAGACAGAGCTTCAAACTTGTGAGAAGAAAAAACCCATTAGTGTAAAACTCGCGCATCCAGCAAGCCCATAGCAGCAGTTGAAATTGCAGTGCGCTTGCAGACATGAAGAATAATGTCTCTTTGGAGATGCGGTTACCGGACACAGGTTAGCTGATGTTCGTCAGATCTACTAACTGGAGCGGAACGACAATTAGTCGATGACCTACGCGCCTCAAGCAGATTCTTCTCCGTGAATTCCGAACATGACATCGTGCTTGCTAACAGCATGCTCGGACGGCACTTTCGGCCGCATACCTGAACTTCTCGAGTTCCGAGGCCTAAGTTGCTTCTGCTCTTGACATTTTCGCCACGTCTCATGCAACAGCAACGTTGAGTCATCGCCCTGAAGTCTCAAAACGCCGTGGAGAGGGCGGTTACAGTGTGACGATGATCATGGTGGAGATGCGTCAAGGAGATGGTAGAGGGAGAAGCCTGATAAACTCAAACCTTAGCGCCTCATCGAGTCAGGTGTAGATGTTGCAATGCCCGAATCGAGAATGGGGCATCGCTTGGCTCACGTTCGTGGTTATCGAGAATCTCGAGCTTGCATTGTTGCCAACGCTTTGACTGTACACTGCCGCTTGATCATCTCACGAAAGTAAATGTGCATAGAAACAAAGTCGATCGCCATTTCCGTAGCGTCACCAGACTCCGTGCATATGTGAAAGGTAAGAGCGCTGGCTGTCGTGTTCGAGGGCAGGACAATCGTTTTGAATTGGTCGTTGTCACAAAACAATGTATGTCGTGACGAATGATGACAAAGTCGTCGTCTGATATAAAGATTGCACGACAACAATACCGTGCCGGTCTGCTTGATACAGGCGGCTTGTCTCCTCTGTTTACCAAAGCCAGTATTCGCCATGTCAATGCTAAAGACTCATCCTGGCGAGCTATCTTTGACAAAGCTTCTCGCGACACTGGCAGTGCGATGATGGTGCGATATGCACTCCTCCACATTTTCCCAGCCTTCGCCGAGGCGGTTAATCATTTCCTGAGCGTCATACGGTGAAGCTGATCACTGCACATCACTTCGTGTATTTATTCGCGACTCATCACGTCAATCGACCGTCTGTTCTCGACCTTGTCGTTGTCACTGAGCATGTTAAAACGGTATATGTTGGTTCGTCTTCGAGGAATCTTCAATTGACAACTGTGCTTGTTAGTTAGGCGATTTATCCTAGAACAAGTCCGACCGAGACAGTCAGTTCATATTTCTCTATCAGTATCTGGAACACGCTCTTGACTTAGGAGCGACGAGTTTGCAGTCCGAAACAAGACGTCTTCTGTTCCAAGAAGTCAGCTGCTTTCGCATGGGTGTCTGACTTGATGTCTATGATCAGTTGTGTTGACTGTATAAGGCAGACATATGGCATCATTGATGCGGATTACGCAAGTGTGTTCTTCATGTTCTGGAGAGCCTTACAGTAGGTCACGGAATTAATTTCACCGATTTGCTGGAGTGCTTGGGCAGCAAATGCGACGGAGGCGCGCCAGAGATTCATGTCGGGACCATTCGAGAAAAATTCCTTGACAGTGAGCTTCGATCCCGATGTAATCTCATTGATCCTCTTCAGCCCTTTGACCTCTTTCTGCAGTTCCTCGTCATCGGTGCCGCATTGTTTGAGACGTGCCATGATCTGAGTAACCTCCTTCTACTTGCCATGCTTGAGCAGCCATCGAGGAGATTCGGGAAAGGCAAGAATACCAGTAATATCCTGAGAATGATGCCAAAGAATGCCTGGAACGCGACTGGGAAGCGCCATTGGAAAAAGCTGGCATTGCAAAACCAAAAGCCGTAGTTGATACAGTAAGAGATCATGACTCCGCAGGTGATCAGTGCGCCCTCGAAGAGTACCAAGAAACCACGAATCTTGGGAGGTGCCATTTCAGATTGCCAGACGGGAACACTGGAAGCGTTCATGCCGTTACCGGCACCTGTGACTATGCGACCTACGATGAGCTGTACCAATGTTGTAGAGGACGTCTGAATAGCTGTCCCGACAAGCATGATCGTAGCACCGATCAGCACTGCTCGTCGGCGACCTAGCTTATCACCATGTCCGATGATGATCAAAGAGCCAATCAGACAACCGATCTCGTAAATGGCGACCACAAGGGCTTGGATCGAACCAAGCTTGTAGCTTCCGGACACTTTTGGGACAGTTTCAAGGAACATAGGCTCCGTGATGATACCCGACATGACACCCTGATCTGGACTCGATCAGCTGACAAACTCAAATTTGTTTCCAGAAGATGGCGAGCCTTATCGTATCCGAACAGCAGGGATCCGGCCGATGCTGTAGCACAAACACCTAGTTCCAGCGCTTTGCCGGTCATCCTGTCGCTAAGGAACCCTGTATGTGAAAAAGTCATGGTTTTGGTGAAGCGATTCGACAATGAAAGATGAGATTGTAAGAAACGGGTGTCATGGACGAACGACATTCTGATTCAAATATTGCAGGAGTAACAAGACGTATGACATACCATCAAGAGCGAATACAGCAGAGTTCTATACCATGACAGCTGATTTGTTCCGCGATCTTCGATCTTGCGAGCCGCTGTCGAAGCCATGGTAAAAGTTGACCATGGGGTGGATTAAGCAGAAGACATGTAAAAAGTCAGCACATGGTCAAGCAGACAGGCAGAACATTGTCATAGTGAAGATACGCATGTTCCCGAAGAATCGCATGTCAAGAGCAAGCAGCTCGAACCTGGAGAATGTGGGGATGCATCGAACGCTGAGGTCACTTAGGGTGGGAAGGTTTTGAGATTCATCACCACCGGTGTTTGACTCCGCTCCGGGGGTATGCTTATTTGTGCTTATTTCTGTATAGCAAACGCTTTCCATGCGCCTCAATCTGGAGACAGCAACAAGAACGATACAGTTTTCTAGTTAATTACGATAAAGAAGTCTCCAAGTAAAAGAGGGTGTGTACATAGGAGAGACTCCTAGACTCTAGCTTCTTCTCGAGACTTTGGGCCGGTGCCGAATTTCGACTCGATCTTACTCGTCTCCTGGCGCGCCGCGCACTCTTGCGACGACATTAGCAACGAGCGACTGTGGGAGCATAGTGACTGCGGTCTGGAAGATGGCGTTGTTCCACCCAACAACGCGAGCAGCAGCGTTCTCTTCGAAAGCTTTCACGGCGGCTTTGGCCACATCCGATGGTTTGTCTATACCGACTTTGTCGATGGCACCGCGCTGTTCACCAGTGCCCTTGCCGGTCAAGTTGGTCGAGGTGACACCAGGAACGATACAAGCGATTCGGACGCCAGTATCTTGGTGGAGATTCTCTTCTCTGACCGACTGCGAGAAGGATATGACGAAAGCTTTGCTTGCGGCGTATACAGCGGTGTACGGGACTGGTTGATGGCCTGCAGTCGATCCAAGGTTCAAGATGCCACCTTTACGTCGCTCCACCATTCCGGGCAAGAAGCGAAGACTCATGTCCACAAGCGAACGAACCAAGAGATCAATGTTGGCCAGAGAAGAGTCGTTTGCCGTGTCCTTGCCAAAAACGTATTCTCTTGCGAACCCAGCATTGTTGACAAGGATGTCTATAGTCCAGTCCCAGCCGTCGACTTCTTTCTGAATGTTTTGAGGACCCTCGTGAGTCGTCAAGTCAGCTTTGATTGTGCGAATCGACAAATTAGCTGCTGAAGCTTCAATTTCGCCAGCGACTTTGGACAACTTGTCTTGATCGCGTCCGACGAGGACGAGTCGTCGCACACCACGCGCGACCAGCTCTTCGGCAATGGCGCGCCCGATGCCCGATGAGCCGCCTGTTACAAGCGCGGTCGACGATGAGAAGTCAAGATCTGCGAGAGTCATTGTAGCGTTTTCGTGTCGCTCGATCTGAGAGGTCAGAATTAATCTAGGAGGAATAATGGAAAATGGATGGTTGCCTTTCTCAAGCCATCGCGCTCATTTTGGAGAACGCGTCCAGCTCGACTGGCTTTCGTGATTTGGCAACGGTGCCATGAGCGTGTCATCGATGTGTGGTGGTGTCACTGAGGAGGGTGGTGTTACTCAGGTCCTCCGCTCAAGCTGTCCCGCCAAGTCTTCATCCTCGAAGACGTCATATCGGAATATTTTTTCCTACAAGCCGCGACCACCTGTTTTGGCAGTCCCAGAATCCCGCTTGCCCAGATGGTCTTTCACCGTCTGGGAAATTCCTCTATCGGCAACTTTACTTTTTCACCGGAGAACAGCGTCTGTTCAGATCTCAATATCTATCAGTGATCCATAAGCGAGATGTTCGAATGACGGTTATTATCATACATGGATCAGCTCTTGATACACATACACTATTAGCAACAGCTTTGTCAATACTGTTTCCCTCACTTCGACACCTGAATTGCGTACAGCAATGACTCAGATACTCATCACTGGAGCGACTGGCTACATCGCGACTTCGTGACGGACAGTTTTTTAGATTCACTATCGAGATTGCACAGGGAGACGAGGACAGTCACGATCTGTCAGGGAAGGGAGTTTCGAAGGCTGAAAGTGGCATCCGTGAGTGTCTGTCACAGTGTTAGTAGTCACGAAGGATCAAACGGTTTCTTGGATGGAAGCTGGTTGAGCGAAGTATCGAGATCGGCATTGCAATGGTGGTTCAGCGGGAGCGTGGAATGTCACAGACAGACCAGCGACACGAGGTACCACTAGCTGCCCATCCCTGGTTCGAGCGGCCAAGAGCTTGTTAGGCTCCACCTCTATATACTCTGACCATCCACATCTTCATCATTCTGCTCCCTTCTATGAGCTTTGGCGCGAAACCTCTTCGTCGGATCTGATCGGAGCTTGGTGACCAGCAAGTCCCATACGTGAAATATCCCAGTCGTTCTCAATTAAATAGCTTTTGAAAGCGGCATCTTCATGATCAATAGTATCCTGACCGATCTCTGGCAAGCAGAAGAATGCAAGGAAAGCGCTGAGGATGCAGAGAGATGAGGCGACCCAAAAAGGATACTGATTGCCCTTGACAACGTTGTCACCAGCATCTGCGACTAAGATGGGGTAGAGATAGTTGCCTATAAAAGCACCAATCTTGCCGAATGCTGCAGCGACCGCATAGTAGCGACCGCGAACGGCAGTAGCGGAAGTCTTGGAAGCGATGAGGCCGATATTGTCTCCGGGACCGAGCTCTCCGAGCGACAAGAAGATGCCATAGACGACACAAAACCCACCAATATTCTTTGGCACAGCAAGCTTCTCATAGCAGCCAGCCATGATGAAACCGACCACGGCCTGCGCTGTAACCCCGTATGCAAGGGCTTTTCTGGGACCGATCCAATCTGAGACGAAGGAGCCAGCGAAGGCGCCAGGGATGTAGAAGAGGTTGATGACGGTGTTCCAGCCGAAGGTCTTCCACAAGGGCGCATCAGCGCCGAGGACATTGTCAACACTCGGAGCAGAATAAGTTCCAAAAGCGTACGATGAGTAGTCGTAAATGAACCAGATAGTGGAGACAACAAGTAGACGGAACCAATACTTCTTCATGATCAGTCTCCATGGTGTATTGCATTTGGCCATGGTGTTTCTCTTGAAGGCCTCGGGCTCTTGCAACTTCCATCGCATGTAGAAAAGAGAAAGAGGAGGAATGACGCCAATACCAAGCATGATGCGCCATGCAGCACGAAGATGATCTTCTCCAGTAGCAAGTACCTGCCACGTGTTGGCACAAAGATGAAGAGGAGGGTTGATGCTACTTACCACCACCATAGGTACGAAAGCAGCGACGACAAAACCTGCATCGATTGCGAGATTCGTAAACCAGATGAACCAACGGTTGCGAGAACCCGACTCCAGCTCGCCAGTGCTCTCGGAACATCCAACTGATCCGGCAGGATATTCACCACCGATACCAATGCCGAGAAGGAAGCGGTACGCGGCAAGAGCAGAAAGCATGCCGTTGATGCTTCCGTGAGCTCCATAAGAGCCTGCGGCAAGCGCAGCGAAGATGAACTGGGTCAGGTCAGTACAGGGCACTCGTTCTGTGCGGGCGCATCGAGAACACCTACCAGAATAACGGTAGAGGCGAAGATAGACCACTTGCGAGAGAAGCGGTCGGAGGTGTAACCAAAGATGATGATGCCAACCACTTCGCCAGCAAAAACCAGCGACGTGATATTACTCTGAGCACTGCTATGCTTGTATTCCTGCTTGTACAGCTTCTTAAGAATAGTGTTGACCGACCCGATGACCTGCGGGTATGTCAGTCTAGCGTCGATCACAAGGATCTAATCAACTCACGCCGTTCAAATAACCGTCGGAGAAGAGTCCAGATCCGCAAGCAATGACAGGAGCACGTCGCTTCCACCAAGTCTTGGTGGTTATCTCTACCGGCGTCTCACGAACATGCTCTAAGACTTCAGTTTTCTCCACAGCAGGTTGCAATGCCCTTGCACGAAACATATCAGTGATAGCCATGGCGAAAACCGGTAGGCGACTGAAGAGTGGTATTCAATAGATGTGAGATGACTTGAATGACAACTGGGTAGCGAGGATCATCACCACCTTATATGTGCAGCGACTGACACGCCACACGAACCATTTTCGAGGACGCGCAACACCACGTTGAGAACATGCAAAGCATCAGAAGACCTCGGCGGGACCGGCAAGTCCCTGAGCATGCACGAGATCTGGTTCCTCACTGCTATTGGCTGGGGATCGACGTTTTCGCCCGTTCGAGATCGCTAAGCCTCTGTAAGCTTTAGGGTCAGCCTATCAAGCATTTTGACTCACTGGGATAAAGCTTATCTTTCACAAGAGCCCGCTCTGGTACAGCACGTGTGCAAGCAGAAGAGGTTATCTCCGGATCCAATGATCTGATGCGGACCTTTTGTCGTTGGCCGCGAGCGCGACGCTATGGCAACACGTGGTTTTTTCTGCTGCGACTTCTGGGAAATCGCAAGCCCTCAAGTGCGAATCTGAGGTTCGAGAATTGCGGCTACTGGAGGTTGTACGACGAAACTTGAGCTCACGATCTTTTTGCGATCACGCCCTGTCATCTCTAGCTGACCAAGACCACAAACCATAAGATTCCTCTGTTCAGAGATTCTCGCTGTATCGACTGTCAAACATTTGACATTGTCCGTAAATGCGCTTGTCGCATGATCATGTCAACGTTGTCGAAAACATTCAGGCTTTTGCAAACTCGAAGTGGATGCCACTACTTCAGGAAAAAGGACGACTGACTTGGCCACTTCGTTGCATTATTAAATGTATATCTAGCGACCTTGCGTTAGTCTTCCCAAATTGATATCTGCCCCAGCTTTGATGATCAGCATGGCAAATACGGTGATGCGCGCCAGATAGCAGTTGCCACAGGCATCACCCTGATGGAAGATGTTTGAGTGGTTTTCTAGTGTCTCAGGGTGCGTCATTGAAAGCGCAGCTCTTATCACTAGTTCGTCTAAGAAGCATGGAATACCTCGACGTTGGGATGACAGAAGAACAGAGCGACTCTTGCATGAAACTCCTCCAACGAGCGATGCTTAGGGATTGGCACGGCGCGAACCCCACATTCCTCTGACCGCTCCGTATCCACATCTATGTGGTGTAGATCGCGCGCTCCAGCTATTGACAATTCAATTCTGACGGGTTGCGGGACCTCAAGGATTTCTTTATAGAAGATGCGAATTTGGTGCAAAACAGACGCTGGAGTTATCGAGACGTGTACTTTACTTGTCATTCTTTACGACTCCTGTTTGAACGAGTCGTGGCAGTATTGCAGAATCACTAGTTCATCCAAGCGCAGGTTCACCAGTCTTTGGCGACCATGTGGGGTAAATTGCGCCGCATCCCTAAGACCACGCGCATGCAGAATCATCTTTGCCCATGATCAATATATTACAGTGGACAGCCCTCAGCGACTTCAGACCATCGCCTGATCATCCAGCACTACCATCCAGTCATAATGCATATCCTGTCTTATGTTGAGATGCTCTCATCGTTTCTCGTCTGTTATCTTCTGTCATGGATCGTATACACGAGATTCTTCCATCCCCTCGCGTCCATTCCGGGGCCAATCTGGGCGTCTGTCTCTCGATTCTGGATGATCTATTGTATTCGTCAAGGGGGACTGGAGGTTGTCCAGCAGCGACTCCATTAGGGATGTGGCCTGCTTGTCAGGATTGCTCCTGATGAGGTGGCGTGTGCAGATCCAGATGCAATGCGTAAGATCTAAAGACCCAGGCGCCTCTAGCAAAAATCCAATTCTTGCTTTGGACTCATTGGTTCCTTTTTTGTGTCAAGCTGCTGTCGCTTCTCCCATGGTCCAATGTATCATCCTTGGAACAGCTTCGATCAACCCGACCACACGGAAAGCTATGGAAGCGATGGCCCGAATAGAGAAGGCCGCACATGAGAGCGTCGATTGTCGTCTTGACGATGGAGAGATGGGCAGACAAGATCTGCTGAGTCATCTACTGCAGATCTCGAGAATCAAGGGTGGCGAGGTAGACTTTGGCATCGGGGAAGTGAAACTGCAAGCTTTCAGTGCCATATAAGTGATCAGACTAGCGTGTGAATCTAGAAATTCTCTGACACCCATCAGGATCTGCTGGAGCTGACACTACAGCTATTGCTCTGAGATCAGTCTTCTATCACTTGCTCAGATCTCCCGACGCCTTGGTCGAACCCCTTACAGATTTTGACACGGCAACAAGAAAGGGACGCCTCTCCAACCCGCCACGTTTTGCAGAAGTATCAAAACTCCCATTCCCTACTGCCGTCATCAAGAAAGCAATGCGTCTTCATCCGAGTGTTGGCTTGAAGATGCCGCAGATCATTGCTAATACTGGTATCCACGTTGCGGATCACTTGATCCCCAAAGGCTGAAAGATAGGTATGAATGCTGCTGTACTTAGAGGGAGCGAAGTATCGTGCCCCTCATCATACAGAGGTACGTTATTGATCTAAAGTGTCCCGACCCTAGCTTGGACTGTCAAGAATTATTGGTTCAACAAGCAGGAAGGGCTTGATGTGTTAATTCCGGAGAATAACATTCGAGAAAACGTCTGGCATCATGAGAAGGGCTCTGATGGTGTAAGCACACTTTTCTGCAGATCACAAAGTGATATCATCAATTCCAGAGTAAATTCCGAAACGCGCGAGACCAGCGCTGGAATCCGGTTGATCATTTGATTGTAACGCCTGCTCGTATCGTTTTGTTTGCTTGGGGTGACTACCAAGTCCTTGCTTCGGAAACGATCGACGAAATGCAAATGAGAGAAGACATGTTACCATTATTACCTAATCATCATATCAATGATACTGTGACATTGCTGTACTAGTGTCGCACGTTGCTACTCTTCCCTGCCAGTAGCTTGTCTACTTACACCTTGTGGTTCGAGAAATTATCTGGATTGTCAGACGGAAGCAGAAATCGAGGAAGCACATGGCGTGTGGAGCAAACTTACCAACCAGATTGTCCCACATCTTCGGATCATGCTCATGCTTCTTGTCAGTATTCCATAAATAGTCAGTGATAGTGAAAGCTCTCGAGCTCTCGAACACCGGGGCGAGAAGATCAGGAAGTCGGCAAGCGGAGCAGCAGGGTCACGAGAGCGAGCTGTGAGCACGCAGAAGATGCTGGGGTCGATGTGATCCACAGAGATAGAGCCAACATTCACGAGCTTGTTGAGATCGTACTTGTATGGCACGAAGTTGCCGTGCCACGCAACAATATCGAACGTATCATGCTGTTGAGTACCTCGGAAGAGCCTGCTACCAAGCTTGTAGATGACAGCCCAAGGTTCTTGCACAACTTGATACTTCGCCACCGGATCCAGTCCATATCAACGCCAACCAGTCTAGCATATTTGAATCAAGTGTGGAACATCGAGAAGAGCTAACTACGTGAAAAGATAGCACAGCATGCTAATCACGACAAAAGACTGCAAGATCTTACATTGCAGCGCAGATATACGGAAGCTACGAAAGATTAGAGTCAAATTTTGCAAAAGAGGATGCTGCTAATAGACTGCCTTCGAACTGCGTCGCCGTCGTCCTTATCTATGCCATCCGATGTGCACCACGGCGGCATCATTGTCGAGGAACTCTAGTGTCAACCCCGGGTGAGCTCTCGAAGAAGGAATACACCCACGTATTTAAGCCTCGTCCTGATAGATGCCGTGTGTTCAATGTTCTGACTTCATCCACCCTTTTACCCACTTTCCGCCCATCTTCACCTCAGCTCCCCAGGACCATCCTATGACAAGAAGTGCTCCACCCAGTGGCCCTAGTTGATCGATGCTGACGATTCTGGCTCCAGTGTGTGGTATAATAGCGTATGTACCAAGCTCGTTACTGAAAATCCATAGCGCACCAAGGACAAAGGCTATCAAAATCTTCCCCACTTTTGGCTCGAGTGGGAAAGTAACAAAAGCCTCGACTGAGGCGTAGATTGCGATGACTAAGAGGCTTACGCCGACTGCTAATCTGTGATTAGGGACAGCGGAGCTCCTCTTGACAGGCGGGTCGACAACCTTATGTATCGGAGGGGCGTTGTGCACTAAGATGCTAAACACAAAAAAACTCAATGCTGCAAGTCTCGAAGACCTCTTGGTCGTGGTCGTCAGGACGTAAATCAAGCCCAGGTCGGCTGCTGCTTCTAGGACTATCAAGCCAGCGTCTAGCTCAGCGTACTCTCGACGAGAGGCTTGGACTATGGACCATACGGCGACAGCCGCCACGTAGAACGTTGACGACAGAAAATCCGCTCCCACGTCCCAGTGGTCATCTCGATTAGTGCCGATGTCCGGCCCGGCCAAAAATTTCAAGACTCTTTTCAACAAGACAGATGCTGCTGTGAGCCACCATGCCAGGTACGCTCCTGGGCCGAACCATGCTGAGATATCCGCATAAGCAGCGGCATCTTGTGGACAAAGATCAAACAACTGGAAAAGCAGACGTCCAGAGTATGTCATGAGAGTGCCGATCAATACCATGCAGATGTACCATTTGTCTGGTAACCCTTTCAGATCCGCAAACGATGGAAACGAGACGTCGAACATTGCCGTGGGCTGAAACAAGCAATTTGAGAGATAGAGGAAGAGAGAGAGAGAGAGAGAGAGAGAGAGAGATAGCAAAACCAGCGACGCAGTTAAAAGGCAGAACAAAGGATGTGATATATCTCCGCTTGGTTTGAGATAGTCAAAGGTCGCCAATCAGAGCGAAGTATGCAGTCGCAGTCTAGCCGTGCGTTCTAGACACTAGGCCGCTGCTACACCTTCGCCTGTCTCGGAACGCGATCGAATGCACCGGCCAGAGCGCATCAGGCGACCCTTGCAACTATATATGCAGGGTGGTGCAAGGTATGCAGCATCACTGCCGCGCTAATCATGCGCCTTTTGCCAGAAGCTCTTCAAGTACAGTCAGTAGCAAAGGTTCTTCGAGGTTGGCGCGGAGCTGGACCGCGGTCCCATGAAGGAGGCTGGGCAGCTAGCTCCCATGTCAGGGAAAGTGCTCCTAAAGAGACAAGATTCTCTCGACGCTCGACCTGAAAGAGGACGCGTGCAGAGCCTCTACGCAAACGATCGTCAACACTCCGCGTGACACCGGCCCCGATATCTCCCCGTAACTGGAGATGACAAGGTGGCCGAAGTACCTACCTGTATACATATGCACCGGATCAATCGAGCATTCATCTAAAACGACCCCTCGTTTTTCCGATTTCATCCAATCACTACTACTTGATGCTTTGCGAGTACGCGACGCGGTATCAACTCAGCGGTATGGCGCTCTCGCTACTGGGTTTCAACTTAGACCCCTGTCTGTTGGACCCTAAGGATGACCCGCTTTACCCGCTTCAGGTTAGATAACGCCATGCCCTGCCGTCTCTTAAGACCACCCCCACGAAGATTGACTTTATCGCTTCGAGTTGGAGTCCCCTATGTTTTGCCTTCGAATACCTTCTCACGCTAGTAACCCACTCGCAGCTCATAGGTTTCGGCTACTCAGTCGCGCTCTGTGCCACGATCAAAAGTCGTGCCACGCCTGGACTCAGCGCAGCGATTGCAGCTCGACCAGCTGCCGCTTGCAGCCTCGTACCTCCGTTTTGACTCGTCTGAGCCTATCGTAATCTGCACTCAATGCCGATACGTTGTTACAGTCAGTGGGAACCACGTCGTAAGGCATCTGTCCGAGGTACATCGGCTGTCGAAGGACGTACGTCGAGGGCTGATCCCGCTCATTCGCTTCCTCTCTCTTCTCGATCCAGGTCATTTACGTAATCAGCCATACGGGCTCTTCCATGCTTATCTAAATCAAATACGGTATGGTTTTGCGGCATATCGTAAAGCAGCACGATCGGAAGCGTGAAAAGGAGCATTTGCTATGTAACGACATACGGGATAACGTGCGCCTCCAGAGCTGAACCCAGAATGCTTACAAGGGTTGTTAGATTGTGAAGTGTCCTAGCGAAATCTATGAGCCAGCCATCGTATTCCCTCCTGCACATGTAGAGGCACGTCTCAAAGCTATTCGCCAGGCCGAGCTTAGCTACATTGCTGAGGATCTTCGTTGACAAATCAGAGAGTAGCAGGAATCACCAACATATGAAGAACAAGTCGACAATCCGTTGTAAGTGTGCAGCATTTCGGCTGTTGCTGGTAAAACCGACCGAAACCAAAGTTAGCAGGAAGAGTAAAGCGGAGACGAGCATGTTATCTCTGACACGCCGTTCTGACCGATGAGTTGGACCACGAGCCATCATTCACCCCACCTGAATGTCCGACGCAACTCGGGAGCGGGGGTGCTGGTGGAGAACAACGGTTCAGAAAAGTGTGGGTGAAGTGGATCTCAAGCTCTGGGCGTCCCTGCCAAGTTGCATGTGGCGGTGATCGACTTCCGCTTGCCCCACAATGCGATCCGAATGATCACGATGCCAGTCTCGACGGCAACCGAACTAATACACAGAAGTTTCTGTGCTAGCATACTCGCATCATCCGCATCAGAAAAGCTCCCAGATTACTGTCGAATAACCTTGAGCACGATGATCGTCGTAGGACATGATTGGCATTGTGCCATCAAGGGCCTTCGAGGGGGTGAAGGTCAAGCTTCAACGTATCTCGCAACCGCTCTGACTAATCTGGTGGACGACCCTGGTCGGTGCAAGAACTGTTGGCCTCCTTCTAGCCTTCTTACCTGCGGAACTAGGAATCGTAACAAAGGTGATTGATTGATCTAGCGAAGGCTCTGGATGGACAACCACGCGCAGCCCACTATGGAAGACCGACCGTTGACCAGCTTGCTCGCGCAGAAGGTTGGAACGATATACAAGCCGAAGCCCTGAGCATCTAAACGTTCAATTGGCGTAGCGAAAAATCAACGAGAAGGTCTTCCGCACTTCGAGCGGCACTTACGCGGACTATGCGTCCGGATGTGAGAAAGTGGATAACTTGTGGGGCACCCCACATAAACCAGTGGCACCTTGCGGGGGGCATCATAAAGCGGACTCCGCTCGATTATCTACAGTACCAAAGCAGACTTATGTATCTCCTAGCGCCTAGCATTTGGGAATCACTAAACAACCCACAGATCCCACCATTTGACCAGTAACTATGGCTTTTGGCGGCATCCTTGAAGACTCACCTCTACCTCACGTCCTAGGAACGATAATCCTCAATTAAGAAACTGCTCATTCCGAGGGCGTCACACGCAGGCTACGACATGGTAAGGGCAAGAACGCCGGAGGCGTCCTAGCTCCTCAACCATCGGAAGACCCCGAAACTGGTCGACTGTCAAGAAGCTTACCATCACTTCCATCCTCGCTTTTGGTATCATGCTGTATGCAGGAACTTTTGGACCATTGATCAATGCTGGACCCGCGACAATCTCGAAATATGTTAATGTGCCTCTTGGAGACAATACTGTGACATCAGGCTATCAACTACTAGTCGCTAGCGCCTTTGGTCATTTTGTTTAGGCCCATTCCCGAAAGTACGGCAACCGATTACTTTCCGTACTCTACTCGGTATTCGGTGTAGTATGCATCACCGTTAGTTCCGTTTCGACCGGTCTTAACACACTGCCGGCGGCTCGTAATATCCAAGGCTTTGCGATCTCAGCTTACGAGTCGTTGGTTATCACCGCGATTGGCGACCTCTTCTTCGTGCATAAGCGTAGTGTGTACACTTCTACGGTCAACTTCTTAATCACAGGCATGTCGAACTTTTCAAGCGTCATCATTGGAACCATCGTCAACAACCTAGGTTAGAAGTACCTTTCCTACATTCGAATGCCTTTGTCGCACTGCAGCTCATCCTCCTATTCTTCTTTTGCCCTAAAACATCATACAACAGAGACAAGCAGTATAACACTAACGAGCTTGTTAATATGAACGTTAGAAAGCTTACAAATGCTAAGCAGCGAGATCATAAAGAGCTAGAGAAGACTATAGCTACGGGCGCTCAAGTGACGCCGATACCCGCTCGCAAGAGCTAGACGCAGGGGCTGACGATATACACTGGATGCTATACAGATGAAAACCTTTTTCAGCTCGTCATCGGCTCTTTCGCCGTCTGGCTCAATCTGGCTGCTACCTAGGTCATCTTAGCTGTTGCGCTGTCCACAGACCTGTTCGTCGCAATGGCGTCCGGTTTATGTCTTTAGAAAACAGTAAGGACTCAATGGAAGTGACATAATCTGGCACTAACGAGATGTTTCTAGGTACCGGAGCTTCTAGGAGGGTCACAACCTACTAGAGAGGTTAGGCGTCAAGACGCACGCGGAAGTATAAGGAAGGAGGTTTGCTGAAATAGCAGTGTTCCATTTAGAGCAGTTCATCTTATAAGCAAAATCGACGATAGTTGTACAGGTTCTTCGTATAACGCAAACTAGCGGCAGAATAGCCTGTCACAGAGTTTGAGTTAGCCAATGTAACAAGAGAGAGAGATCTTAAGGAGAACGTACCTCTTAAAAGATTCACGCAAGATCCACTACTCTTATGCCTAGTCTAAGGACTTATAGAGTACAGAAGTTAGAAAGTTCCGACGCGATCGATACTCCTATGTCTCGATACAGCTGTAACCTTATCGTAATTAGAGCCCACTCATACTTACTATAGCTCAACAATCTAATCCGGACATCGCGCGTCGTGTCATATCTCCACTAAACAAGGCAAATCATGTAACCAGAAGTCGAGAGTGCATAGTAGTAGTAGTGTTAGCATTAAGGAGGTCTTCACCAGTATCTGCATCAATATTGTGTGCATCTCCGTTAACGTTAAACTATACCATCCGTTGTCACAATCTACGTAACTTCTTGCATATGCTCTTAGCGCATACCCAGAGATTATAGGCTGTTTTGCGTCGTAATCTGTGTAAGGCACTAATAGTACACATAGCTAATATCAAGTTACAAGGAGTCCACCTTAGATCGAGAGAGGGCAGGTGAATAATCGGAAGATGTCGATAGAAGCAGAGCAAATGGCTCGTCAGAAACTGCTACATCTCTTTAAGTGAGATCAACGGCTCCAAATCTGCAGTGACTGGCACATAGCTCTATACATCAGCCATGAACAGGCGGTAGACGTCCTCGTTAACAACCGGAGAGCTTAGGATTTTCCCTCTTTTCTCCCTTAGTATGCTTAGCATCCTAGAGGAAGTGTTCTAATCTGCTTATACCGCAAGAGATGTGACTCTATATGTGTTGACACTGGATCGGTAAGACTATGTTTAGAACCTGCCTGTACATTATTAACAGGGCTGGGTACGGTTTAATACAGGTACTTTAAAAGGTCCGCATCCAGGGCTGCATTGTTAAGCGCAATGCTGTCAATCGTGATATATCGAGCTCGTCCAACCCTATAATTTGATTGCCTTGCATAATTCCGACAGGTTGTGTAGTATCAAGTCTAAGTCCGAGGGCATGCATCTAATAGTGAGGCTCGGAGCTCGATCACGTTAAATTAGAACACCTCTATTCGTTAATGTTGCGAACGTCCCTAGGACCAGGTAAGAAGTACAGTATGGCTTGACTATCAGCATCCAAACTTAGTACACTTAATGTCAAAGACAAAATTGTCCCATCTTCTAGCTAATCCGACGAAGCTTCTAAGTCTCCCGAGCTAGGTAGATTCGAGGTTTCTGTCTAGAACTCGTGAGCCATCAGGCCCAGAAAGCCGAGCGGCATTAACTCTAAAGTTAGCGGACTGATCATCTCCAGCCGCTGCATAATGTTATAATCTTCCGATTGCAAGAGACTCGACGGAGGATTTAAGACGCTAGGACTCGATATGGAGCTATGTAGAGGCGCAACTTACAAGTCTTGTAGCTCGGACATAGCGGCATCTTTCAGGTTTTATATCAAATCTGGCTTTTCCGTCGAGGCGATATTTACGCATTAGGGTGGAACGATTTTGCATAGCGTCTGACAAGGTCCCTATAATGTTAGTAAAACTCAACAGTACATATTCATAACGTGGAGAAACAATTAGACGCACTTTCGAGCATATCTTCGTCCTTAGGATCTGCACGGATATGGCCTCTCTTTTGTATCTGTCGGGGCATCAGCGGATACGGTTATCATCGAGATCGACCTAGACACGTACGACCCCTTTCGTGTCGACTACGATGCTTACTGCGCTTAGAGACTTTATCGTAGTGACTATACGGGAACCTAGCGGGTGTCTTCTCTAGCTTACTAAAGACGGTAAGATTAGGAGAATAAGGCAAGGCAAATTCAGCTAATGTTGTCGTACACTAGTAACGGAGCAGTGTCACTTAGAGAATATAGAATAAAGATTCAAGTTGCTGGTCCCGGCCAGCGGACAGTAAGCAGAATGACTAGCGGCAGTTTCGCGACCTATATAAATCAGTGCAGGGTCGTAGGGCAGCTAAGAGGACTGTTTACAGCCATACGCGGAACTCAGCCGCCAGACATACGCGTATTATGTCCCGACGTTTCCTCGACAAAAAACGGCTGCAGTACCAGAAACATGTACCCTTATGTAGCTTGATACGGAGACACTGTGCTCTGCGGTCCTTATATTAAGAGCCACCGATTAAATGCGGCGCTCGTAATATAGAAAGCTAGCCCAACGCTCTGGATTGGAATAAGCAAGGACTTTGCATTAAGACCTGCGTATCTAATCGTGATATATCGCCTTAAGAACGTACCCACACTTAGGATGACACTGCCAGTGTTGCAACAGTGCACTCGCCCCTCGCTACAGCCTCTCCCTCTATGTTTCCGTCCTCGCTTCGAGCATCGTTAAGCTTTCTATTACGCCAATAGAGATAGAACCGGAAGATAGTCGCATATGCGACCTAAGCTGCTAAGAAGAAGCTATCGGCATAACTAATTTGTCAGTATCGTGAGTCCTGTGAGGCTAGATGAATGTAGGAAGCATGGTTTGACATAAGGTCAGACTTAGCATTGACGACAGCATTTGCGACGGCTCTTCTGGGACAAGGCAAGAGACCTAAGATAACATGCATTTAGAGCTTGTATTCTTCTAGAGCACGTTGTCGAGACTTAGACATAGGTGAATACACGGTCGAAAATAAGCCGGTAGGTCGCCGATCGAGATTCGGAGTTCATCTTCGTGATCGCTACTGACCTCTAGATGATAGCAGTAGAAGTCTCTAAGAACGAATAAAGGTCTCAAGCTACTTTAAAAGGACACTTGCGTGTCCTAGCCAAATCTGATTAACAACCATTACGTTAACCTACGAGCTAAGGGGTGTGGAGCTCGAGCTAGTATCACGGCCTCCTCGATTTAGATTCAGGTGACTGTCATTACTGAAATTCCCGCGTGCCTGGTAGCCGAGACAGGCGAGAGCGATAGCGACGATGACATTAGATTCTTGGGTGTTCCTCCCCTTCTAATGTATTGCTAAGCAAGCAGGTCTTAGTAGGCTATTGTCGTATAATGCATCGATGATAGCGTTCTGTCTTTCTTCGGGGATAGAAGTAGGGGCGGAAGGCGCAAAAGCGAGTTCTTAGGCTCACTATCCGCCGATCTTAATTGTATGTCGTAAAGTATGCTATTCAGGCCGGGCAGGGTTATCTTAAGCTGATGATTTTTGCCTTCAAGAGAATGGACATAACGTTATAGCGGGCTTATGCCGTACGGCGTAAAGCATGCTCGTATCTCGGCAACACTAGACTTACAGGCAGGAGAGATACAGTATATGTGCATGCGGACAGATATTCGCCAGCTTAACCAGAAAATTGGCAAGAAGGCGAGAAAGTAAGATCCTGTTGCAATACTTAGGGCTGGGCCTACCGCACGGACGTGACGAGATGAACTTACGCTTGCGGTTTAGTATTAAACGGCTGATCACGCCCGCCGTCTTCCATAGCAAGCCTCCCCTCCAGCTCGCCGCTTAGGGACAAACGGCTCGTAAATGAACAGAACGCTCGCAGGGGTCGAGATCTTTCCTAATATTGTTTAGTCTCGACAACTACTCAGATATTAGTATTAGTGTCAGCCCTGTTAACTAACGATATCATTGTCTCTATGCGCCATCGAGAAGCGAAGTAACTTCTTACAGATACTATATAGGACAAGCTCTACATATAAGGGTAACTGTTCGTTTCCTATGTCTGGCTTAATATCCTGACCTCCAAAATTCCTAATCTTATCTCGCCTCGCAGTTATGAAAAAGGCAGCCGCAAATATACTAGCTCTTGCCTCTACAGCTTATGGTGCCACTAGCTCTTCCGCTGGCACCAAAAATGGATGCTACTAGGCGACTGATGCTGGCCCATTCAACACTCGCTTTGGTCATGACTTCAGCGTCGACCTGTACGGTACAGTAGCGGACTTGATCCCTAGTACTTATACAGTCAATTAGGGCGTTAGCCCTCTAGCTCGTCGTTTTGATCTGGTTAACGTCGGCCTCGACGTAATTAAAAAGGCCCTTACACTTACTGTTCCCGGCGGTCAATCAAGTGGTAGGCGATGTCATCGTTTGTTAGAGATCTGTCTAACGGCTCTAGGTCCCATCTCTGTTGCTCAGGTTGCGACAAGCTATAGCGACATTCTTTACGGCTCAGTCCGCACTGTCGCCAAGATTTCCGACGTTCCCGGGACTACTCATAGCTTTATTTTCTACGCCAACGATACCCAAGAAGTTAACTTTGCCTTTTTGACTTCGGATGTCTCTAAGGCTTAGCTCACCAACGAGCAAGTAAATTACAGCTCTCCTTACTCGACTTACAGTGTCGCGGCACCCGGAGATGCTAGTTCTACCTACTACGAATACAGACTCGATTAGCTGCCTAGGGTCAGCAAGTTCTATATCGATAGGGTTATAATATAAACGATCAAGGATAATGCTCCTAGTACACCTAGTAAGTCAAGCAAACGTCTAATCGCGATAAGCGATCTTAGATCTGTCCTACACTGAACCTCACTGCATGTTTGCATGATACTAGAAGACAAGACTCGCAATCTAACTATAACTTCCCTTCGACGCGATGCTGATTATCTTCATAGGCTCTTGGATCTGGAATAACTGGTAGGTGCCGATTTAACGTCAGTATATGAATTGCCAGCTCATGTAGTCTCGTAGGTCGAATGGAAATGCTTAGGCGTAAGGACCGCCTCTAGCTGATAGTGTGCTGAAAATACGCACTATTGACGGCTACTTCAACCGTACGACTATTGCGGACAGTATCCTAACGAACCCTAGGCTATGTTCATTTGTCAGCTCGTCATCTTCTAGCATTACCCCTTCCCCAACAGTCGCTTCCTTATCCTCCTCGAAAATCGCTACCTTGTCGTCCTCGAGTACGGTCTCCCTGTCATCTTCGAAGACAGTTTCCTTATCGACTTCGAGCATCGCCAACACGAACCCGACTTCGGTGTCATCGTCTGTGATACCTAAATACGGTCGTTACGGTAGAATTAGCTATGTCGGCTCCACAAGTTGCGCCGTTAGCTCGACTTGCATGTACCAGAATGATTACTACTATTAATGCGTGTGAAACGAAGCTGAGTCTAGGAGGTCAAGAATCAGTCCTACGTATTGTTGTTTTGTTTTTCTTTATCCTAACGGCACCAACCGAGGAATTGATTATTATGTGGTTAGCATTCAATCTATTTCAAGCTGGGCGTTAAACGAAGAATCCGGCCCTGTTGTCAATATCGGTCATACAATCGCTCGTAAAGCCTTTGCAGGTTTCGACATGGATATCTGGCACTTTTATATACTTCAACAATTGCGCGAGCAAGTAGCGGTTGTCAAAGCAACTTTCGTAGACAGCCTTAAGTCTTTGCTAAATAAGTCTGACGGCTACCCGTTTCGTCGGCAAGACTATCGACGTTATCCGTTTGGCCGTATTTAAGGACGGGTCCAGATTCGTCAACATAGCGTGTGATACTCTGATTGATGATGACACGCTTAATAAGGCGCTTAAAACGGGTCGCATCTTTGCTGCTAGACTTGATGTTCTCATAAACGATCCTGAGATTTATACTGAGTTTTGTGAGATGCGAAACATCACTCTAACTTGCTACGATGCTAGGATAGCCGTTAAGACGAACTGTGGGTTTAAGAGACTGGCGATGGACAATGTCGAAGCTCTAATCTTAACTGGTAAGGCTTTGACGCCCGTGAACGCGCACTTGGTTAAGAGTGTTTCTATATAATCACACGTCACTAGCAAATCAACTTTATCGACACAACAAGATCCACGCCCTACTTGTATCGGAGTTTCTTATCTGATTTTTGACATCGAAAGTACAATTATAATTAAGATCCTTACTCGTGACGACCACCGGGACTAAGTTTATTGCCGTAATTTCGCGAGAGAGTATTCCGTGTCTCTACCGCCTTCGAGACCGCAGATGACATACCTGACTCTCGACCGTTAGACGCGCGCTAACGTTTGCGAGATCCCGGATGGAGCTGTCGAGACTACGTGGAGGCCGGAGAGAGTTAGCGGATTGTGAAAGCCGCAAGGTATCTGTTGTCTCCTCACAAGATTAGACGCGTTGTCCTCTAACGGTGTCATACAGTATGGCAGGTACGGCCAGATAATATCCGGGCATCTCGTGTTAAGGAATGTCTTACGACAAGGAGGCGTCGGCTAGTACGCAGTCGCGTTCGTCAACTGTCGTCGGGTCGCGTTTGCCCCGAAGGATTGCTAAGATGGGTCGGATCAAATGAGCACAGACACTACAATTAGCCGACAAGATGCGACCAAACCTTCTCGTAGACCACTTGAATTCTAGTACCGACGACAACACCCGTAGCGCGTGCGATTTACGACGCCCTAAATCGATATACCCCTATAGGGTAAGCCCTAGTGCCGCGGGGGCGAGTGTCTTATTTGTCTAGACATATATAATCGCTCGTCCCTTTCTCCATACTCTCTATCTACTATCGCATCACAAGCCCTATCTCGGCCTCATCTCAACTCGTAGCAATGGGTGGCTTATATGCTGTCGAAGACCGACCGACCCCGAAAGAGGTCTACAATTGGCGACTGTACAAACCGGATCGCTACTGTATGTGCCTAGAAGGAAATGTCTAGGGGGATCTGGCTGACGGAATCCAGCTTCGGTTATAACTCGGCGTTTGTTAGTACGTTAATCGCGCGCGCCAGTTCTAAGAGCGACTTTAGTATTACGAAGGCTACAGCTGCTAGCATCTCGAGCAACATCACATCTGCGTTCTAAGCAGGTGCCTTCTTCGGCGCTCTATTCTGCTACTTTCGTAAGTGTCTTATAAAAGACGACCAGTAACAACGTGCTATTAAACTCAGTGACTGAACGCGTTAGCCGCAAATGGGCTCTCTAAGCGAATGCCGTCGTTTTTATCACTAGTGCAGTCTTAATGACCGTCGCCACCTACCAGCTGTCGTTCATCTATAAGGCCTCCGTTTGTCTTGTTAAGAATCTGGACTGACAAAGAGGAACTCAGACGCCGGACGCGTACTTACAGGTCTCGGATGTAGTGCCATCACTGCCACTATGCCAAGTTACATTACTAAACTATCCGATCCTTCCATCCGCGGCATCCTGACTGGCCTGTTCGAGATTGCGTACCAGATCGGCTCAGTCATCTGGTTCTAGGTCAACTATAGAATTAACAACAACATAAACGTCAAGTCCTCGCTATCGTAGAGGATTCTAATGGCGATCCAGCTCATTCCCGCTGCGATTTTGCTGGCGGGTGGCTTCTTCTTACACGAGAGTCCATTATGGTTAATGCGTAAGGGACGTAAAGCAGATGCAAGGGCAGCACTTATACAACTTCGTCACCTTCTAGCCGATTACGAGTGTAAGTGTTGTTATATCTTTCGCAAGTTATCAAACACTGACATTCTACAGACCTTCTAGAAGATGTCAGGGAGATGCAAGACAGACTAGATAAAGAAGCGGCTATCGTAGCACGCTACGGTAGTGGCACGTTTGCTTTCATCCGGAGTTACCTTAACGAGCTATCGTAAACGGGTATGCGAAACCGCGTCATTCTGGTATTTTGCGCCTTTGCACTACAGAACTTGTCTGGTGCTTCCGCTATTAACTACTACTTACCAACACTGTTTAGGTCACTTAGAGTCTCGGACATACCACTCTACATAGGTGTCTATAGATTGGTTAAGGCCATCGCATCAATCATATACTACATCTTCTTTATTAATATGCTTAGCCGCCGTAGCCCTGTGTTAGTTACTTCGGTCGTTTGCTCGCTTTGTTTATAGTTTATTAGAGCATACGTTAAGGTCGGTCATCCCGCAGATGCTATTACTGCTAGTGTACCCGTATCGGCGTCCACCGCGGCTGGAGGTCGTGCTGCTATCGGCATAATCATAATTTACTCTATTTTCTGGTCTTTCGGTCTTAACGGTATTCCCTGTATTGTATCGGCCGAGATCTTCCCCGGATCCCTCAGAGTTTTCACAGGAGCATACGCTGCACTCTGTCAATGGCTAGTCTAGTCCGGCATAACTAAAGCACTGCCTTACATTTTTAGTTCATTTAGCTTCGGCACATAGTTCTTCTTTGCAGCATAGATGCTGGCAGCGACGATTTGGACATATTCCTCATACCTAAGACCAAGGGTCTAACTATTGATTAGATGGTTGTCTTATTTAGGTATCAAGGACACGCAAGAGCAGACGATGCGGAGCTAGGCATAAGTAACAAGCAAGGGATTGATTCGGTCGATAAAATTAGGGCTACCACCACAGAGTATACCGAACGAGCATAACTATAAATTGTAAAATAGGAAAATTATAGTTCACAACATTTCAATTGTAAACACTCGATCGCTCGATGCATATGGCCCCTAGCACTATGCGTACCTCCTCCAATACGAAGCCTAATAACCACCGACGAACCAGAACTTATATTTCTCATAAGCGACAGCATAGTCTCTTTTTATTAACGCACAAACTGCGATCAGTGCACGCATTAATTGTTCGAGTAATGTCACTTAAGGTTAGCGACAGGGTTGCACTCCCGGCTTAAGTTCCGCCGAAGTCGGGGAAGCAAGCTTTATGTTCGTAACCCTGCTAGCTTGCCTATAAGCATGTTGGTCATAAATGGACACGAGCAACGGCAAGACAGTCGAAGGAGTAACGATCAGTTACGGCTAGGGAGGTCGCGCACTAGATGTCTGACATACAAGAGAAGGAAGGTACGATGCAACGAGTAGCGGCTAAGATGCTCCTACTGTTAACGCCTGAATTTGCAATGCGCGTAGAAGACCGACTCACCGCTCGCTCTTGCCGCCGGAAGACGTCGGACACCCTAGCAGCAAGCCGCACCTTCCTCGAGCACTTATAATGATTATGACCGGATAGATGGCGTCTAAGGGCAAGCTAACGCGAACGGTCACGCTGCTCTCAACAATGCGGCGTAGGCTCTGTCAGCCGCGACAGCACCCGACTCGACTTTCACATCGTCTGGTGCTACAGCAGCAGGTGCTCCTGCTGTCGATAATTTCTTCGACTACGTAGGTTTCATATGGGACAATGCCGACTAGTGGTAGCAGTTCTAACCGAATGACGCATTTCCATCTGCGAACTACGCAGAGCAGACCATTTTAAACCGCTTCAGCTCGCTAAACACAAACTCGCCAGCCTTTACAACGACTGACGACAGTCGCCTAATCCGACAAAGCGATCTTATAGGCGCCGGCTACGGGCAGTCGCAAACAGAAAGAGCAGGTGGCACTACACAGCATGCACAGACAGGGGAGCAACTGCTATTCGACTACTTTAAGCATAGGACGGTCCCTCCCATTCTCGCACCCGTCGAGACGCAGCAACAGTAGTCGACTATGCGACGCTACATTATCGTCATAGCCGGCGAGTCGACTATAGTGCGCTCAGCCCTCTTAAGCTTCGCCGCTTTGCTGTTACGCCGTCTTTAACATACGCACTCGAACACCGAGAGTTAGCGGCACCACCAGGAATCGGCCTACAACTTTTCGAGCTATGCCGGACTAGACGGCTCTACACGACTAAAGCGCGAGCACCTCCTGGCGACTTGCTTCTCCTGAGCTACGTTGACATCATAGAAGGACGCACCGAAGCAGCTTACGGTAGCCTGAAAGAGGCCTACACCGTCTTCGATAAGGCCGACAAGACAAGCTTCGGGGCTCTAGAGATTCGCGTCCTCTCGTAGATCAGGCTGTTAGATGGGAGAGCCGTGTCTGCTAGAGGTAAGGGCTTGTTCTTGTCGGACGACAAGGCGTTAGAGATGCTTGCGCAACCTTCGCCCGCCGGCCTAGAGAGTGTGTCGGGAGATCGGGATCCGACGGACGATGCTAATCAGATTACGGATGCTCTGTTCTAGGCCTTGTACTAGCCGGGCGCCGTCTTCTTCTAAAAGATTCAGTCGTTCATAGGCCGCATCTCTAAGATCGACCCTTAGCATCGTCAAAGAGGGACTGTCGCAGACGAGACGGAAGTTATAATTGTAGCCGCGAAAATTAATAAAGATCTCGAAAAGCTCTTTAACAGCCGTCCTCGACTTATGGACTACGTAGCTATAGGACAGCTTACGCCGCACTATCTCAATCCTCACCTCTCGTACACAATAACCAGAGCTTTCCGTACATATGCGAGCAAAATTTACGCGAGCAAGGTCCAATCTCCATCGCGTAGCATATAAGACTCTACCCTTAGCTGCCGAAACACTTCTCGCTCTCGCAAAGATCAAGGAGTTAGCACGTATGATGGTTGACGCTTCTTCCGAATCTAGCGTCGTCTGCGGTGAACCTTTGCCGGTCAACATGCTTTAGCCACTCTTAATGCTCGGTTCGGAAAAAGATGATGCGTAGAAAGAGCGTGGTTTAGGAATCAGATATGTCGGATGCAAGAGGTAGCGACGAATGCTCAAATAACAGCTTATATACTGGACGAAGTGCAGAAAGTACAAGACTCTACGAGAACCAGAGTCGACATTCGTAGCGTTATGCACAAGATCTTTAGTGCTTGCTTTACGATCGTCTAATCGAACATCCCGGACAGAATTAAACTTGCCCATGTCTTTACAAGATTCCGAGCTTGTCGCTGAATGGCACTTAGCTACCCTACAGCTCGTCTAACCATAGAATACTTTGCTGAGCGTCTCTACGTTAGACGGTAATCGCCGCCGCTAAGTTGGCCTTCTCTAACGCTTACTCTATTTGAAAGTCTTTATCGACGACTGAAAAGGCGTATGAACCAATCCAGGTATCTCCAGCCGCTGTTGTGTCGACTACTTTCACTTTCCTTACGCGGACCACTCCCTCCTTACTAGTTCTGGAGGCTAAGTGATACACGCCTCTGCCGCCAAGAATGATAATGACGTTTTAAACACCTCGATCACTAAACTCTTACGCGACTCTTGAGATTCCTAATGACGTTTCCAGCTCGTTTTCTGTACAGTCCGCGAGTAGACTAGCTTCTGTCTCGTTTATTACAAAATGCTCTAAGCTAATGTAGTGCTCGAATGGAAGCTTCTGTGCAGGCGCTGGATTAAGCAAAACTGGCACCTTATACGAATTTGCTAGCTCGAGAACCTATAATACTGTAGCTAAAGGTATCTCTAGTTGTAAGACGATGAGATCAGGCCATAGTGACGGTAGCGCTATAAAAAGCGAAGTAAGGACAGTTTCATTTGCTTCGGCGCAGATCATAATGCGATTCTATGCAGTTGCTTCTTCTATAATGATGAATGCTAAGCCCATCCCCTGGCCTGCTTCGATTTAGACGCCAGACATACGATCCCGTACTCTACTATGCCCCTTAGACTTATGTCACTATGAGAATCGTCGCTAACAGCTCCTATCTAGTAGACCGAAGCCGCTGCATTCGCGGGTGAATTATGTTGACGTCGTGACAGCTTCGCACATGCGACTGCCTAGTTCGCGCCTTTCCTACCTATGCTGATCGCGGGAATTAATGCTTTAAATGTTTCGCCAGCACTTAGAACACGAGGTTTATAGACAGCAATGTCTACATTAAGTGATCCGATAATAGTAATGATAGGTGGCATTGTTTGAGCAGGCCTTAACAAAGCACTATAACCGGCTTGCTTAGAAGATAATAAGTAGGGGCGGACTTCACTAGATAGGATATAACAAAAGCTTACTTGCACAACAATTCCACTTTTACATTACGCTGGTTTTTGTTCTTCCCGAAATGCCCTGAATTTGCGATTAACGCTTCGAGGCCATACATCCGATTAAAGAAGCAGTCGGTAAGCACGTCTCCGATCAGTAACGACTCATCGGCTCCCGAATCCTGCAGCCGATCGGATATCGCTTTAGTGGATCTGTGGGGTCCCATCGTAAGCCACTTCCGTTCCCTACACTTAGCGACGAGGGATGCCGATCGTATACTGCTACCGAAAAAGTGGTCCTCGATACCGAGAATGATTCCGACGTAAGTGCTAGTAGTAGCAAGCCTAGATATTTGATGGTGAGACTGTGTTCCGCTATTGTATAAAGCTGCGCCTTTCCCTTAATCACTCGCATCAGCTTAACATTACCCTGCTTTAGTCATTACACTTCTTCACTACGTTTTAGTAATCACACCAGCTTTTTCATATAACACCGTTAACCTGGCTTACAGCACCACACTAAAGTCCCTTTCTCCTAACATCCATGTTCCCAGTCTGACGTAGTTTGCAAACGACTCGACTTAAGAGATTGACAGGCCGACATAAACCGAGCATATCAAGTTCTTGATTTCTTCTGGTTTTCATAGCAGTACGTGTCGAAACTCACTATCGCCATTACATATGCTGACCAGCGTCTCGCAGTTGTGCTTACTAGTACGAATGGAGAGGCCGTGACGTTGTTAGTGAAAAATAAGTCAGAGCTAGTCAGCACAACCCGCAGACTTACGAACAAACTTAGACAACCGGATGTCACGATCACACTTAGATACGGTGGTCAGAGTACGAGAAATGTCATTGCAGAGACGTAGCTAGCAAAGGAAGCAGGTGCTGACTTTGCGCTCGTTCTTGTGCTAAGCTACTTTCACTTTATAATAAATGGAGATGCCATTATTAAATTCTTCGAGAAGGTGTGTCGCTCTCTGCTACGTACAACGTTTTCCCTAACTTAGCTTCTCTATAGCTCGCCGATATAACTCCCATTCCTATCCTAATGTATGACTTCTTTAGTGTCGTCGCCGGACTTAATGTCAACTCCGGCAGGCTCTCGAGGCTTAGTGCTCATCCTAACATCGTCGGCGTAAAGTTCACTTGTAGAGGTATCGCTAAAGTCGCTCGCATTCGTGCCTAGTTATCGCCGTCTAGAGCGACTGGCTTGTCCCTGCTCTCGCCACCGGCGCTACTAGTACCATCACCGGTGTTGCCAATCTATACCCGAAGTACTGCATCAACATCTACGACCTCTGGATACAAGGCAAGACAAAGGAAGCCGAGGCAGCTTAGCTCGAGCTAGTCAAGATAGAATAGGGCATTGCAAAAGGTGGGATTAATGGTACAAAGGGTTATTACGAAATTAAGAGGGTACTCGCTTAATAGCTGCCACTACTGGCGGCCGTATCCTAAGTTTATAGATGCGAAGAAGCAGGCATAGGTATTAGATACTATAAGTTCTTTAATAGACAAGGAAAAGACGATAGTATAGAGGATAGATAGAGCGTCAACTGCTTTATAGCTACGGCTACGTCAATTGTCCATAATCTCGACTTCAAGTTCCTCGCGCTGATTATATAAAGCCTACGTCTTATTAGCAATATTCTCTGCATTGCACTACAGGTTCTCAGCTGCGACGACTCCTCCGACCACGACGAGTCCACAATATACCTTCTCTTCCTTATATCTCTTATGCATACTGTGCAGCAAGTTGTGTTAACCAGCCTTACAGATTGACAGCGAAAACACCTCTAGGATAGGGTCCTTATAGATAGAGCCTAAGGTGCAGAGGAAGGCGGGCTTATGCGTGTCCTTTACAGCCAGTAGTTTCAGGATGGCCCATTAAGCAACAGCATAGCAACCTGTGACTTTAATTCGTAAGTCCAATTCTAGCTCTTCTATGGGCTACTCGACTAGTGTACTCGGGCCTACTCTGGCGGCGTTAAAAAGGACGACTTCGAGAGGTGTGCCTCCGAGTGCCTGGTCGACCTATGCGAGTGCCGAGGGAATGTCGCTTATCTTTAAGAGATCGATGGCGAGGCTCGAGATGTTAGCGGATTGCGTTGTAGCTCGGATGAATCGCGCATCTTGGCCGAGTCGTAACGGGTCGCGGGAGAGGAGGATGATACGCTCGAATCCGTACGTCGAAAAGGTGCGTACGACGTGACTGCCGATACTAGGGCCGCTACCTACCATAACGAGTGCGCCGCGACTTTCCGCCATCTTTGTCAAAACTATATAGGAAGGATCGTAGAAGAGAGAATGCCTGTCGTCAACTTGCCCGTACCCCGGGGATGCTGGATGGATAGATTGTCGGGGGCGTCGGGAACCTTAAAACAACCTAGTTCACCACTTTATCCTTCCTGCCGCTCTCTCTCTCCTTCTTACAAGACCGGATCGATGACCCCTCTACATTATGTAAAGGAGTGGCAGCGCATCTTATTATCAATTTAGATGTTAATGCAATGTATAGCTTCTAGCGGCGGAATCCTGCAAGCAGCATAAGGAGCATCACGATGCAACATAATTATCATCTTTTGCTAAGCCCTAACAATGCCCGCGATCGGAGCTATATGTAGGCAATTATTGAAAGCAACGCCCGCCTCCGCTAATTCCTGCTATTAGGGTATATACAAAGCCCTACTTACACCCTATACGCAGTTGTAACCGTACGATATATTGCACTTGTAGGTTTTGGTCGATTTCGCTAGCGACAGCGGGAATGCTGCTCTTCCAACGAATTCTCGACTCATTCTATAAGTGTAGGTCATTTCTCCTTTTACTACTCCCTACTCTATAGGACAAACACATTTAAGTACAAATCCTGGAATTACGTCGGGTTACAAGTCGAAGCTATTCAAAATGTCGTCTTCGTCAATAGTAGGTCGCATTCCTTACCCTTAAAGCAAGATTGATTTGCTAATGATCTCTATAAGCAGTCTATCGTCGAAGCTCCCATTAGCCTCCTCTAAGACCTTCTCTCGACTAGTGCTACGACAAGTACTAAGCTCTGCGCACTTTACCTTCATCGCATTAGCACCTACGATGCCCGTGGTCTTTTCCTCAATTCAGTACCGCTTCTCAACCCAAATCTTTTCGCCGAAGCTGCTGCGTCAGATGAGCGCCGTGCTAGTGGGAAGCTTCTTAGCAAGCTTAATGGTATACCATATACACTCAAAGACGGCTTCAAGTACCTCGGCATAACTGTTACGGCGGGCAGTCTAGCTTTCGCTAATCTCTAGCCTAACGAAAACGCCTTCGTTACGGAGAAGTTGGCTTAAGCTAGATGTGTAATGATTAGCAAGACCAATATGCCTCCTATAGCAGCTGGGGGTATGCAGCGTAGTGTGTATAGAAGGGCCGAATCTCCTTATAACATCTAATACCTGACCGCTGCATTCTCCTCTAGCTCATCCAATAGCGCTGCTACATCGACTGCCGCTTCTTTCGCCGCTTTTGCACTTGGGTTAGAGACAGTGTTAAGCGGAAGAAGCCCTGCGAGTAACAACGGGTTAGTTTGCTATACACCCTCTAGAGGCGTGATCAGTTGCAGAGGCCTATAGCCGTTATATGTTACCTGCGACGTAGTTGTACCTCTAACACGAACTGTAGAGGATATGTTAGCAGTGGTGGAAGTCGTTTCTCAGCCTGACCTAGAGAACATTAGCGACTTTTAGAGAGACTAACGTGTCGTACCTCTACTAAGCACCTCTAATCTTAATAGTAATCTTTCCGCACTTTGTAATGCTCGTTCGCTCGAAGGCAAGCGGCTTGCCGTGCCAAACATGTACACAAGAGGCACGTATGGTTTAAGATCTAATGTCCTATATGTGTCGGAAGAAGTTAAAGAAGTTTAGTCACGAGCTTAGGCAGATCTCATCAGCCTAGGGGCAATCTGCATTCAGGTCGATGATTTTCCACTTGTCTCTAGGTATGAAGATGACTCCATAGGCCAGCACAACAATGTTGTCGGCGCGCCGGCAGATTGGAATGTGAAAGAGAGATCCGAACTCATTTCTTACGCCTAGGATAACTTCCTGCTCCAGAACAAGGATGTGACGCTGGCAAGCTTAGGTGACGCCTCGCCAGACCTCATTTTCCCGCTCCCAACAGACTACGTACCACTTCGCTTTGCCGAGGTTAAGAATCTTATCAACTATCCCGCTTTAGCTAAATTCATCAAGGAAGGTAACCGAAGTGAGAGGTCGATCCACGACATTCCAGGTATGTCCGATGCTTTAAAAGCTCTTGAAGCATAACGAAAGCGCGATCTCGAAGATTAGAAGGCAGAACATAACTTCGACGCTGTCGTCTTCCCCGCTGCTAGTAATGCGGGTAAAGCAGATCTGGAACAGGATTCTACGTCCGCGGAACATGCTTTACTAAATGGTGTACGATACAGCAACGGCAACAGAGCTTTACGACACCTCGGCGTCCCTACTGTTAGTATGCCGATAGGAATTCTCGAAAGTAAGGATATTCCTGTTAATCTGACCTTATACTTAAGAGCAGGTGCTGATGCTGAATTGTTAAGCTTCGTATATGCTTATGAGCAGGGCAGTACACGACGTTAACCTCCGGGTTTGACACCTTCTTTGCTAACCGATTACATTAAGAGAGATAAGGGTACATTAGAATTTCCCACTTGCCCGTCTCGAATCTATTTAGATGTTATCGAAAAGGGCGTGATAGCTATCGGATTAAACTACAGACTCTAGGTTCGTAGTAAAATTTCACTATGTAATGTGCGTTTAGAAGCTTTCATCGATAGTGTCTTAATTAACAACAAATCCGTCTACGTAGACAGTGATGGACACTAGGTAGTAAAAGCGCCTTATCTTCCGTTTAAAACTGGACAGTACACGTACAAGATTTATAAAGGTATCAAGATTTTAGGCGATTATGTTATAATCGTTTTAATGGCACGTTCGTTCGACGGCGTAGTGAAAGGGGACATTATACTTATATCCGAGATAAGAGAGTAGCTCGCGCTTCCGACCATAATTCCAGTTATTTTTCTAGGACGAATAAATAAGTCGCGTAACGCTAACTGTAAAGGGCGAAGCTTTAGAGTAGGATACGGGCGGTGCCCGTACGGCATCCTTAGCGTCCGTACATTCTTAAGCGGAGTCCGCGTAGATAGATCCTCGTTCCTCCTCTTATCGAACCTATTAAATACTAAACTATACTAAGCGCCCGTATGTCACGGCGCTTGCCTACAAGTAAGCGTTGTGACGGCCAGGGTGGCCTACGCAGTGTTGTTACAAGAGTTGCAGTAGCTACGGGCCAGTTATAGAAGGCTAAACGAACGCTACAAGTGCCCCGGCCGCCTGGGTGACCCTGACAGGGTCACGTAAGTTACAGAACCGAGGTTCTGCTAGGGAATGGTTATATAGCCTATACCACTTCTATGTTTGTAGCTCTTCGAGCTACGTCCTATCATTAAACCTGCCTATCAGTTTTACTGCCTGACCGTAGATAGCCTATTAAATACTACTATACTCCGTGTAGCTGCTCCTTCTACTTTATACCTAACCTGCCCCTATAACATTACGTAGCTCCTACCTAAGGAATAGCTACCCGCCAGCCTATTACTATATTCTTAGAACGATCGATTCCCCCCTTCTCCGCCGAGAACCCTTAGGACCTATCTAACTATATTATAGAACACTCTAAGGAGTAGCTTCTATACTTCCGTAACTTAAATGCGCACTGTTATAGCTAACTATTCTTAGGAGAGAATAACTAGTTACGGGGTTAGACTCGTAAAGAGGAGTGTTAAGCGAAGTAAAGCAGGTTATATAGTAGTATATACTAAAGGGACTGTTAGAATAACTAATTAAGTTAAACGTAGGACTACCTAAGGTCGTCCTACCTACCTATATACTTAATAGATAATGAGTGTATATATATTGCTCTATATGCTCTATTATGCTCTATAAAGCAGAGCAGCAGAGTAGAGTAGAGTAGATGGCGTATTATATAGAGTGCTCTATTCCGCTAAGGTGCGGGGAACTATAGAGCAGGCTATATAACCCTGTCCGAGGCAGGATCGTAACACGCACCTCTCCTAAGTAGAAGAGTTCGCGTATAAAAAGAGTGTCCTATTAGATAAGGCCTAAGAGACTATTATAAGTAAGGACGCTATTATCTTATACTAAAAGGAGAATATTACTAAGCTAAACGCTTAGCTTATCCGCGCTTAGGTTAAGAAAGAGCGCGTAATTAATGCCGCTTAACCTGCTATACTACCTACCCGCCCTATCGCTAGTAGACTAGCTACTAAACCCCCGCTAGGTTATATAGAGAGAGAGACTCCGACTCTTGCTACCCTACCTTCCGAGTCTAGTCGTCCTAGTAAGAAGCTCCCTAACCCTAAAGTTTTTAAAGGCTAGAGACCCGACCTTCGCCGCTTCGTTTAATAAATTTACGGTAAGATAACTATAAACGCCGACCGATTCCCGACTACCTAGTCCCGCCTAATTTACGTAGCTAGCCGTCTAAAGGACGACGCCTATAACTTAATTTTGCCTAAAACCCTATATAGTGTCCCCTAGTTTATAGACTACTAACAACTTTTAAAATACTATTACGAACCCGTAATAAGGGCAGAGCACGAATGTCTTAGTAAAGAGAGCTGCTCTTATCACGTAGAAAGAGTTGCTTATAAGAGCAGGATTACGGCGCTACGAGAGCTGCTCCCTAGGAGTAAGACAGACGCTTACGTACATAATTATAGCAAGTATATAGGTTATAGTTATTACTAGTAGATAGGAGCCTCGTGCTTAACCTCTTTATTAAATACTAGTTATACCTTTACACCGTTCGTATAAACATCCTTAGACATTTACATTAGAATATACCTCGTGTACGACGACGAAGTATCGGACTTTAATATTTTAAGCACTAACTAGAGGTCTATTACTTATATCTGTACGAGACAGCACTCCGAAACCCCGACGATAAGGAATTCTAGTAATAGGAATCTCGGAACAAATAAGTGCTATATCGATTACCGGAAGCGGAGGAAACGAGGCTACCCTAACTTCCTTATTAGGAAGTGCCGGGTAAGCTAGGCTACTAAAGGTGTCTACGCCGGAGACGTTCGACGGGACCCTAGGACGATTAGAAGCATTCTAGCTGCAGGTTTAGCTGTACTTCTATTTTAATTAGGCCTAGTTTTAGGATAAGCCTAATAAGGTCTTATACGCCGCCTCCTTCTTACGCGGAAGAGCTAGAAAAGGATTTCGACTATATCTAAAAGACTAGCTAGACACCCGAAACGGAGGGAATCTAAAGACCGAAACTAGGAAAATCTTTTACGATTATAATAAGTTCGAAATTAAGCTTAACGATCTATACGGAATATCTAATAAGGAAAGCTATATAGACCGACATATACGCCGATTACGCTAGACTACTTCTGTCGCTACGTATGCTTTAGAGTTCTAGGGCTATATAGCCGATCTCGAGTAGAACGATGCCGCATTCCGTTTACAGTTCTACCTCGGACTAAAGGATACCGTTAAAATGGAGCTGTCTAGAAACACTAACATTAGGACACTCGCGGCAATAATTAACGCAGTAAAGGAGATCGATAAGAGGTTATAAGAATTACGACAGGATAGATTCTTCTACCTAGGATTTAAAAACTATTAGAAAGGAAAGTACGATAAAGATCCGTACGGACTATAACCTATAGAATTAGGAAATACCGCGACACGTAGTCGGAGCTAGAAGCGCTCGGGCGTTCGCTACTATCGCTGCTAGGAAGAAGGACATATAGCTAGGAACTGCAAAATGAATAAGGTTAGAAAAGAACTAAACCTAATAGATAGGATAACGTACTAGGAGTATAAGGACTTCCTCGATAAGACCTCCTAAGGAGAAACCCTAGTAATAAAAGATTATTAGACCGCGGCCTCTTAGCCTAATAACTTAAGAGGAAAGAGACCCTCGAACAGGTTATCTAAGGTAACGCCCGTAAGAGTACCTTAGTCTTAGATAGGCATCTCGAGGATGTCCTATAGAAAAGAGCTATTAGTAAGCTTAACCCTAGGAGACACGTTAAGAAAGTTAGGAACGACGGGGATAGGTTCTTCCGCTTCTAGCTCGTCTAACGCCGAGGCGGCTATACTGTCGGTACGGCGCTTAGCCTAACGGAGCTGTTTACGTAGGCGAATCTTCTTTATCCGCTTTTCCGTAAGACGCTATTAGTCCTAGGATAACTACTAAAGGATTATAACTTCTTCTTCTTCTAGCGACTCGATGTCGCGACGAAGCTTCTCTCGCGTATTACGTAACTTTTGCTACTAGGAATAAGATAGGGATGCATCGTAGCTCTTACGATTATGTTTAAGACACTCGGAACACTTAGAGAAACGAGGACCTATAATACACTTAGGGCGGGCTCCGCCCTTAACTACCTTCGCTATTCGGTAAGCGGTGTAGGGTGCTATTTTAATACCGTTCTATTCGACGTCGAGTATAAGTTCCTTCCGGCGGTTCGTAGAATTTCGTTTCTTCGAAAGCGTAGGGGGGGGAGCAAGAGAGGAAGACATCGTTAGAAGAGCGAAGGCTAGAAAGTAACGTAAGCTTATTAGGAAGCTTCTAGGACGGAAGCTAGCTAAAAGGGGGAATAATGTTACGAACCTATAATAAGGGCAGAGCACGAATGTCTTAGTAAAGAGAGCTGCTCTTATTACGTAGAAAGAGTTGCTTATAAGAGTAGGATTACAGCGCTACGAGAGCTGCTCCCTAGGAGTAAGATAGACGCTTACGTACATAATTATAGCAAGTATATAGGTTATAGTCATTACTAGTAGATAGGAGCCTTATACTTAACCTCTTTATTAAATACTAGTTATACCTTTACACCGTTCGTATAAATACCCTTAGACATTTATATTAGAATATACCTCGTATACGACGACGAAGTATCGGACTTTAACAAATACCTAGAATAAGCCTTCGGTAACCCTAACCGTATCTAGAATACTTAGAACCGTCTATATAACCTAAAATAGAAGAACTAGGACTTTAGTGTCTATTTCTCTAAGTTTTAGAGACTAGCACTAACCCTATAGATTAATTAATTAATTGATTTAATTAATTAGGCTACTTAGTTCTACGGCAAACCTATAAGCCGTCTCCTATTAGTTCTTCCTTCTTCGTCCCTATCTGTCCTTATTCTATTCTAGCTTCCCCTTTACGAATTTACCCTCGTAGAGTTATAAAATCTCCCCGTCTTATATAGGAAGCTTAATACTACTTTTACTACTAGGATATTTACTCTCTATTTCTCTCGCGGTCTATCGACTAGTTACCTAGTCTATAGATTAACCTAGGGGTTCTATCCCCCTAGGATATAAGATTAATCTCTCTACCTCTTTCCGATAACCTCCGTTATAGCTTAGCGCTCCTACTAAAGGAGAGGGCACTTATAAAGTATATAGGCGATTATCTCCCTTACTATCCTATACGTATAGCTCGCTATTTCTAATAGTCGCTTATAGAATAGGCAACTTTTTAGATGCGATTGCCCTATACGGCATTATACTAGTATAAAGGCCTCTTAAGACGTAAGGGCGTTATATAACTTTTCCGCGTATAACCCTAAAAGGGCCCTATCTAGTTTCTACGTATACTATCCTACCTTCCGAGGGTTTTCTAGCCGTAAGAATTGTCTCGTCCTAAAGTGTGTATCTAGGTTAGCTTAAAGGCCCTTCCTAGTAACTCTTAGCTCTATAGTCCTAATAGGTGCGCTATTCCTCTAGATGTACTATTAAGATACTATAAGTTTTAGAAGAGTTATTTTAGGGGGTCTCGCCTTATTCGTAACCTTAGGACGGTTAAAGAGGTTAGGAGGGTTAGAGGGTTTAAAGGGGTAAGAGTACTAGTAGAGGTCTACTTTATTAATAACCTCCTTTATACGTCTATCTACCTCCTCGTTCCCTTATAGCCCTTTATAGGCTAGGACCTACTATAGCCTTACCCTCCCCTCCCCTCTATTATATAGTACTAATATATATCTACGAATATACCTTACTATATACTAGCTGCCTAGATAGACTCCCTAGGTAATATATACTAGCGCCTACTTACTATCTATAACTATAGTCGTAGCCTTCGGCTTCGGGCGCTTCTTAGCTTATAGCGATAGCGCTACCTTAATAGCGAGTAGCTTTACGATAGTCGAGTTTAAGGTAGCTAGCTAGGGTACCTCCCTTTAGACTAGCGTTATAAGGGGGTTTTCTTATACTACTACTACCCCGACTCTCCTCTTTTCCCTTATAGCGTCCGTCTAGAATATCCTCTTAATCTCCGAGAGATTCCTTCTACTTATCTATTAGAGTATATTATCTTTAGTTAAGTCTACTCTATAGAATATATACTCTAGGATCCCTTAGAGCTATAGCTCCTATATAGCTAGTTCGACTATTTCTATTAGGCACTCTACTATAACCCCTATTACTAGTCCTAGCCTCTTAGCTACGAGGGCTATTAAGGAGATATATATCTTTAACTATATCTAGATCCTAGATAGCTAGTCGAAGAGGGGGTTTATTATAGGTACTATAAGGTACTTAATAAAGTAGTTCGCGACTCTCCTCTATAGTCTACTCTCTATATCTAGTAGCGACGCCTCCGCTTAAGTAATAAGGAAGGCCGCGGATTTAAATGCTAGCGTAATAGCTTATACGCTAATCCGTTATACCTTTTCTATATCCGCTAGCTATATAGTTAGGGCGTACTTTCCTAGTCCGTACTATACTAAGGCTCTATAGTCTATAATAGGCACTACTATAGAATTATATAGCTATTTAACCTATTTCGGTCTTACGCCTCGTAATCGTTAGATCGCGAGGTATTATTTTATTACCTTAGTAGTTACCCTTACGACGTGTCGGCTAAATGTTATATACTTATCGAAGGTTACTCCTAGGATCTTAACGTCCTCGCTTAAGGGGACGTTATAACTTTAGAACTAGAGGTGTAGGCTATACTATTCTACCTATTTAGTTTAGTATATAAAGTAGATAAGTCCAGTTTTCGATAGTTCGAAGGTAGCGCCGCTCTCTCTAGCTTACATCTCTGCCTTCGGAATAATAGTGTCTTAAAGAGCCTAGATGTTAGCGTCGGCGTCCGGTCTTATAACCTAGGGGGTATAATCGTCTACGAATCCGATAGCCCCTCCCTTATCGTCGATTAGCTATTTAACTAGGTTAGCGTTATAGAAGATATATAGGATAGGGGATAGGGGAGAACCTTACGGGATTCCTGCTTATACGATAAGGAGTATCTCGCTCTCGAATGTGTCTAGCGCGATAGTAGCTATCCTATTACTATAAAAATCCTAGATCTAGACCCTAAGCTTTTCCGGGATTCCTCGTTCTAATAGTCTCGCTTATAACACCGCCTTATTAACTCCGTTAAAGGCTCCTTATACGTTAAAGGTTAATAGTATAAGGACTAGCCCCTTCCGCTATACCGCGTAGATGCGTTTAACTAAAATGTTTAGCGCCTACTTATACGATCTCTTCTTCCTAGTACTAAAGTAGTTAACCGGAAGGAGGGAGTAGTGTTCGGCTATATATAATAGCCTATTAGCTACTACGGCCTCTAATCCTTTACTAATTATAGCTAGTAGGGATATAAGGCGAAAGGCCTTCGGTATAGTATAGTCTAGCTTTCCTAGTTTACGTAGCGGGATAATCCTCGCGTTCCTCTAGGTCTTCGGTAAGTGTCCGAGCTTAAGCGAGGCTCTATATAGAGCTATAATATTATCTTTAGCCTCTTCCTAGATGTTCCGCTATACTAGGAATAGGATGTCGTCTAGTCCTAGTACTTTATTTAGGCTAGATCGGAAGATAGCGGCTCTAACTTCCTTTAATGTAATCCTTTTATAGGGTACTATTAGGTAGGTATCCTAAACGCCGCCGTTGTCTCTAGACTCTAGGTCCGGTTAGAGTAGGAAGAAGGTATAGAGTATAACGTCCGCCTTCTCTTTATCTTACTCTACTAGTCCTCCCGGTCCTTAGAGAGCCGGAACTCCCCTAGACCTAGGTTCTAGTTAAGTAAACTTATTAGCCTTCTAGACATTCGCTATATCTCCTATAAACTCTACCTAGTATCTAGCCTTCTATTCTACTATCTAGGAGAAGTAATTCCTCTAGACGGTAAGTATCTAGCTATGTACTACTACGTAGTCCTAACCTCTTCGACGTCGCGTCGTCTCCTCGTTCCGAAAGGTAGATAAAGTGTTACGTATAGCTAATAGAGCTAGTATCTACTACCTCTTCCCTTTCGGATACGGCTTAGTATATAGGATGTTATCTTCTAGGATACTAGTTACTCCTTATATAAACCGTTCTACTAGGCCGTCTAGTTACTACTTAGTTTAGATTAATTAGATCTATAGGAGAAGGGATACTGCCTTTTAGATCTCGATCTAGTCTACTCGGCTATACGCCCTCCTCGGTTGCCGGACTGCCTTTATAGTCTAGCTTAGTTAGAACCTTAACTTAATAACTTAGTAATCGCCTCCGTATTTAGTGTCTAAGATCTTATACTACGTTACGGTAGCCTATAGACTAGGAGAGACTAGTACTAGGTCGATCGTTATCTAGTAAGATCCGTCGTTATAGGAATACGTAATAGTACCCTAATTCTAGAATCTAATGCTCTTTTAGAAGGTCCTAGTCTAAAAAAGTATTTAAAAAGTTTAGTCTAAAAAAGTATTCTAAAAAAGTATTCTAAAAAAGTATTTTAACTAACTTTAAGTAAGGTCTAAAAAAGTATTTAGTCTATTTTTACTAATAGCTTATAAATACTATATCTTAAAGTATATATATAAGAATAAGGCTATTAGAAATAGAGTCTAGTATCTAAATTAAAATAAAATATAGGTTAAAGTTTTT